TTAACTTTTAATGCTTCTACTTTTTTTGGAAAGAAAAAGCTCTGATGCCCTCTATTCTTTAAATGTTTATTTTAATGTTTATTTAAATCTGGAAGGATTGAAAAGTAGAATAGGAAATTCTGATGGTTTATAAAGAATGTACTATCCTTTTATGATAATTACAAGTAGGGTTGCACGTGGCCTTGCCATTTTGCAATCTCAGTCTCAGATTGATCGGCCTCGAGCCTCGGAACCTCCAGCTTAGGTGATCCTAGGTCTCAGTTTTTAGAAAAACTTACAAGGGCCGAAAATCGCAAAATATACATACATTAGATATGCATATATGCAAGTAAGTACCCAAATATGCAAAAAATAAGCATTAAAAACCGGGTCCTAAAATGTTTGATGGAATGTAAAAACACCATTTCTGAGGTTCTCTCATCAAACATGTGAATGTTTTGGTCAGCCCAGACTTGGTAAGGATACGAATATGGATACAGAAAGTTCAAAATGCCTGCGGATATCCGAAGACATGTATGGATACGGATACCAAAATCCATGTTCATTACCAAGTCTGGACCGAACTTGTAGCAAGAATATAAGTCCAGGCATAAGTGTCGGTTTGTGGTTTTCGATTGAATACCGACATTAAAAGACTAATTTTTAATAATTAAAAATCCCCCAATTTTCCAAAGTCAACAACTAAAAATATTTAAATCCACCGTCTGAAAGGTTATTATTTTTCAAATTTTTTGGTATAACTTTAAAGTAATAGTAAATATGTATGTATGTAGCAGTAGACCGCTCTCAAAAATGAATAGGGGAGAACGAAAATTCTCTCTCTCTCATTTTTTTCTTCCAGTTTTTTTTCTTTTCTAAAATATATTAAATATATTTACTCTCGAAAATCGAAAAAAAAGATGAAAGAAGAATGATGCAACCTGGTAGAAAATAAAAAGAAAATGGGAAGAAAAAAAAGAAAATTTAAAGAGAACAAATAATTCATCAAAAAATAATATTAAAGAATTGTAAAAAAAGAAAGAAATAATCTTAAAAAAAAGACAAGAAAATTGTAAATTAAAATAAAAATTGTAAAGTTTATATTTGTTTTATTGTTCAAGTGAAAAAAGAAGCAGCTAGGATAGTCGCGAGCCCACTCAACGCACAGTAACCTTTCCGAGTGTTTTCGTCTCTGGGACGTCGTGTTTTGCTTAGTTGCTCTCAACCCCCCCCCCCTCGAAAAAAAATTTTTCCCCGTCCCCGCCCCCTCCGTGACAGAATTTTCCCCGGTTCCCCGTGAGCCTCCCTCCGTCGGGGAACAACCCTACTCTCAACGAGAGAAACCATAACGTGCTAGTGCGTCCGGGATTCTAAAATTCTTAACAAAGTTATAACCTTGCAACGAAGTCTAAAGTAAAATTTACTTTAAAAGAAGGGAGAGAAATTTTAAGAAGGATTGCTGTCAATAAAAGCTTTATACTCTCGCCGCTCATTTAAATCCGTGTAGCCAACCTTTTCAAATATAAGAGAGTTAATTTAAATTAAATAATTATTAATTCCCCAACTGCGGAAATGATTGCAAATTTAAGATTAAAAGGATTAGAAAAAGTAAGATTAAAATGTTTTTTTAAGACATTAAGCTATTAAAATTATTTAATTTTTCAAAAAAAATTTGTCATTTATGTATGTACATATTTATAAAATTTGAAATAAAAATTAAATAAAATTAAAATATAATTTAAATAAAAATTTAAAAAGTAAAATTTTAAATAAAAAATTAATTATAATTTATTTGGTTAACAAGTTCTGTTTTAAAGGATATAGAAATTTAAGGCTTAAATGAGAGGTTATTTAAACAACCCTCCTAATAAGAAGGCACTCTAAAGGAGTAGTGAAAAATAGATAAAAATAAAAGGGCGGCCATTCAATAAACTCTAAAAATCAGAGTATATTTCCTTCTATAACATTAAAGCTAAAAAACCATTAAAAACCTACAAAAATGGGGGGAGAGTAAAGTAAAAATAACCAAAAAAATTTTTATGAGAAAAAAAGGTAAATTTAAAGGTAAAGAATTTCCGGGTATATATTTAAACATTTATGAATATTTAAATTATTTCCCCCCAAAAAAAGTTTAATATAATAAACAAAATTTAAATTTATAATTCATTTTTCCAATATTTTCCCCCCAAAATTATGTAAAAAAATAATATTTTTTTCACTCAAAAACTATTACTTTTTGTGTATTAAAGTAGAAAAAGGTTGGCCGAGAAATGTTAAAAGGAAAAAAGAAAAGTGAAGAGAACAGAGGTTTTAAAGAGAAAACGAGACTTCCCCTCCCCCCTTTCTTCGAGAGAGAAAATGAAGGAGGGATTGGGACAGAATTGAAAAAAAAAGATTTTTTTTACTTTTTGGTGTATTTTTATGACCTAACAGACAAATGGCTTTTTATTTTATTGAAAAGATTTGACTGAAGATTAAAAAAATTTTAAATAAAAATATATTTTATAAATTGATACAAGTCTGGGGTGTAATGGCCTAGCAATTAGAGAGTCCAAATCTCGAAGGATTTAACACCCCTAGGGTCTTATATCGATTGTTTTTATTAAAAATTTTTAATTTAAAAATAAAAATAGGTCAGAATATTGGGGATAAAGGTGGCGGGTCCGTGGATATCCTGAACCAAAAGAAGTCCGGATATTTGGCAACTTTCAGTTCGAAGATCTGAAAAAATTTTATTCAAATATCCGGATATTCGCATGACAACTTTTAGTCCGTATATCAGATCCTTATCCGGATATCCGTGGATTTCCTATAACCACCAGTCAACCCTAGTTGGGAAATTAGTTAGGAAATCAAGGCCGAATCTACTAGAGCAACCTTGAAAGATTAATTACCAATCTCTCCAGACTTAGGGTAATGGATACGGATATGGACACAGATAATTTTAAAATGCCTGCGGATATCCGTCTATATCCGCTTCAAATATCCGGATACGGATACCAAAATCCATGCCATTAAGTCTAAATTTCTCTATAAAATATCCACACTTTTAAGAACACAATTAAGCCTAAAAAAAGAATTTTAAACAAGCTTCTTAAAAAAAGAAAAGCATCGGTTTTTTAGTTTTTGAGTTCCTTCTTTCATTTTATTTTTTCTCTCTAGAGGCTATCCAAACGAGAAAAGATGCCATTAATTTTGATGGAAAGAAAAGGAAAAAAAGGAAACTTTTTAGAATTTATTTGTGAATATTTTTTTAATAAAATGAAACAAAAATATTAAAGGAAAAAAATTTTTTTTTGAAATTTAGAATAAATTGGGGAAATAAATTAATAAATTATGTTAATAGAAAAATTGAAAATAAATTGAAAAATTATTCCCCAAAGGAATAAAAGTATTATAGCTGTTATATGCATATTTTGTTTTACCAAAAGTATAACAAAAATTAATTATAATTAAAAAAAATGAGAGAATTTATAATTACAGGAAATATTGAAAAAATTGTATAACTCGGGACTTAGTTATCCTAAGATTATCAAATTTTTAATTAAAATACTAAAATGTATTAGATTTGAAAAGACAGCACTGTATCCCGCTATTGTGTATCCCTGTATCACTGTATCCCGCCCCTAACTATTTTGAGATCCAAATAAATTTTCTTGACCCTTCTAAGGCAAAAGAGGAAAATAGAATGAAATGTCACCCAATGAACGGAAATAGGATTCTAATAGGGAGGGAGGGTGTTAAAAAAGCACCAAAATTTTGATAAAAAATTTTTTATCGAGTTCTCAAAACTAGAGAACGGACTGAGACAAAATCTCGGTTAGATCTTTTTTCCTCCCAGTCCGGTCTTTAACCAAAACAGATAAAGGTTTTAATTTTTTAGAGGGGCAAATTTGCATTCCTTCAAGTAGAATTATCTTCTTCCTTCGATTTTTCCTTCCGTCGGGAAAATTATTCATTCTCTCTTTCCTCTAAATATTTTTTTGTATTTTTAGAGTTTATTAAAGAAAGAAAATATTGGAAAGTATAACAAAAAATAAGAGAATACATATTTGTGAATAAATGAAAAAAAAAACTTTATTTTTTGTGAATGCCAGCAAAATTAGTTAAATATATGTAAGTAGTAAAACTATTTTTGGATTTACAAGAAGAAAAAAGGCTTTCCGACCAAAGAATTTTGGAAAAAATAAAATAATTTTCTTGTGCATTCTACTAAAATTAAATATTTAATTTTAATAATTAATTATTTTTAAATATTTAATTTTGTGTGGAATTTATTTTAAAGAAAAAATTATAATTTTATTTTTATAAAATTAATTAATTTAATAAAGAGTATCTTAAACTCCCTTAAATTTTTTCATTTTAATTAACCAAATGTTTATTAAAAAATAAGAGAGAACACTCCAATAGTGCTGGGTATGACCAAAGGAACAAACTACGAAGCAGAGGTGGGTCCGAAATGACGAAGGCCGGAAATTGGGACTGTCGGAAATAGGAAATGGCTCAAAAGTCGGAACTTAGAAATCGGAAATCCATCTAAATTTATGGAAATCGGAACTGTTGGAAATTGGAAATGGCCAAAAATCGGAACTAGGAACTCAGACCCACCTCTGCTTCGGAGCCGGCTCCAAAGCCAGGATTTGAAAAAAGGTCGGAGCCATAAAACGTCCAATACCCAACACTACACAACACTCAATTTGGTCTGTTCTTAGGTCTGAGTTTTCGAGTTTTGGAAGGCTCTAAAAAATATTTTTTTAAATAATTCCCTAAACAAATACTTATATTTTCTTATTTTTAAAGAATTTTCTTTTTTTCCCTCAATTTTTCCTTCAAATAACTAACCGGCTGACTGACAATAAACAGAAAAAGAGGAAATTAGAATGGAAATATTCTGACGGCTAGAAGGTATTTATTTAATGGTAGGGCTAGGCACACATACTAGAGAGTATTTACTGTTCTCTTTTCTTCTTCTGTTCTTTTAAAGAGGCGGTAAAAAGAAAAGAGAAGGAAAGCGGCTGGCGCTATTTAATGTCATCAACACATACACTCTCTTCTCTTTTATTTTTCTCTAACTTGTATGTAAATGTAAAATGCTCGCGTGCCTGCACATTAATAGCTTTAAAATTAAAATAAAATGCCGGTTGAGTCATAAACACAGCTTTTAAGAAATATGTAGTAAACTTTTGGAATTTTTTAAAAGAAATTTGTGAATAATATAGTAGTTTTTTTAGTTTTTTGTTTAGCTGATAAGCCTTCCAACCTCCACTCTTTTTTTTCCCAACCTCCACTAGGGGTGAGCGCATTGCGTTATTTGCGTTATTTTTGGCCTTGCGTTGCTTTTTGCGTTTTTCACTATTCCCTTTTGCGCTCACCCCTGATCTCCACATTCCTCCCCTTCCACCGAACTTTTAACTTTTGAAACTACCTGGAACCGAGATAGTTCGTGACTCAAGGCTTTTCTTGGGTTTTTTCGGTCTTGGGGCGTAGTCTTGGTCTCGAGTCTTGGAAAATTTTCGGTCTTGGATATCTCCAGTAGTTCCTTCCTAGTTCCCTTTCCTATCCACCCTCTTTCCATCGAACTTTTTTTTTAATTTTTAAAACTACCTGGAAACTACTGCTCACTTTTTTCATAACTAGGACATCACTAAATAGTCACTGAAAATTGTCTGATATTTAAATACAAATGATTTTCAAAATTTTCTATTTTTTCAATAAAATTTTTTTTTATTTTTACAAACCTGAATTCGTTTGTTACTCAAATGACTTGGTAAATTTTGAGTTGAATGAGAGACGTTAGAGATGAAAATAAAATTAATATTAAATAAAATTTATATAACAAATAAAAGTGCAATTATTTTAGAGAAATTAAAAAATAAATTTATTTTAAAATTAAAAGTGGGGAAGGGGGGGGGGGAAGGGGGATTATTTTAAAATTTTATCTCGAGCTTTTATGATCTTTCGTGTTTATTTCTGTTTGCCTGGACTTGCAGAAAGAATATTATTAAGTAAAAATTAACCAATCATTTCGAAGTGTGCTTCGATTTTGGTTTATTCCAGGCATGGTCATGAATACGGATACAGATAATATTCGGAAATATTCGGATCTGCCGCAAATATGCGGATACGGATACCAAGATCAGTATCCGTGACCATGCCTGGTTCATTCTATGATGGTTTCTATTTTACCTCCCGTTCAATGAACGAGTTTAATAATTCCTTTGGACTCGTCCAGACGTTCTTAAGATACCTGATTTTGCCTATAGGCTCGAAAAATAAAAGAAAAAATTAAATTACGGTATCAATCCCCCTCTAAACGACAAAAAGAAGGAAATTTAGAAAAAATTTTAAAGAAATTTACCCAAAATATTTTTATTTTCCCTATTTTCTTATCTAAAATTTAAACAAAAAAATTTTTTTCCAAAGTACTTTTAGCTAGGACAAACATCACAAATAAATTTTCTAATAATGTAGAGAAAGAAACAGACACATTAAACGAGAGAGGAGACAATATACAGGGCTAACCAAAGAGAATTGACTGAAAAAAGAAAGGGAGACAAACACCCCACACAGAGTATGTATTTCTTCCAAAAATTGCTTTTATCTCTCTCAATATACACAAAACCTTTTTATTTTTATTTTTAAAAAATAGTGTTGAAGGTAGACAAAAATGAAGAAATAGAATGTTAAAAAGAGAGAGTGTTAGAGAAAAAAAGAAAAATGGGAAATAAAAGAAAAATAACACCATGGGAGATGAAAAAAATAATAAAAAAGAAGAATAAATAAATGGGAAAGAAAAAAAATTTTTTTGAAGGAAAAAGGGACTTTTTTTTATTTAATTTTTGAACATTAAAGATCTGACAAATTATTTAAAAAATAATCCTCACTCTTTAACTAAAATTTTATTTTAAAATAAACTGAATATTTTTTATGATTTTAGTTTGCTGATAGAATAATTTTAAATTAAAAAATTTTTTGTTGTAAAAGGATCAGACGACCATATTTTTTCAAAATGGTCAATGTTAAAATGGTTAGAGAATAATGAGATTTAATTTTACGAAATATGTATGTATGTATGTACCAGGGATGTCACGGGTTACCCGAAACCCGATACCCTAAACCCGGTGTTTTTTTCGACCCGGAACCCGACCCGAGAAATTTTCTTTTTCAAAACCTGAACCCCGACTTGACAGTTTTCTCAACCCGTGACATCCCTTGTATGTACGTGTTTTAATTAGGAATGTCAGTTCAGAAACGAAGCGAACCGAAGTGTAGAGGATTTTAGGTTCGGTTCCGGATATTAGAAGATTTTTCATGAATTGACAACAAAAGAATGAAGAAAAGGGAAAGTTTATTCAAAAATAAATTTTTTATTAAATTCTAATCAATAAATTAAAAACAACCCGTTTTGTTGACCTTTGAGGGAAAACCTTTAGAAGACTAAAACAGAGAAATAAAGAATAAAAAATATTAGAGAAAATAGTCGAACAGAGAAAATAAAGAGAATAATTTTTTTAAATAAAAGTAGAGAGAGAGTGTGTGGAAATAAGAGAGACATTTCTCCTCTCTTTTATTAAATAAACACACAAACGCCGTCTCACCACTGTCTCTGTCATTTATTTAACAACAGTAGAAGAGAGAAGAGAAAATAACCGTGCCAGCTGGTTGCTTTGGAATGAAAAGAGGGGAGAGGGTTAGAGACGGAGAGAAGGAAAGCAAAAATAAAGTCAATAAGGGAAATAAATATAAAAGTAATTTTTGTCCGCAAAATACTTGCGGATATCCGCAAAAGTTTTTTAAAATGTAAAAATATTTGCGGATTAATTACAGCTTTTTGATGAGTTTTTAAATAATACATATTAGATAGATTTCTCTAAATGATCGGATAAATTCACATAAATCACCAGTTTTATGTGAACAGTAGAAGAGAGAAGAGAAAATAGATTTTTCCTGATCAGGATTTGCAAATTGAGCCGGGCCTGATCCGACCGAATTTTTCCGGATTAATCCGGTCCGGAAAAAATCCGGTATCACGAAAAAACCCGGATTTGGGATCCGGACTCTGGAAAAATCTGGCCGGATCCTGTCCGGTTCCGCTCACTACTAAAATGGGTAATAAACGAAATAAAAAATGGGAGTAATAAAAACGGGAGTTAAAAAGGATGAGTAATTTTTATAAAAAGGGAGTTAACCTGATAACGAGCAAATTTTTACCTTAAATTTTCAAATAAAAATGAAACCATTTTTCTCAAGTTCCGGTCTAAAATTTATTATTTAAAGAGGGTTACTCAACCCAAAAATTAATCATTTTAAAATTAAAACACAAAAGAAATGTCCATTAAAAATAATTTAGCCTTCCCTCTAATTTTATTTTTCTCCATTTATTTATTTTTCTTTCTAAATTGGAATTTTGTTGAATCGAAAAATTTGGAAAGCCGAAAACTTGATATTTTAAAAATGAAAAAAATTTTAAGCAAAGGAGGAAAAAAATTTAATTTTAATAAAACAGAGAAGAGAATTTCGAGAAAAAATGAAGAGGGATTTTTTGTTGATTTTGCTTTGGTTATCTATAAATCCTCCTTTACTTACGAGGATTATGATTTATTTTATTCTTTGGATTTTTGTTATGATGAAGAAAAATATTTCAAAAATTATTGCAATTTGGAGTTAATGAGTAAACCAATTAATGCAACATTTGATGTAAGTTAACCTTCGAAACTCACTATAAAATATACCCGATAAGAGAGTCAACTCTATTTAAGATAGGGTTGGACCCCGAATCCTGAGGGCACGTTTTTCGGGGAGCGTTAGAGGAATGAGTGTTATTCTGTCTGTCACCTCCAACGCTCCCCGAAAAACGTGCCCTCAGGATTCGGGGTCCAACCCTAATTTAAGATACTCTACTTAAATTTGGTTAACCATTGGGTGGGGGGGGGGCAGCTAGGCGTTGCTTCCCCTTTTCTTTTAATAAAGGATCTTAAACTTTCGCCTAGTAAGCAACTTAGATGATAGCTCTAAAGGATCTCCCTCTTTACAAATACTTTCAACACCAATGTGAAAAATTGGGTTGGACTGCTGTCCTTCTATCCAGGGCCCCTTCCCTCCAAACTGCGGCCTAATCCGTTGGCCATACAACCACCCATCGGCTGCTGCAAATTTGCTGTTATTTCCAGCCGCTGCCCATTTCATTTCCTATCGCTGACTATGTATATAGTCGTGCACCACGTTTTGGAAAATTAATTCAATTTACTGGCTAATAAAGTAGATGCTTGATGACCGCCAATTTAACCTTCAAATATGTATAATTAAGGAAACAGACTTGGATAAAATTGTTATTTTTGTTGATCAAATTGTCAATAATAAAGGAAAAACAATTATAAATGTTGGAACTAATACGGAATTCGAGCTTTATCATTCGTATGAAGATGGAGTTATTAAAGGAGATGTTAAGAATATTGAAAAAATTGCAAAAGCCTTAAATGCTTTAGTTGATGATGAAGAAACTTATTATTTAAATGAAAAATGTAGTGAGACTAAATTTGAAGGAAAATCAACAATCGGCTTAAAATTTAAAAATTCCAATACAACAATTAATGTTTCTGGAAACGATTTATCAGACTATAATGTAAGAAAAATTGTATTTCTTTTAATTAAGAACCTTTTTGGGACTTTATTATAAGAGTATTGTAACTATCCTCCAATGTGGGGCTATATTTTAGAAAATACGGTATTCATCGGAATAACATACCGTAAATCCTCTAAAATAGGCCCCACCTCTAAAATAAGCCCCCTCTAGAGGTCGATCGAAAAAATAAGCCCCGGGGTTTATTTTAGAGGATTTACGTTAGGCATATACATAGTACTCTATTAATTACCCACCCTCAAAAAATTACCCCGCCTCTATTAGTTACCCCCTCCAACTAAAGGTTAAAACGCCCTTAAAATTAGTTATAATTAGCTTTGCTAAAATAACTTCTATTAATTACCCCGCCTTTATTAATTACCTCTTCCAGAGTGAGGTCGAAACAATAATTACCCAGGGTAATTAATAGAGTATATACGGTAGGTATATATTTTATACCTCAATCATTCTAACTAAATTTAATAATCAACAAAAACTTATTTAATATTTTGGATTTTTTTCAAGTATGAAGATAAATGTGCACTTGGACTGGGAATTGATGAAGAAAACCAATTAAAATTTTCATCACAAATTTTCACTAATTATTGTGTCTTATTCGATACTTTATTGAAACAAGTAGCTTTTGCACCGAAAGTTGTAGAGCCGAAAGATATGGAGTGGATTCTTTGTTAATAGAGAAAAGAAGATTTTAAAGAGATTAAAAAATTATAAAAAAATTTTATATTTGAAATTTATATTTAAACAATAGAAAATTTCATTTAAACAAATGAAAAATAGAAAAATACAATAGGAAAATATTTTTCTATGTACAATAGAAAAATATGAAAAAAAACAGACTGTACTCAGGCAATAACTCAATAGTAGTAGAATACCAACCCAGAACTGAAGCCTTTGTTTTTTATATGTACTAATTGTAAGTGTAAAGCATATAGCTATTCGGTTCCCAAGGCATCAGTCCGGTCTACTGAAGATGCTGGTTCGCTACTGGCCGCCGAATAACCTTTTGTACTAGCTGAAGGAGAGAAATAGCTATAGCCCAGTTGCTTTACTTAAGCACACGCCAGAGACTCCCATTTTATGGGTTCTTAGGACACACTCGCTCCCGAGGTAATGAAAAATACCTTAAATGAAATTTGTGGGTAATATAGAGAATTACTGTAATTTAATCTCGAAATAGGTACAACCAGAACATTTTTATTTTTAAAATTTTATTTTACTACATACAAATTTAAGTATAAAAAATATCTTGTTTAAATTTATTTTCCCAATAAATTCTTATATTTCCAATTTTTATTTCTAAATTTATTTTACTAAAAAATACATTCTTTTAACAAGTAAAATGTTAAAGAATAAATTTTGGGGGGGAAATGAATGGGAAAATATTGGGGGAAACATAAAATAGATGAGAGAATGAATTGGCTGTTTTAGTTAATGCGGTGTGAAGGATGTTGAAGGGGGTTGTTCTGGCGCTTACCTAAAAAATTAGTTAATAAAATTTTTCTGATTGGATTTACAAAGAGTTTCTTAAAATTTTAAATCTAAAAAATGAATAAATGTAAAAAGATACAAATATTTAGAGGTGGCTAGAGAGCGATCTGCATCTGTACCTTGATTTTTCCTGGATCCAGAGTCCAGATTAAGGCATTTTTCAGAGTTCCTTGACTTTTCCTTGACTCGAGGTCAAGAATCTGGTCAAGGTACCCAACCGAAATCAAGGTCGAGGTTTGTTGAAAATCTCGTTCTCTAGAAGTTGCATTGATCGGGTGACGTTAAATCGAAATTCAGTGGAGGTTTAATAAATTATATATTAAATTTAGAGATTATTTGGAAGTATTTTTTGAAAAAATTCTTTTTTGGATTTAAAGAGAGGCTAAAATAAATGCTCAATTAATTTATAGTACAACGCCGTAACAGTCTCAGGCCTTAATGTAAAATAAAATGAGAAAGGGCAAATAAACACAAACATAAAATTGACATTAAGTACATTAAATACTATTTTTTCAAGTAAAAGTGCAAAAACGAAGAAAAATTGAGAAAAATCAGCAATATTTATAAATATTATATAAAATAACGAAAAAAAACGAAAAAAAATCTGTTAAAAACCCCAAAAAACTAAAGGTGTGAATCGGCCAATAATCAGAGTATAGTTAATAATAGAGTAGCCACAAAGTTAGAATCGAAACCTTTTTTAAATCTAAGCTATTACGGAAAATGATTTTTTAAAATTAGAATTTGTTTTTAATAAGAAAAATTAAAAACTAACATCGAAATCGAGTGACCGAAACCTTTTTCTCATATGTAGGTAGCTGAAGAACTTTAAAATTTTAAGTAAACCAACCCCAAAATTTTAAAAACTATAAATCCAAAAAATTCCGGTTTTCCCTGTTTATGGATTTAAGCCTTAGAACCCTGCCAAAGATTGTTTATCAGACAAATTTCAAAATATTCTAAATAATATTAAATATTTATTTTATTTTATTACTATTAAAAAATAAAAAACAAAATAAAAAATAAAATTTTCCAAATGTTAGCAGATGGCATTAAACACATAATAAATAAAAAAATAATTTTTTTTTATTTCCAATGCCATTTAGTTTTTCTTTTAAAGATTTTTCCAAGTAAATTACCGCAAAATAAAAAAGAAATTTTATTTTGTATATTAAAAAAAGTTTTGGGGGAAAAAAATAAAAAATATGTACCTCAAACAAGAAGAAATTGTTTTTTTTGGCAGATGTTTTTTGAAGGAAAAATTTTTTTTTGATTTTTTATTGCGCAGTATATAAGGTTGGAAATACAAGGATTTATAAGTAAAGTTATCTAAATTTTAAAATAAATTTTAAAATAATGTTAATTAAATTGATTATATTTATTTTTCAATTTATTTTTTATAAAGTTGAAGGAGAATCTAAATTTGTAAGTAATGAAATGATTGAAGAAGGTAATTAAATAATTAATATTTTTGTAAGAAGGGTTAGAAGACTCCCATATCCTGTCCAAAATAAGTAAAGGAGTTAAGTAAAAACATTATCATCGGCAAGCATCGACCTGTAAGCGGTGGTTGAACTTTGAAATTCGCTCGTACCCGTATTTCGTACAAGGCCTTATTTTGCCTCGTACTCGTACCTGCCTAATTTTTTTGCTCGTACTTCGTGCACAGGTACGTGTAAGAATACGGTACGAATTTTGGTACGAGCTTCCAACCACTGCCTGCAAGTTCTAGGCACTTATTATTACTGGGCGCTTTAAGCTGCTTCACCGGCGGAGCTGCCGGGAACAGAGCCTAACTTTCACTTTTTCTTCTACTTAATAAATCTTAAACTCCTACGTAGAATAAGCATTTAAATGACATCCAGCTGAATCTTTCTTAAATAAAGTATAATTAAAATTTTCCCGCTTATTCCCAACACTTCTTGCCTCACATATTTTTTTCAAATATTTTAGTCCATCTCTTGATTTAAAAAAATATTTTTTTAATTTTATTTAAAATTTAAATAAAAAGGTATAATAAATTGTTGCAACAATAAATGGTCAAATTGTTGTCGTGAACGTTTAAAGGACGACAAACATTTAATTTGTTTGGGGCTTAAAAACGAATTGGCTATAAAAATGGGAATTTGTTTAGAAAAGTATTTTTATGGAAATAATTCCATTATTGAAAGAAGAGGTTCTACAAATATTTTTAATTTTTTTTCAGATTAATTAATAAAAATAAGAGAAAGAGCTATATATGTATAATAAATGTTTAGCGCATGAATCCTCCACTCCAGATAATTTTAAAAAAAAACTCGGACCTAATTATAAGATAAAATCTTGCGTCTGAAACTTCCATTTTATAATGAGATACCGTAAATACTCTTATATAAGCCCTGGGCTTATATTATTAAATGGGTCTTCTCGGATGGGCCTATATTAAAGGTGGGCTTCTACACGAGGCTGGGCTTATATTAGAGTATTTACGATATATCTTAAATAGAAAGTTTTGCTTAAGCAGCTCCTCAACCCCCTCAATCCCCAACTTGATTTAAAAAAGTATCCAAAATCAGGGTTTATTTAGTATTGGGGGTATTCTATGATGAGACCCGGTTACAATTTAATTTTTAAATAATTTAATTAAAAAAAATAAATTTAAATTAAAAAAAGTTTATAATTGTTGTTGGCAACTTTCTGGAGAGAAATGCCGTCAAAATTGTTATAATTATTTACGTGCCCCAACAATGCCTCCTGAACAAAAATTTACTTTTACTGATGAATGTTTTGTTAATAAAACAATTAAAAATGCTGAGGATAATGAATTAGAGTAAATTTTGAAAATATTTTAACAAACTCTGTTAGTTATTTACCCTAATAAGTATTCTTGCCTTCCTTGACAAAAGATTAAAATTTTCTATTTGAGGCATACACTAATTCTAATTGTTATTTTATTAAATAAGCGGTTGCACCTCAGAGGTGGGTCTGAAATGGCGAAGAAAATCGGAATTCCGACCCATCTCTGTTGCGCATCCTAAAATTCTTTAAATAAAAATAACCACAAACGGTCCGAAACAGGGAACCGTGAATCAAAACCCAGTGATAACCGGGAAACGAGGGGTATCGGTTAATAGCCGATACCCAATCCTAGTTTCGTTTGTCTTAAAATTAGTACTGGCCAAATTCTTTCCCCTAAAAAGTATTCTTGCATTTATTTTAAATTCTTTAAATTAAAATTCTTAAATAAAAATATTAACCAATCCGAAACAGAAAACAGTTAATCGAAGAAGAGGGGGTATCAATTAATAGCCGATTTTCACTCCTATTATCTTTTGTTATAAAATTGATACTCCCCAAAATATGTTTTTTGATTACCCAAAAAATCAAAAAAAAAACTCTAATCCCCTCGCAAAAAATTTTTAAGGAAAATATATTTTTTAATTTTAAAATATTTTTAGTTGTGTTTTGGATCGAGAAAAAGTATTACATGGTAAAATTTAAATTTATTAACAATAAAATATATTTTTAGAATGTTTTTCTTCTTGCCTTCATTGGACAGAAAACAATAAAAATAATGAACGTTTTCGTCCTTCACAACATTGTGAACCTTATGCTAAATTAATGAATTCAGAATCTTGTCATATTCCTATTAAAATATTTAAAGAAGAAAACGAAAAAGAAAATTAAGAATAATAATACAGGGTGTTTCACCAGAAAAGCCCTTTTTGAAAAATCTATCTTTTTTCTACTTAGACAGTTTTTTACGATATTGGGTATTTTTTAGCTATAAACAATAAGGTTTTTTTCGACATAAAAATTATGTCTAAATTCGAACCCTAACCCGAGATAATTTCGTACTCTACCGTTCTGTTTTTCCCTTTTTTCCCACATGCATTCTACTCCCTTTTGTTTTTACGAGCGGGCGATAGACACTAGAGTAAACACTAGGCGATAGACACTACAACTTCAATACTTCCATTAAGTGGTCAAAACGGGATGTTACAGATTGAGAAAAAAATCGGGTCTCGTTTTTAATCGGCTTTTTAAAATTTCCTTCGGATAGGACTTTGATTCACGGATCAGGTTTCGGGTCAGTCAGTTAAAAATTTGACCAAGAAGCAAGATTTCTCGGAGCGGTTGGGTGATATTTGTGGATTTGGGGATTAGTTAACGGCATACCGGTGGATTTAGTGTTTAAGGTGGGTTTGGATAAATTAAGATTAATATAAGTGGATTCAGTGATTGAGAGGGATATTTGTTCAAATAACGCAATGGTACTTATCCCTTATACCACACCCCCTCAAAGTAGTGTCCAAAATGTCATATATGGGGTAATAAAGGGTGCTGATCACGATTATGGTGTTTATTTCTCAATATAAGAACCCCCTCACCCATAAATTGTCATGGTTCATAATGGTCAAACTTCAAGTTTGGACGCATTTGACTACCACAATGGCAGAAACGTTCAGTATGAAGCAAACCGCAATTTTGAAAAAATTTTGCAGCGTTTGATTCATCAGGACATCCCCCCATTAGTGTGTCGTAATCATAGGGCATTTTTTATTTATTTTTATTATTATGGGTTCAAATGAATGAAATCGTTTATATACTCATTAAACGACCAATAATCACACAGAAAATAAATTTAAATATTGGTGCATTAATATTGCTCATACCTATATATTTATTTAAATAAAAACTTGAAGTTTGACCATTATGAACCATGACAATTCTTGGGTGAGGGGGTTCTTATATTGAGAAATAAACACCATAATCGTGATCAGCACCTTTTATTACCCCATATATGACATTTTGGACACTAATTTGAGGGGGTGTGGTATAAGGGATAAGTACCAACGCAATAACTGTAGGCCAGTCCCTTTAATATTTTTACATTCTATTTTATATACACAAATAAATATACAAATAAAAATTCAATTAATACACACAAAAAATATTTTTATATTTTCCTTAAATCACAAATAATTCTCTTCTCTCATTTCTTCATTTACTGCTTATTGTTAGCCTGGGGTTCTTTGAATTCCTTTGGTTTGAATAGAGCAAAGGAAACTTCCAAATCCGGACTAATTTTAGCAACAGCACCCCAATTGTTAGTTTCTGGATTATATCGAACTGCTGAGAATACAGTGATTAGTTGGTTGTTTGCGAAGGTTGAATATCCATATTGAGCAGCCTAAAAAAGAAAAAAATTATTTATTTTAAAATTTTTAAGGTAAAAAATTTGCGTTTTTGGCGCACACTTAAGAAAAGTATAAGGGAACTGTGCGCAATTTGTGAACGCCAAAAACTAATTAAGCCTTAAAAATTTAATTTTTCACCTGATGCGCTCGCATAATCATATGAACGCCAAGAGTTTTGCACATTTGTCTAACTGCATCAGGGCCGAACATAACAGAGCAATTTCTGTAGGGATTGGGTTCCCAATCAGGCGGTTTAGGTTTTTCCGTATTTGGATCTGCCCAAAGCAAATCCTGTACCAATCCAGGCGAGATAACCATAGCAATTGGCCGCTTCATTGATCGGATGTCGTTCAGTGATTTTAGATGAGGGGAAATGCCACCTGAAATAAAAAAAAAGAATTGTTTTTGAAATTTTGATGCTATTTGAAGGGACACTCCCCCACACTTAAGGGGAAATCCCTCTAAAAAAGAATCTTCTCTAAAAAGCGAAAGGATGAGTATCCCTCCCAGCCATTTTTAATTACCATGCATGCACAGGATTTTCCCTCCAATCAGAGCAGCCAAAGGCAAATAGGCAAAAGCATCGTTAAAGTCATTCCACAACTGTTCAGCCTGTTCCGCTCCAAAACGACGTACCAACTCATCATAGAAGCCATAAACTCTAAAAATAAAGATTATTTGATTAAAAATAATCTTCTAAATTTTTACTTGTTGATATGATGTAATTCGTGATTCCCACGTAGCAGAAAAATGTGCTTGGGATACTGAATTTTACAAGCGAGCAGCAGGCAAATGATCTTTAAAAAGAAAAATTTTGAGAGAAAACAACGGTCTAAACAATCAACACACCTCCAACGAATTTCCACCTCTATCAACAAAGTCGCCAAGAAACAAATAACGCGTTCGGTGTGGAGGTCCACAAGAATGAAAAATCCTCAAGAGATCTGTGTATTGCCCATGCAAATCGCCACAAACATGGATTGGCCCTGTTGTTTCAATTAGCGTCGGCTGTTGTTGAAGAGAATCAACTGCACGATCGACGAGCTGCTGGAGTTGCCCAAATTTGTATCGATAGCCTTTGCGACCTCGGACTAGATGGCGGCGGATAAATTCGCAGAGGTCAATCTGAAAAAAGAAAAAAATTGAAAAAAAATATTTTGGACAGTTTTTTAAACTTACTCGATTGAAGACTGCCGAACTTGCAGATTTGCTCATTGTAGTATTCCTTGATCTTGTCTCACCTAAAAATTGATATCTTTTTATGAGAACAAAATTTAAAAAATTCTCACTCGGGTTAATGCCAGCAGTAGCTCCCTCGCGGTTGGACATCATTGAAGGTGGGGGCTAAAAAACAAAGTTTTTTTAAAAGTCAAGACTAACAAGACTTTCTTACCCTTAAACTGAGGTTGCTAAAAGAGCCTCCCTTCCCTTCACTTTCACTAGACGCTGTATGGGCTTCTTGTGACTCCTGTCGTTTTGCCATCGCTGCTGGAGAAAGCATTAACGAGTCTGGAATCTCCATCTCTGGAAGTTTTGGCCGTTCTGGAAGAGCTGCTGCTGGTGGTCCTAATGGAGTTGGAGGTGCTTTGGAGCCGGCTTCTTCTTTCGCTGTTGATTTTATGTAGTCTGAGCCTGTTGGCAGGACGACTTTTGGCGCAGCTGACAGATTTGGATCGCCATCATAGTAGGACATAGCTTACTGATTGGAATGAACACAACAATGCTGGGCAAGGTCAGTCTTTGAAGCGAGTGAGCAAAGGAGTGTTGATAAATAATTATCATTATGCCGGCTTAAATACTAGAATTCTACTGATAAAGACAAGGTTTTAGTCGGATAATTAGAAGAAAAAATTTTAATTCAAAAATAATGAATTCTACTCACAAAAAAGAGTTTGAATACACTGTTAAATACCTACATATTTTAATACAATTTATTTTACTTGTACTATATGTAGTATGTACTTCTTTTCCTTAACTTGAGGATTACCTCATTTTTGGGGTATTTTAAAACAAGTATAGTAAAGCAGCTGGTCTATTATAGCTATTTCTCTCCTTCAGCTAGTGCAAAAGGTTATCAGAGGCTGGGAGCGAACCAGCATCTTTAGTTGACCGGACTGATGTTAACCATTACACCTTCATCTATCTATGCCTACTGCCTTAGGAAATAAATAACTATCTATTAGTGTTTCATCGGAACCGAAATTTTGACCGGAACCGGAACCGGATCCAATTTGAGTTCCGGTTTCCGGAACCGGAACCGGAACTTTTCAAAGTTCCGGCCCGGAACCGGAACTGGAACTTCCGGTGAAACTCTACTATCTATGTATATGCTTTACAATAAACGTTTTTAGGATCTTTAGGAAGCTTCTTTTTTAAAGTTTTTAACTTTGGAAGTGAGACTGTATATTAAATTCAGAAATTTTTTTTCAATCACAGAAAATTTTTTTGAATCTTCAATTTTATGTAATTTTCATGTCTAAAATTATTTTTAATCTTCTTAAATTATTTAAGACAACCTTTTTATCATTTCTTTTTATTCAAATCATTTAATTTTTGGGTATTTTATCTTAAATTTCTCATTTCTTTTTTGACTTAAAAATTGATAAAAAATAATTATTAATGAAATTCTAATAAATAAAAGTATTTCTTTCTCTTTTTAATTTTGTTGCGGCCTTATCAGTGTTATAAAAATATTAAAAAAATAAATTTTTATTTATGTCAGCTGAAGAAAAAAATTTTTTTCCTTTAAGAAATTTTTGTCAAAAATAAATTTTTGATAGTTTTAAATGGCCACCCCCAAAAAAGGCAAAATTTTTTTTTGTTTTTATAAAGCCGGCATAAAAAAGAACAAAAAACAATCCCTACATATTTCTTCAACTATTTACGTATTTCCTCCCTTTTTAAAGAAAAATATTTTAAAACAAAAATTAGTTACACAAACAAACACAAATATTTTGGTTATCGAAATATTTGTTTTTAAAAAAAATATTTAAATTGACCAAAAATAATTTAAAATAGAAAATATTTTCGGATTTATTTGTCTCTGTATTTATCAGGGGTCTAGCCGACTCGATTCCCGATTCCGAAATTCGGGAATTTAATTTTGATGACGGCTAGAACCCTAGTAATTATCTATGTATAATTAGCCTATGGAAATAGCCCCTATGTATAATTATTCATAATTAAATTACTAATTTTGTTTATACCAAGGATGTGATGGTTTGCGAAAAAAGGAGGTGTATTGGGGGTTCGAGTCGAAAAAAGTCTGAATTTTTCGAGTAACCAGATCCATCCCTAATTTACTAAATTTAAAATACCCTTGTAAGGCAGGGATGTCTCTGGACCCGAAAAAAAAACCCGAGACATCCCTGTTGTGAGAATAACATACCTACTTAATTATATACCCAATTCTTATCAAAATTTATTTATTTTCTACTAATTTTCAAATTAAATTACTCATAATAATCAATAAAAAAATTTATTTTTACACGTAAAAATAAATTTTTATTTTTAAATATTATTATTATTCAATCTATGTCTATGTACATATTATATAAAATTTGCATATAAATAAATATTTTTAATAATACATACAAACAAAATTTTTCTCGTTTTTCTTTCTCTCGTTAACAAATATTTATTTATAATGCAAACAAAAAGCCGCATTTTTCACCTATTTTTGCCACGTAAAAATTTTTTTTATTAATTTTATTAATATTAAAATCTCTTTTATATTAAAAATAAAAGAATTTTTATTAAAATTGAATCAAAAATTGAGTGAAAATTTTTGTTAATTTCTGATTGTTAATTTACTCTTTTTTGTTAATTCTAAACGCTTTTTTAATCTAATAATTTGAGAAAATTTTTTAATTAATGAAAATTTGACCCTGACTCGGGATAGGTTCGAAAAAATTAATAATGAATCTTAAAAAATTGGGTGGACGGGGATTCTCATTAAAAATATCAGGGTTTCTACCAAACCTGCTCATGGACACGGATATGGATACAGATATGTAATATCAAGATGCCTGCGGATATCCGCCTGTATCCGTCGTAAATATCCGGATACGGATACCAAAATCAATATCCGTGAGCAGGTCTGGTCTCTACTATGTACGGATATTGCGGATTCGATCGTTTTAACTGGGTAATCGAAGATACTATCCGTATTTGTTAGCTTGCCTGGTTTTTAATATTGAAATTTTTTAATTTTTATAAATTTCTTTCTCCCACTCTTTACTTTTATTAATTAATTAATTCGAATAAATTAATAAAATAAAAAATTTGAGCAGGCAACCAAACCAAACGTTAAAAGCCATACGTTAAGCCATACTTTAACCTATATTTTATTATTATCCGATACCAAGTCAATACATGAATGTTTTTAAATTTATTTTATTAATTCTGTGGTCATTGTACTTTAATATTTCTTTACTTTAATAAAATTTATTTATTTAAGCATTTAAATAAAAAATAAAATAATAATTTAAAAAGAAATTTTTTACAATATTTAATTTAAAAATGGAAAAATTGAGTGAAGCAATTGCTCACCGTTTACGAATTGAAAGTTCATTGATAAGAGAAGTTATGGCTGAAGTTTGTATTTATTTTATAAATTTCTAATTAAATAATAATCTAATTTTTCCTTTTATGGGAACGGTGGAGATGGGGGGCTCTTCCTCCTTTTAGAGATACAAAAAATTTCAAAAAATAAAAAATAATTAATTTTTATAGTTCGCTGGCACTCTCCTCTTTTTGGTTTGTTTTTACAAAATATTAAAGAAAATTTTATCTCTTCAACGTCATTAATTTTAAAAAATTATTTGATTAGCTTCAGTATGCATCTATTTCAGACACACAATATTTTCCTTGAAATCACAAAAACATTACGATAAGCGTTAAATAAATACAAGACAATCTCATGTCAATGTTGAGTATACCGTACATACAGTATTAATTTCCCTGGGCAATTATTGTTTCGATCTTTTGCTAGAGGGGGTAATGAAAGTAGGCGGTGTAATTACTTGAGGGAAGGTAATAAATACAGTAAATACAGTAGGTGGAGGTAGGAAATTCTAAAAGTGTCGGAAATCGGAAGTAAGAACCCGTTGGAATTCGGGTAAAGAACGGGGGTTGAACCTTAGATTCAATCCGATTTTTTAACATTTCTTTCCAAAAATTATTTTAAATTACTAATTTTTAATTTAAAAAAAAAGTTAATTGGAATATCAGCAAATATCCAAACAGCTTCAATTGTAGCTATAGCTACACAAAATAATGCTACACAGACAACAATTACTCAATTACATTCATCTTCTCATTTAGGCAATCAATTAGGTTGGGGATTTGGTTTGGCTTTGGGGGTTTATTTGGCTTTACAAATATCTGGTAAATTATTTATTAGAATTTATGGAGATGTCCAAAACTCTTGTTTAGAGACAATTTTTATTCTTTTCATCTCGGTCTGAGTCTTTAAGGATTTTCTGTTTTGAACACCTATGAGAAACCTGGATTGGTTTAAAAAGAATTGTTAACAAATAATTTTTACTTAAAATACAATAGCTTCATTAACCCTCACTTTTTCTAAATTATAGGTCCTATTAAGAAGAAATATTATATGTTAATTTGTCATTACCATAAAACTGTATTAATTACCCTAGGTAATTATTGTTTCGATCTCTCGCTGGAGGGGGTAATAAATAGAGGTGGGGTAATTAAGAGACGTTATTTTAAAAAGGCTAATTATAACTATTTTTAAGGGAAGTAGTTATTGTTTCAACCTTTCACTGGAGGGGGTAACTAATACAGGCGGGGTAATTATTTGAGGGAGGGATGTTAATAGTTTTTACGGTAGTTAACTTTACGGGATTTATTAAAATTTTATAAGAACCTTATGCTTCATGTTATTTTATTAGGTCCTAGCACTTTATCTCTGAAAATTTTTTAATAAAATAAGAATTTAAATAAATTTTAAAATAAATTTTTCTCATTAAAGGTGCCCATCTAAACCCAGCCATTTCATTTGCCCAACTTTTACGAGGTGCTATCTCACCTTTACGATTTTTATTATATATTCCTGCACAATTAATTGGTGCTTTTCTCGGTGCAGCTTTAGCCTTTCTTGGCCATTTTGGTTTCTTTTTAATTTTATTTCTTTACATTTTATATATTTAGTCAAAAATAATTTTTATGTGAACTTCAAACATTTTTAGAAAAGTTTCCGACAATGATATTAAATTCCGTTCATTTCTTTGTCATTATTTGTTCTCAACTTTTTCCAGATTTGTATATTCAGATCTGACAAATTTAGATTATTAAAATAATGATAAAGAGAGAGGACATGAGTTTAACTCTAAGCAGGGATTATCCTCAAATTCATGGCAATTATCTCATCACGTGTAGATGCTATTCGTCTTTGACCACTTTTTAATGGATAGAAATCAACGCCTAGTAAACTATTTAAATCCTAGCCAGCTGGATTTATCCCTCTTCCTTACAATATTTTGGTCAGAGAGCGGATTGCCCCCACCCATGTCCTAGATAAATAACTCAAAAATTAATTCATTACATTTTTTAGAGGATTGCAGCCTCATACGTTCACAACGAGGCGATCAAGAATTGGGTAAAATAAACTTATTTTAAAATAAAAATTAAAACAAATTTAAGCCAGTCAATTCGCAACATATCCTAGAGATGTAATAAATTATTTTTAAATTGAAAAAATATTTATTTTAAAAAAGGGACTAAGTATTTATGGAAGTATATTAGATCAATTATTCGGTACTGCTTTGTTAGCTGCTGGACTTTGGGCAATTACTGATAAAAGAAATAGAGTTCCCAGTGGTTTTATTCCTTTATTGGCTGGGTTAATACTTACTATGGTAATTAAAAAAATTTTTATTTTAAAAATTATTCGTCTTTTCCATAAAAATTGAAAACGAAAAGGGCTGAAGAAAGAGTAGAAACTAAATTTGATGGTGATCGGGATCGTTATCTCAAAAGATCTGAAAAAAAATTATCAAGATTTCAATAAGCAGGATTTTTTAACGGATCTCGTCTCAGTCCCAGACTTATTGAAGAGTCCATAATATAGAGGGTTGAAGTTGATAAAATAAAGCTTAGAAAAACGATTGGAGTTGACCAGAAAATAATTTTATTGAATTTTTTAGAAAAGTCCTCTAAAATTAATTCCATTTATTCCGTTGTCAATGTTTGTTACGAACTTCTCGGGTATTCAAAAATTTTTCTATATTCGGATATTAAGTAGAGTTAAGTACGTAGGATCGAGCGGGATTATCCTGCCTTTTTGAATTAATTTAAAGAAACTTCTCACTTTTAAATTTCTTTAATCAGAGAGAAATAAAAAGAATTTTTTATAAATTTGTTTACCCCTAAATTAGCCTAATTCGCCCCCAAAAATATTTTTATTTATTTAGATTTCATTAACATTTGGCCTAAATGGAGGGTTTGCAATTAATCCAGCACGTGATTTAGGCCCAAGACTTTTTATGTTGTAAGCTTATTTTTCTTAAATAATTTAAAAATTTATATTTTTATAGAAGTATTGGATTGGGATGGGGAATGTTTAGGTAAATTAATTAATTAAAATAATCTGATAAAATTATTTTTAGTAACAATAATTTCTACTTTTGGATTCCTCTTGCAGTTCCATTCGTTGGTGCATTGATAGGCGCTTTTGTTTATAATTTATTAATTGGGTAAATATTAAATTAAATTTTTATTAAATTCTGGTTCCCCCTTGCTTTCTGGTAAAGGAAAATTTTTTTATTTGTTAGAAGAAAAATGTTTAATTTTAAATCCGTTCACCCCTTTTTTTCTTGCTTTCACAAAACCTTAAATTAGCCAATAAAGAATGGAATCTATAAGACAGTCGGGTCTCACTTGTACGAAAATTATTGTACTGAGGAAATCTAACGTTAAAACAAAAGTGTCGTACAAGTGAGGACAGACTGAAGTTATATCTAATATATAATTTAATAATGTTGGACACACCCAGTTATTAACTGCAGTCTCCGATTTTCGGTTCTCGACGGTTGTTGACCTCCCGGGTTTTCGGTTCCGTTTTTCGCCAAAGACACAGGTTTTCGGTTAGATTAACATTTTATGTCCAACCCTATTTAATTACATAAAAAATCTTTTTATTAAACAAAAAATTCATTTTTCAAGTGTTCATGGTTTGGACGAACAAATAGAAATTAGTGGAGCAAATTATCCAAGGGAAAATGATCGTGGATATAAGGTTTTCCCAGAAGAGTTTGTTTTTGTTCATTTAAAATAAAATATTAAATCCCCAATTATATTATGTATTTTTTAAATTAATTTTCCCCAATTTTTTAAAGGAGTACAACTCAAACCCTGCCTCCGTGGGTGTCACCAGCCACTTGGTCTCTTACAGCAGCACAATAAATCGTTGAAAAAGAAAAGAAAAATTCGAAAAAAGCCTTAAAAACAATGCCAAATAATAATACAGCCAAACCTTATTTTTAGATAAACCCTTGGGCTGATCTTACCTTATGAGTTGTGGGGATAACATTTAGAAAGATTTTTAAGTATTCACGGGTTGGACAATACAACTTCAATATAAAAATTTATGGTTGGCCCTTCATTGGCCAACCAAAATTTAAAAAATGTATCTTAAATCAAGGCGCACTTTTGAGGGTATCTAAAAATAAGGTTCAAATATAATATTTTACTTAAAAAAATTTTCCTTTAAAATGTTTTATAACAAAAATTAAAAAAAAATTTTCTAAATTTTTATTTAAAAATTATTTTTAAAGTTTCTTAAGTGATTTTCCAATTCCAATATAAAAATTTATTTATTTATTACTAACAAAAATGAGCAACAATAATACGAAATTATATGACGAACATATTTATAGAAATTTAATTAATTAATTAAATTTCTAGATTTTTGTATCAAAACTGACTAAAATTACTAATAAATGTCGTCAAACAATAAATTAAAAATAAAATTAAAAAATAAATTAATTAAGTGGTCAGCAAGAGATATAAAAAATATTGGATTTTATTCAGTTTGCGTCCCAATAGTTTATTAAATTATTCTTTTGTTTCAAAGTTGGGGGTTTGGAATTCTCTTTAACGTTTTTTGGTTGGTATCAATGTCCCGTTGACTTGATATTAATTTTACTCGATTTTTAAGAATTTCAGAAAATCCATCATAAGAATGGTTACAGGCTGAAAATGTTATAGTTATCAGAATTTAAAGTCATTGGCCTCGAACAGATATCTTAAGTACCACAAATTTGAAAATCAAAACGAGAATCCAATATACAAATTTATGGGGGACACACAAAACTTGAACAAGAACCAAAATATCTTATAAAAAAATAAATTATAAATGCTCATCTAAAAAATGGCATATGGGAAATGCATAAATATAAAAAATAGGTATAAAAAAATTTTCAAAAAAAACCGCTGGAATAAGAAAAATGGCAACTTATTTAAATTAACAAAAATATTTTTTAAGTATCTTAATTTTAAATTATTTAGATTCTAAACAAAAATTAATTATTTTTTCCTCCTCTTTTCCTTGTCTAATTCCCTTCATTATCATCTACCCATACCCATTTACCTCGTTTTGTAGGGACTGTATTAATGTCTGCTAATGGACGTGATTTTGAAGTTTGTTGTTGTTTTCCATTAAATTTTTGTTGATTTTGATAGAAAGATTGTTGTCTACTAATATTATTTTGTTGTTGATAATTTGGTTGCCAAGGACGGCCACGAGGAAGGTAATCATTGTAAGAATTAGTATGTGACGATTGTGGCGGTTGTTGGCAATTCTTTTTTTAAAAAATTTTTTTTAATTAAATTTAAAAATCTAATTGTAAGTAAAAGAAGTTCCCGTGAAAATATGTTAGGGATGGGCAGGGTTGAGAAAAAAAGGATCGGGCTTCGGATCGGATACTCAAATTTGTCTTTGGATCGGGTTTCGAATCAGAAAAAAGTTGTGTTTAAGTTCAAAAAGAAAGCCCAACACATTCCGGATGTATAAAAGAGTAGAAGATCGAAATAAAAGTATTTTCGAAAAGCTAAAAAAATTTTAAAAAATTCATCACCCAGACTAACATAGGATATAGGATTAATATCATGTCAGTAAATCCCTCATATCTGTCTAGTAAACATTTAACAAATTTGATTAGATACCCGTGAATTCGAAAAACGCTCTGATTGTTGTTGATTTTGGAACCCACGTCGTCCTCGATCATAATCTCGGTCTCTAATATGGCTATCATAACGACTTTGACGTTGTTGTGGTTGATAATAATCATTGCTCTTTTGTTGTCTTTGTTGATTTAGTAATTGTTGTTTAAACGATTTTACTGGAGAATCTGAATCATCAGAAGGCGGTCTTTTAGTTCCAATTTGAGGTTTTTGATAAGAAGATGAACAAAAATTATTTTGTTGTCGATCATGATAACGAGAAGAAAACTTGTTGTGATCTCTATTAGAAAAGTTGTTGTTGCGGTATTGTGATCGACGACGTTCTGGTGATGGGGAACGACGACGTGGAGTGCCTAAAAATAAAGTGTATTTTAGATATACCTTTTGGATGTTAAATTACTTAATAGCCGGACTTTTAGGAGTACTAATTAATATTTTTAAATAAGATGACAAGTAGAGGCTTTTATTCGGATTCTCACATTTTTCTAAATAATCCTATCAGATCAGAAATGGGAAAATGCTATCTAGATGGGAAAATCTTACCCACTGAGAAAATCCTATTTAAGGAAACAACACAACCTAAATTATAATCTAAAATTCTTAAGACCCCCCCCTTCCAAAATCTTGACCAAAAAAAAATTTTTTAATTATCACATGTCCTCTGTTGAACTTCTCTAAAATTATTAAAAGAGTTGCTATTGCCAAAATTTGTTGTTGATTTCATTCTACTAGAATTAAGCAAATTGTTATTCTCTTTGTAACGTTCTGATGGTGCCATAGAAGCAGAACGCTTAAATTTAGGCGATTCAAATCGAACTCGTTTTGATGTATATTGTCCAAAATCGTCATCAGTAACAGAACTTTTATTAGACCGACCAGCCGAATAATGCCATTCACGATTCTTTTCTTGATTTTTGGGTGGGAAACTCCGTCCTAAACAAGATATTACTAATTTTTTTAGTTAAAGAAAAACCAACTTTTCGCCGGTAGAGAAGAAATTGTAGCCATCCAACTCCATCGATGTTGTTGTAATGTTTCCGATTTTGATGGTGAGGAATTTTCAACACTACAAATATCTTCTTGTTTAATATCTCCGTCAAAACTGTTGCTGTTCTGATCTCGTACAATAAAAGGCTCATTATTTGTTCGATTATGAAAATGAGAATTGGACTCTGACGTTGAAGAATTTTTATTAGCTCGTTGTTGACGGTAACAGTCTCTATCCTAAAATTATTTTTATTATTCGTTCTTCAACTGATATAAAAATTTTTAAAATCTGTTTTGTAATTCACTGTCATGGGCCGGATTCTGGGTCTGTAGTTCAGAAAAATCCCGGTCCTGATAACAAGGAAGCTCAAAAAATGCCTGGGTTTCCTGGCCCCAGCCCCAGCAGAAATTCTAAATAATTTCTTAAATTTTTGCTATGCTATATATTTTAGCTTTCGAATAATTAATTATAAATAAAGAAAATAAAAACCTTATCATTAAAATTCTCTTCAGGTACTTCAGCCATTCCAATATGTAATTGTTGTAATAATTGTGGTGTTGATTGTTGTTCATTTTGTTGTTCCAAAGTCAATTCAGATTGAAATTGCTTCCTACAAGGAAATTGTTGTTTTTGAATTGGAAAATCTCTTAAAGACATTCTTGTACTACAATCAGAAAATTCAGAATGTGTAGACCCTAAATGGCGTTGTCTAAAACCAAAATTGCGTTGAATTGGTGGAATCATTGCTGCTGATATTTTAGTATTTAAATTTGGATTACTTTCAATATTATTGTTAGAAACTGAAGATATTGTGTTTGTTGAGTCTAAAGATGAATGTGAAGCAGAATTAGCTTGAGCATCTCCAATGTTAGATTCAACTAAAAAAATTTTTTTAATAAGTGAAAGAATTGCAAATAAAAAATAAGAGTAAAAAACAAAAGATGACCATTCATAAAAATCGGGAAAAAATAAAATTTGTAAAAAAAATTTTAATTTAGAAATGGAAAAATTTTGGAATTTTCTGATAAGTATATTTCCTATAAATCTTGGCCCCAGACCAACAACTAGCTTTTCGAACAACTAGCTAGAGGATGACCCATTTGAATCTCTTTAAGTTAGAGTTGCATAAAACCGGTTAATTTTTCCCTGTGGCGGATCAAATGCAAAGAATAAGAGCATACGCGTCTCTCCAAAGGGAAAAATTAACCGGTCGGTTAACCGGTTTTGCGCAGCTCTAATTTATCGCAAAATATTTAGAATAATAATAACCTTGAGTAACATTCTCGCCAAGTTGATCAATTTTCTTTCGATATTCTTGTTCCATTAATTCAAGACCAGTAGCACTCGGCATAATACGTCTGCCTGGACCAACAATCTTTAAAAAACAAAATATTTTTTTCTTAATTTAAATAAAAAAACAAACATTAACAAATTTTAATTCAACCAAAGCATTTAAAGTATCCAAAATTAACGAATTTCCAACAGCACGTTTTTCAAGTAGTTCAATAAATTCCGATTCTAAAATATGTTCGGGAGCATCTTTAGGCAAATCAACCTTTTTGATTTCACTAGAAAAAATTAAAAAAAATTTTTTGTGCCATTAAATATTAGAATTAAAGGTAAGATTGACTTCATACCCCCACCCTAGTATCTTTTTCCTTCCACAGAAAATGGTTTGAGCTAAAATGTAAGTATTACCACTTGTTCTATTACGATAAGTACCCGGCTCTGCTTTCTAGAACCAATGGTCTGGTTTTGGTCTGGAGGCTGTAGCACCCAACGATGGCATTGATGCTAGAAAGCAGAGCTTGGCACTTGTCGCAAAAAGCAATGTTGGTAAACAGTTTAAGTCTGACCATTTTTCCACTTTGTGAAAGGAAAAAAATAAAGGGAGGGGGAGGTACAAAATTCAATTTACCGAATTAAAAAATATTGCCCCCCCCCCTCCCCAATTAAAAATAAACTACTAAATACAAATTTATAAAAAATATTTTTTCTACTGACGATTTTACTAATGATGAATCATCAGTAGAGAATAATAAAAAATTATTCTCCGTTGAAGGATTAGATTTCTCATTGTCAGAGTAAATAACCGAAAAATTTAATCTAATTCAAAAAAATCCTCACGTCACAAAATATTCTCTGCTCGGATTTCTCTTTCGAAATTCCTCCGGCAATTGATCACTAACATTCGGTGGGCGCATCCAAGGCAAATAAGTGGTAAAACCGGGTGTTGCCAGTACTTGACATTCACACATAAAACGTTCTGGACCGGCTTCAAACCTTTAAATTAATTTTAAAAAAATTTTAAAGAGAAAACAAACTCAAAAGTATGAACAGAATAAGTAAAAGGTTGATGGCAAGTGGCGAAAAAATATTGACAAATTAATTTTAACAATTCCATTTCATCATCTAAAAAATTAAAAAATTAATTTTTTATTAAAAAAATTTTCTTTTACTTTCCAAACATTGATCCAACATTGTTTCAAGACTTTCACTTGTAGACAAAATACAAGGATGAATTGGAACTGAAGTGTTTGAATTAACACCATCAACAGTTGTTTTGCCACAACAACCTCTCAAATTTTTTAGACGAACAAAATTGGCGAGAATTAGCTGGAAAAAGGTTGAATTAAAATCTTTTTATTAATTAAAGGGAAGAGAAGCTAGGTAGCTTGAATTGTCGCATATTTTAATATTCGAACCTTCATTTTTTATATACCACTAAAGCAAGATAAAACGATATAAATTACGTAGTAATTCAATAATTGGCCAATTGGTGAGTAGCTGCCTAAGTGTTTCACCGGAAACAATATTTTGACTAAAACCGGATTCATTTTGAGCTACGGATCCCGGAATAGAAACCAAAAAAACGCGGGCATTTTCCAGAACCGGAACTTTCGGTAAAACTCTACTACTTAAGCAATATCGCATTTAAGACACCACTAGTAATAAGGTACAATTTTTGCAGCCTCAAAGAGGAAACAAAAAATGAGGTGTCAAAAAATTAGTCTGGTTGAATAACAAAATGTTTAAAAAATTTGAGAAATGCTTAAAATTCAATTTTATTTTAACCGTTAAAAATGCCTTACCCTTGTGTCAACGCGCAGCTTACAAAGTTCATCAGCTTGTTTAATAATGTTTTTAATAAAATCTTTAAAAAACAAAAACTAAAATTGCAATATTTAAAAAAACCTTCATTTGGAAATCCAGCCGGATATGCTTTAGCAAACGTTGTCGGATTTGTTAAAAGCTTGCTTTTATGCAATCGATTTGCCAATTCCATTGTATATTTTGGAGAAAAATTTAAACGCTCGCTAAAAATATTTTTTTGAAAAAAATTTTGAAAAAATAACCTAGCAATTCGAATAAGCGTAAATAAATTCATAGGTGCCGGTTGTTTAATTTCCTCATATCTTGCATTTGAAGAGACAAGTTTTGCACGGCCAAGTTTCTTAAATTTATGAAATAAAAAATATTTTGGTACTTTTCCGTTATCCCTATCCCCTTTTGCGGACTTTTTTGCGACTGTCATGTGTACAAAATGGTCAGACTCCTCCCTTCCTTAATTTATTCTGACCATTCTTTAAGCAAAACAGTCGCAAAAAAAGGGGGTAGGGATAAAGGAAAAGTACCGAAATTTTTTTATAAAAAACCTCAAGATCTCGAAGGCGTGAAGCAATAAAAATATGATTGGTTTGGTTAAACGGACCATCTTTATGGCGAACAATAGCGCCTTCTTTTCCTTGAGTTGCCGAGTTTCTGCTTCGCAAACGACAAGTAATCTTTAAGAATTTTTTAAATAAAATTTCAATGAAATTAAAAACCGTATATTCATCCAAATCTGTTTGCTTCTCTTTATTATTGTGATGTTCAATAAGTAAATATAAAGCCTGGACAATTACAGAACGAGAAACAGCAGGTGGTGGAGCACGCACCAAATTACTGAGAGTTACGGCATCCTAGAATTTTTGGTTTTACTTGACTTTATGAGTCCAATCAAACTTTATAAGTCCAATTAAGAAATAATTAGATTTTTCTTGGTGTTGCAAAAGGTATGGTTCCAAAACATTTCTTCATGTTCGGGACCTATGCCCACTGGATCTTGGCCGTTCCTTACCCTATTCCGGGTCTGGGCCGTTCCTTTCAGAAAAACGATTTTAACTTTCAGAAATTTCGAGGGATGGGGTAAGGAACGGCCCAGACCCAGTGGGCGTAGGTCCCACATGAAGAAATGTTTTGGAACCATACCCCTACTTTAAAATACCAAAAAAAATCCAATTATTTTTTAATTGGACTCGTAAAGTCAAGCAGAGTAGAAAAAACTTTTATATAATTAAACCAAAATATGTCAAAACTGACCAATTCATTATTCATTGTTTCTTTTTGTTGATTTTTGGAAGGTGAAGCGTTTCGCGTATCAACATCACCAGTAAATACCTCGTCACTAATTTCACCTTCATCGACTTCTTTGTTCAACTGTGAACTTGTTGGAGGTTGAGGCCCTATCGGCTTTTGCACTTCTGTGCAATCAATTTGTCCACTAGTAGAAACCATAATTTTTAATTAATTAATATTAATGATACAATACTTAAAAACCCTGAAAAATAATATGTATTAATTCTCTAAATCAATTCTAAAGAAATGGGAAGACAAAAAATAGTTCTTGATTGACATTTCTTGGGTAAGCCCAAAACGGCGCACGGCCAAAACGGCGCGCGGTTATAACGGCGCAAGTCATAACTAGTTGAAAAACTTCTGGCCCTTATCAATTTTGGAATTTTGTTAAATCAAATATCTTTAGATCGATGAGTGGAGTCGTTTATACTAAATTTGTTAAGATTCGGAAAACATGAAGCAAGTTATGGCTTTGCGCCGTAATGGTCGCGCGCCGTTTTCGGCGTGTCCCACATTTCTTTAATTTATGTTTTTTCGGGTACAGCCCATAAAGGCGCGACTGAAAAGGCGCAAGGCCAAAAAGGCGCACGGGTAAATCGGTGCAAACTGACGAACAACCTTCCCCCGTTGCTAAAAATTTTTTTAATGTCTTCTTGTTTTCATTATTTTTTTCAAATTTAAGACAACCGTCCTAATTTTATGTTTTTTCAATTTCAGAGACTTCAATTACTTTTACAACCTAATTATGTCAAGCTCAGACGAGAGTACAAAATCTCGCGGGGTGCGTGCTGGAGCTGTACGGTTGCGTGATTCTATACGTCCAGCCTTTGCTGAAGACGGTATAAATATTCAATTATCTTTTAAAATCATTTTCTCCTTCAGTTTATGGCGGCCCTCGTCGCTCCTCTTCATCAGAGCCCAGATTGCCAAGCAGTAATGCCCCAGCTAATACAAACGTAATCTCGACTGGTAGTGACCTTTGTGTTTCTGCATTAGCACAACGACGTTCTGCGAATTTACCAAAGTTGCGTGAGTTATGCTCCGGTACTTCTAATGAATTAAATATTTCTTCAACTGAATGCCCTTTGACGGTTTTTTTTTGAAAAATTTGATCTAAAAAATTTTTAATTTTACAGAGTGCGCGCGCAAATCTAATGGATGAATTGGAATTCGTTTATGCCGATGCAGATTCCTATGAGACAGAATTGGCTGAGTTCTATACATATTCAGAAATGGATGAATTTGCACTAAATTTTGAATGTTTTGTTAAATATATGCGAGAGCAGAAAGTTAATTTTTACATTTAAGTTTAAAAACCCCTCCTTTGTTTTATAGAAAGAACCATTTTGGAATAAACTTACAAGAGCTGAGAAATGTTCGATTATACAAGGATTGGCGGCTAGTTTTGACAGCACTGAACCGGAACAACGTCTTCAAGCTGCTCGGATTATTCTATACATTCTTCAAGTATTTTGGCTTTTTAAATCTAATATTAGACTATATTTTCAGGGTTCCTATGGAGATTTTTCTGAATTGGAAGGCAAAAAACAAAAGTCACAATCACTAGCAGATTGTTCTTATCATACAAATAGTCGCAGTAAACAACGTCGGCGCCCTTCCTCATCTCACAATTTGGGTGATATTGTTGAAAATAAATCCTGCAACGATGGAGATGATGACAGCAAAAGTATTGATAGTTGTGAAACAAGAAGCGGAGAAGACGAAAATGAGACAACGAGTGAATTAGGATTGCCTTCAAAATGGTTTGGACCCGACCATGGAACGGGTGATTATGAATCTGATTGTTTGATAAATGCTACTTTAAATGCATATCTCTTATATGAACAAGGATTGTTTCAGGTCTTTTTTTTGGATTTTTATATTTTTAAATTAATCCGCGTACTTTTATTATATTTTCTAATTAATTTTTTCAAGCCGCTCTGTTCTCTTCTGCGGTTGGAAGTGTCTTTACCTTTTGAACGGTATGCCGACCATTCTCGTCAATCTAGTGTTTCCAACTCACGTTCAACTTCTCATATGGATTTAACGACAGGGATACCTCCCGAAGGAGGCGGTGGATCTGCTAGCGGAACTTTCGAACGAAGACGTTCTAGGCGTTCGGCAACTTTGGCCGATAATGAACGTATTCGTGTCGTTTTGAATTGTATATATCACATGGTTTGTTTGCAAAATAAATTTTAAGGGAAATTTCATTTTTAAAGGTTGAGTCTTTACGTCGTGATCTGATAGCGGAACTTTCGAAGGAGCAAATTTTTGATGATATTTGTGCCATGTTTGAATACCAAAAAACAAGATATCAATCACCGGAGCACCAAAAACAACGATATCAATCAGCGGAGCATACTTTCTCTCATTCTAGAGTATCTTTGGAAAGGGGTGGCCAATCTCGCTTGAAGACGCTGAGGACACAATTTATAACTGAATTAGGTTTTTGAAAACGTTGAGCTTAAAAATATTTTTATATAATTTCCAGAGGAACCGTTAGAGCACAGCAAAATGCCATTAGCAATTGTTTTGCTTGATATGATGCCTACTTTTGTTCGTGCCAAGAATCCTCATTATCCTATTAAGAAGGTTTAACTAATCTCCTGTTAAGTTGGGTATATTAATTTAAAATTAGGTCATTTTACTTTGCTGGAAAGTATTACTGACAACACTTGGCGGGATTGAATTCCTTCGTGAAGAGAAGACCCGTAAACGACGAGATGCATTACTAGAACCTATTGAAGATACGCTCGAGGCAGCCATTAATATGAAGCCACTGACTCAATCAACTGGGCCTTCTATGGGTGGAGGAACTGGAGGAGAAAGTGCTCTAAAAAGTTTTGTTTTAATTTTTTGTTGAATTAATGTATTTTAGGAGTTGTTGGCGAATTAGGGTCAAAAATTCGGCTAATGCCTAGAGCTAGGCAATTTAACCGTCAAGTTGCGTGCTCTTCTGCCACTGATGGCGGTAGATTTATTTAATTATTGAACAAATACTAATTAATTTTAAAGGTTGGGAGAATAAGGAAAGCATAACTGACGGAGGTTGGAAGAATAAGAAGAATAAGAATAGCTTCAAAAACAAAGAGAGGGATGATAATGAAATCCTAGAATCTAAAGAATTAATTTCAAAATCTGATGCTGATAGATGTGATGATGAGTTTGTTGATGTGAATGATGCTATGCCAGCTGATGATAATAATGAGGAAAAAGGAGGTGAAGATGAAGAAGAATATGGAGAGCAAGAAAAAGTAAAACGGAGATTTAAGATTTTTCGCTTTAATTATTCTTATTTTTTAGTTTTCTGAACATGAAATTAAGAAAATGGCAGCTGTATTAAAGAAGCCAGAAGACGCTGATTTACTTGACGAAATTTTGAAAGAATTGTCTGTAGACGAAGAAGATGTTGAGGAAGGAACTAAGAATAAAACTATTTCTGAAGATGCAATATTTTATCGTGATCGTGAGCCCTTTCGTTTACTTCCAAAAGGTGCAGTCAAAGATGACAGTGAAGCTTCTGGTTTGAATGATACTACAGCAAATAAGGTTTTTAATTGTAAAATATTTGTTCCTTTATTTTTGACTTGCTACAATTTTTTTATATTTTCAGCAACAACAATACAATCGTCATCCACTTGTTGCTGTCCAAATCAGTGAATCTTTAATTCGTCGGCACAAAAACGAGTGTAGTGGCGATTCTTCTAATGGTGGAGGGGATCAAACACCAAAAGCATGCCAATCTCCTGTGAAGATCGCCAGTCCATGGCCCCCGCCTCCGCCGCCAGGTTTCCATGTTTTATGATATATATTTACTTATTGATCTTAGGGCTTCCCTGGCGCTCTAAGGTTCGTGAGGAGGATGTTAAAAATTTTCTGCAACACGCGCGGTTATAAGTGTTATATTTTTGTTAATTCATACCTTCAATTTCAGCCAAAAATATTTCAATTATCAATTACCTAATGATTCCACTACTTTATTTGGTTTACCAATGCCTGTTCAAACAAGTGTTGCCGCTCTTCGTCGGAATTTATACACTTCATTGGGTGAAGTTCAGGTTGAAATTTTATTAACTACAAACTAGAAGGCTTTATTTTTAAGTTAAAAGCAGAAGAACGTTACAACAAATATCCATTTTCTCAAAAAGAATTTATCGAGGAAACACCTACCGAACGATTATATTCACGTATATTACCTGAAATGGCGGAATATGTAATTGCAATACTTAAAGTAATTCTCGCATCGTTGCCTTCTTCAAAGGTAATTTTTTTATCGTTTTATAAATTTATTAAGTGTGAGATAAATCTTTAGCCCCGGGCGGGTAAAAAATATTATAGTATTTTTCCTTCCATGACTTCTTGTGATTAATGCTGGGTTCCGCTTACAACGTGCAGGAGCTCTCTACCGACATCTACCGAGACGCTCTTTCTCTCTAACAATAAGCTTTTTATGCTAGCCTGCTGGATCTCCCTTTTTTATATTTTTTTTTATTTTTAGGCAAAGAATGATGCAGTAACAATTCTTTCTGATGTACTCACGCCAGAAACTGATACAAATGAGTGAGTTTTGGATCCTGACTTTTGGATATTTAACATTTTTCTAGGGTTTTATCCAATTCAATAAGTCTCGATCTTGCTCATCTGGGCACTGGAAACGTGCTTGAAGACAATATACGTGTGGCGATTGATATAAATAGACACAAAGAGGTCTCTTATTTTTAAATAAGAACGTTGATTTAAATAATTTTTAGTTAATTATCAAAGGAGCGTCTTCAATAATTATCTTGTTACTAAAACATTTCCGCCTGAATCATGTCTATCAGTTTGAAAATTTTGCTCAATATTTGGTAAAAAATTTTCAGATATTGATTTTTCAAATTTAATTCCTTTAGATATTGGCAAATTGTATGCCTTTAGTGTTGAAATTCCTTGATCAAAATATTTGCCGTTATTTCCAATCCAAACATGATTTGGCACCCTTTAACTATCCTCAATGTGCACTTTATATTGTGAGAAACGGAAGTGAGTTAGAAATAATTAATTAAAATTATGATTTTCCTTAATTAGACGAACGTCCACCACTAACAGCTGATAATGTTGATGGTGGGACTAATACTGAATCTCCTGGATACTTTCGTTGGAGAAATATTTTTTCAGTAAGTGATAAAATTTTGTAGATTAAATTGTTCTTTTTAAAGGCAATTAATCTGTTGCGTGTTATAAATAAACTGGTTAAAGGAAAACAAGCACGTACAATGATGTTGGTTGTTTATAAATCGGCGCCTGTCCTTAAACGTTGCATGAAAGCAAAACTTGTCTGTTTTCTTTGAAAATAATTTAAGATAAAAACAATTTTTAAGGGAATATTTCAACTTTATGTACTCAAACTTCTCAAATTACAAGCACGATATTTGGGCCGGCAATGGCGCAAAACAAATATGGACATTATCTCTGCAATTTACATGAGGTGTAGACATAGACTTAATGATGATTGGGCATATGCAAATGAGACAACTCGAACAAAATCTTTCGATTACCATAAAGAAGAGAATGAATTGAGTATAGCCATAAGAAGATTTAATACAAGGCGATATCCATATTTTCAATTACGTGGTGGTATTGCTGTTGCGGACACTTCTAATGACGCTGGTACTGAATAATATGGGTACTTTGTTCATAAACCACCCCCACCCATATTTAAGTCTCAGATTAATTTTCCTTTTATTCTTTCCTGCCCCGGAAAGGTCAAATTTCCATCCTTAGAAATGATGATTTTGCTGTTAATTTGATTTAACTGCTGCTTCTATTTTTTCTTTCCAAATAACTTGCATTTTAATAAAATTTTTGATGGAAATAAATGATTGGCAATAATGAAGGAAAATTAATATGAGACTTAAGGAGGGGTGTGGAGGTGGTTTATGAACAAAGTACCATAACATGTATTTGAAAGATCATTAAATAATTTTTAGAACATCCGTATCAACAAAACAATCAAATTAGTGATATTCTTTCACACTCTTCAAGTCAATTGGATGAACTTGCTGGTGAATGGGACCCTAAAGTTTGGGAGCCTATGGACAATGTTTTTAGATAATTCTGTTTAAATCTAATTTGTATACTTTTCAGTCTCTTCAAACTGCTTTGGCCTGGGAACCAGTTTTTAGTGATCGTTTTCTCCAAAATTATGAGCAATGGTTGGAGCAAGAAGTATATGGACACCAAACTGATTGGGATGGATTATTATTAAAGTCACGTGGTCTTTTGGACATTTATTGTTGAGAGAAGATAAGTAAATATGTTTCTCATCTCATGTCAATAATACAATATTAACCTTTTTAGTTTTTTTGTTCCTACATATTTCTTCAGTGTTTAATCCATATTTTAAAGAAGGAAACGTTTTGTTCTGTTTTTTTTATAAGTTTGAGCTTTTTTCTCAATCTGGTCAAAATTTCAGTTCCGTATTATGTTGACAGAACATTACACCCTTTGGATTAACTGCAAACCACTAACATATTTACGCCTTGTTTATTTAATTTATTTTATTAACGTTTAAAATAATTATATTCTGTAAGACTTGAGTACTAATCTCCTGAAAATTAAATAGAAAGAACGATAAAAACGTGTTGTGAGCAGGGGTGGGCGCAAGAGGCAATCGTGAAAAACGCAACGCAAGGCCAAAAATCAACGCAAAACGCAAAAAACGCAAAACGCAAGAACGCAAAATTCTGAAAAAAATTTTAAATCGAGTATTAGCCATTTTTCAGTTAAAATAGAAGTATTACTATAAGTCAGTGAGTCCTAGTTGATCTTGTGATACAATTAAGTTGGATGGGTAATGATTTGAAGGGGATACAATGGGATTATGAAGGATATTAGAGGATTTAGAGCGATTATGAAGGAGGGATCGAGGAAAATTGGAGGGATCAAGGAAATTTAAAAAGATACCATGCGATTACTGATGAATGTCGGATGGGTTGGGGAGTAGCGGAGGATAAATGCCTATCTGTAATTCTCAATTGATACCGTGGATATCAGGGGATTTGGAGGGATAAAGGGAGATCGGAGCTCAAGATATTGAACTGATATTTTTCTGAGCAGTTCCATGATCTACTTTTAGCGCCGCAGGCGAAAATTTTGAAAAATTTGGGACCAAGAAGCCAAATTTCTTCCTTTTTTAAGCGCCGCAGGCGAAAATTTTGAGAATTTTGGAAAGTCATAAGCCTGATTTCCTCAAGATTTTGCCCTCAGATTGGGTATATTTCTTGCGGTTTTTTGCGTTAATTTTGGCCAAATTTACGCAAAACGCAAAACGCAACGCAAGGCCAAAAATCAACGCAAAACGCAAAAAACGCAAAACGCAATGCGCCCACCCCTGGTTGTGAGGGGGTATGATTGGTTTTGTGGGAGTAGTATTTGGCATTCTTGGCTGTCGTTCAGATTATTAGGGATCCGCGAGAAACAAAACGCCAGAGGGCTATATATGACTATTCATCCCCTCTTTTTATTAAATTTCATTTCTCCTCATGTATGAATATCCATGATTTTGTTATTTCATTTCGCTTTAGATTTATGCTTTTATAAAATTCATTTCTTGCTTCTAGGCTTATTTTTGTTTTTATTTAAGTTCACATTTTTCTTAAATCTCAGATTTTCTTTAAATTTTTTAACAACAAGAATTTAATTGTTATAATCGGTTTCGTGCACGCGAACGAACAACTATGGATGAATTTAATTTCAATTATGCTGACGCAGATTCCTATGAGAAAGAATTGGCTGAGTTCTATACATATTCGGAAATGGATGAATTTGCACTAAATTTTGAATGTTTTGTTAAATATATGCGAGAACAGAAAGTAACTTTTTACATTTAAGTTTAAAACCCTCCCTTGTTTTATAGAAAGAACCATTTTGGAATAAACTTACAAGGACTGAAAAATGTTCGATTATACAAGGATTGGCTGCTAGTTTTGACAGCACTGAACCGAAACAACGTCTTCAAGCTGCTCGGATTATTCTATACATTCTTCAGGTATTTTGACTTTTTAACTCTAAATATTAAAATAATTTTTAGGGTTCTTATGGCGATTTTGCTGAGTTGGAGGGAAAACATCAAAATTCACAATCAAGCTGCTCTGATTGTTCTACCTGTTCTGAAGCAAGAGACCTGGAGAAAGAAAAAGCGAGCACTAGTGAATTAGAATTACCTTCAAAATTGTTTAAATCCGACCATGGAACGGGTGATTATGAATTTGATTGTTTGCAAAATGCAACTGCAAATGCTTATCTTTTATATGAGCAAGGAGTATTTCAGGTCTTTTTTGTCGTTAAAGTCTATCTTTTAGTAAATGAGTTTAATGATATCTTTTACCACCGTCGGGCATTAACAGATCCGTCATGAAATTTCTTTCCCTATTGCGGCTTTTCCTATTTTATATTTTCTTTTAAGCCCCTATGTTCACTTTTGCGTTTGGAAGTGTCTTTGCCTTTTGAACGATATGCCGACCATTCTCGTGAATCTATTGTTGCTAATTCCCGCTCAACTTCTTGTATGGATTTAGCGACTGTTCTCAATGGAGGCGGTGGATCTGCTAGCGGAACTTTTGAAAGGCGTTCTAGACATACAGCTACGTTGGCTGACAATGAACGAATTCGTGTTGTTTTGAATTGTATATATCACATGGTTTGTCTTTTAAACAAAAATTAAAGAAAATTTTATTTTTAAAGGTTGAGTCCTTACGTCGTGATGAAATTGTATATAATTCAGTTTGTCTCTTATTTGAACAACAAACCCCGGGATATCAATCGCCGAAGTATACTTTCGATCTTCTTTTCGACGGGAATATCCACTCTCGCTTAGAAACGTTGAGAAAACAATTTATAACAGAATTAGGTTTTCATTTTTAAAAACGAGCTAACATATATTTTTATATTATTTCCAGAGGAACCGTTAGAGCACAGCAAAATGCCATTAGCAATTATTTTGCTTGATATGATGCCTACTTTTGTTCGTGCCAAAAATCCTCATTATCCCATTAAGAAGGTTTAACTTATTTCCTGTTAACTAGGTATATTAATTTAAAATTAGGTCATTTTACTTTGCTGGAAAGTATTACTGACAACACTTGGCGGGATTGAATTCCTTAATGAAGAGAAAACCCGTAAACGACGAGATGCATTACTTGAATATATTGGAGATACACAACATGTAATTTCTCTTTCTAGACCCAAAGTTACTGAAGAGGATATCAAAAATTTTCTGCAAAATGCGCGGTTACGAATATTATATTTTTATTAAATCAAATTCTCAGTTTCAGTCAAAAATATTTCAATTATCAATTACCTAATGATTCCACTACTTTATTTGGTTTACCTATGCCTGTTCAAATGAGCGTTGCCGCTCTTTGTCGGAATTTATACACTTCCTTAGGAGAAGTTCAGGTTAAAATTTTATTAGATACCATTCAAAGTTCTTATTTTTAAGTTAAAAGCAGAAGAGCGTTACAACAAATATCCATTTTCCCAAAAAGAATTTATTGAGGAAACACCTACCGAACGATTATATTCACGTATATTACCTGAAATGGCTGAATATGTAATTGCAATACTCAAAGTTATTCTTGCATCGTTGCCTTCTTCTAAAGTGAATTTTAATTATTTCATAAATTTTACTAATTTTAGGCAAATAATGATGCAGTAATCATTCTGTCGGATGTACTCACGCCAGAAACTGATACAAATGAGTGAGTTTTGGATCCTGGCTTTAGGATATTTAACTTTTTCTAGGGTTTTATCCAATTCAATAAGGCTCGATCTTGCTCATTTGGGAAGTGGGAATGTGCTTGAAGACAATATACGTGTGGCGATTGATATAAACAGACACAAAGAGGTTCCTTATTTTTAAATAAAGACTTCGATTTAAATAATTTTTAGTTAATTATCAAAGGAGCGTCTTCAATAATCATCTTGTTGCTTAAGCATTTCCGTCTGAATCACGTTTATCAATATGAAAATTTTGCTCAATATTTGGTAAAAATTTTAAAAATTAATTCTTTATTCCAATAATTTTTTAGATATTAGCAAATTGTATGCCTTTAGTGTTGAAATTCCTCGATCAAAATATTTGCCGTTATTTTCAATCCAAACATGATTTGGCACCCTTTAACTATCCTCAATGTGCACTTTATATTGTGAGAAATGGAAGTGAGTTTGAAACAATTATTATTTAATGTAAATACATTCGACTCGATAAGCGTCATTGTCTGGGCTAAATTTTTCGTTATAATAAAGGGAGATACGAGCTATCGAAGGCCAAATCTTTATAACATCCCTCGGGACCAAGTGTGCCTTGATGGAAAAAAACAAAAATTCTAAAATAACAGATTTTTTTGTTAACAGATGAACGTCCGCCACTAACATCTGATAATGTTGATGAGGGGAATAATACAGAATCACCTAGATATTTTTGCTGGCGAAATGTTTTTTCGGTTAATTTTTCTATCGAAAAATTTGACATTAATTTATTATTTTTTAAAGGCAATTAACCTATTACGTGTTATAAATAAACTGGTCAAAGGAAAACAAGCACGTACAATTTTGTTGGTTGTCTACAAATCGGCGCCTGTCCTTAAACGTTGCATGAAAGCAAAACTTGTCTGTTCCGTTAAAAATAATTTAAGATAAAAACATTTATTAAGGGAATATTTCAACTTTATGTACTCAAACTCCTCAAATTACAAGCACGATATTTGGGCCGGCAATGGCGTAAAACAAATATGGACATTATCTCTGCAATTTACATGCGTTGTAGACATAGACTTAATGACGATTGGGCATATGCAAATGAAACAACTCGAACAAAATCTTTCGATTACCATAAAGAGGAGAATGAATTGAGTATAGCCATAAGAAGATTTAATACAAGGCGATATCCATATCTTCAATTACGTGGTGGTATTGCTGTTGCGGACACTTCTAATGACGCTGGTAAGGAGTAATTGAGGGATAATTAATAATTTTTAGAACACCCGTATAATACTTCTGAATGCCAACAACAAAACAATCAACTTAGTGATATTCTTTCACACTCTTCAAGTCAATTGGATGAACTTGCTGGTGAATGGGACCCTAAAGTTTGGGAGCCTATGGACAATGTTTCTAGCTAATTCTGTCAAAATTTAATTTTTATACTTTTCAGTCTCTTCAAACTGCTTTGGCCTGGGAACCAGTTTTTAGTGATCGCTTTCTTCAAAATTATGAGCAATGGTTAGAACAAGAAGTATATGGACACCAGACTGATTGGGATGGATTATTATTAAAGTCACGTGGTCTTTTGGATATCTATTGTTGATAGATATTTGTTCTGCTTATTAATTTGTCTCAAATTCTTTTTTCTATTTTTTTTCTTTAATTACATTTTAATTTAGAAATCTTTTTTTGTAATTTATTTTGATCGCTGAATAAATATTACTTCAGTACGAGAAATCGGTTGATTTATTGTTAGCTCAATTGAGTTTGAAACTTGTTCATATTTTTTAGACTGTTTTACAAATATATTTTTTCTGGTTGATTATATCACTATAGAAAAAATTATTTCTTCATTGTACAGAGGTGTATCTAAATATAGCTTCTGCTTCTATCAAGTTTGGAAAATGCCGCCAAAAAAGAAGATTAATAGTTCGAGAAGTATTGCAACGCTAGGAGTAGCTGCTGTTGCTTCAAGAAAAGTAAATAGCTTGGATAAATACAATAATCTGAACGCCTACAATATTTTAACCACTAGGTCTGGCCGCAATTAGTAGGTTATTTACAAATGTTTTTTAATATTTTCTCCTTAATGCCTCCTCAAGACAGAAACTTCGCTACATTCTAATACTGTATCGTATAGATTAAATTTATGCCTTCCCTTTTTGTTTCCATTTCCTTATGATGTGCGCTCTTCGCCTCACTCATAACCTTAATATGTCCGTTTAATAGTTTGATATAGGGTAGCACCCAGAGTTTCGGGGGCTGGAGTGTTCGGGTCGGGTTTTTGCCAAAAAAATGGTCGGATCGGCATTTTGCCCGCACGGGGGTGGGCGTCGGGATCGGGGTAGAGCCTTCGGGGTTTGGGTCTGGGTTTTTGCATAAAAATTCTTCGGGGGGGGGGGGGGGGGGGGGCGAGGTGCACAATAGTTTAATAACCCAGGGGAAAATTTTGACCCCCCCCTCCCCCCCAAATACAACCAAGGTATGGCAAGGAGATTTTCACTGTCTTTTTACTTGTGAGTTGCCTGTTTCGATTTTTGACTAACGCTTTTTCCCTCATTTTTCCCTAGCCTGCTTTCCTCTTCTGGGTTATCGTTGTGTTTTACCAATGAAAAATATTAGTGGTCAGTCAGTAGAATGCATATTTTTGTTTGGCTAATTTTTTGTCTTAAACCTTCGCCCGAATCTCCATTTTAAAATAAATATTTAAAACTTTTATTTTTTTAGTGAAATGGAGAAAATGACTGGTCCCAAAGTTAAGGTAATAATCTTGTTTTTTAAAAGTAGTAGTTGATTTTTCAGGTAGTATTAAAGAAGCAGACTACTGTGCCTGCCAAAGTTGAAATTAATATAAATATCAATAATCTGAAAGGTAAAAAGAAGGAAGAAAATGTTGGAAAAATTGTAAAGAATGCTGGAAAGGCTGACAAAAATAATGGAAAGACTGTTGAAAAGCAAGGGGAGATTATCAAAAATAAAGGGAAGAATGCCAAGAATCAAGGCAAGACCGTCAAGGAGCAGGAAGAGAATGTCAAAGAGCGAGGAACGATTGTCAAGGATCAAGGAAGAAGTGTCAGATCTACTAGAGCTACAACTAGACAGAACGTTCAATCCACTAGCAATAATAATGGAAATGATGAAACTGAGGAAGAAGAGGAGAAAGAGAAGACGCCAAGAAAGCGAAAACATTTCCCACTTTTTGAGAAAACTCCTGCTAGTCAGAAAAACAAGAAATTTAAGAAAGGGCAGCCATTAAAAATTTGGACTTGGAATGTTGCTGGACTTAGGGCGAATGTTAAGGTTTTTTTTGGAATTTTTGATTAACTTTTCTCAAAAAAAAATTTTTTTCTAGAAAAATGGACATGTCAAAATTAAAGAATCTGATGCTGATATTGTTAGTCTTCAGGAAACAAAATGTCCAGAATTGCCTTCAGAAATTGAGGCTTTGGATGAATATTGCTTCAAAAAACTTGCTAAATCGACTAAAAATTTGGGACACGCTGGAGTTGCTATGCTGGCTAAAGAAATGCCCATTAATGTAAAGAAATTTATTATTTTTTTTGCTAAACTTAAGATTTATTCGTTTCTTTTTCACTTCCAAACTTGTAACCACATATCCAATCTTCTTCGACCCTTCCTGCTATTTTATACTTTCTATCCATATTTGAGGTTCTTATTTTCTTTGACTTGGGGTTTTTTTCTGCCCAGAAACAACTTTCAGACTTTGACCTGAGTTCATAAATCTACATCTTTGATTTTATTCAAATTTTTAATCCAAATCCTTATTTTCTAAAATAATATTTTTTACAGGTTACTGTTGGTCTTGGAAACAAAGATTTTGACGAATTTGGACGTTATATTGAAGCGGAATATAAAAACTTTTTCTTTATTTCTGTTTATGTCCCAAACAGCGGTTCTGGATTAGTTAATTTATCAGCTAGAGGACGTTGGGATCAATTGTTTTTGACTCGTGTAATTGATTTGGATAGACGTAAACCTGTAATTATTGCTGGGGATATGAATGTTGCACATCAAGAGATTGGTAAATTTTAACCTCTTATTTAAAATTATTTTTTTCTAAAGATTTACGCAATCCTGACTCAAACCGAAACAAAACAGCTGGATTTACTGACCAAGAAAGAGAAGCTTTTACTCGATTATTGGATGCGGGTTTTGTGGATGTTTGGCGTTCTCGTAATCCTGACGTGGCTGAGACTTATACTTATTGGTATTTTTAAATTATAATCGAACTTCGTAAGTTAATTTATTGTGTCTGGAAATTTATCGTATAACGGGGTGTATCTTAAGGGTACCGCATGGACAGCGCTTACCCAAAGGCCAACCAACTTTATAATTAATTTTGAAAATATCTAAATCGAAGTTCAATTGTATTTTAAGAAAATATTTTCGGAAAAATTATAATTTTAACTGAATTTTAATTTATTTTTTAAATTTTCCAGGTCTTATATGGGCACTCGTCGAGCTAAAAATATTGGTTGGCGTTTAGATTATTTTGTTATTAGTGAACGTCTTTTGGAAAAAGTAATTGAATGTGAAATTCATTCGGATATTACGGGAAGTGCCCATGGAAGTGATCATTGTCCTCTTTCTTTAATTATTGATATTTAAATTTGGAAGAAATTGGAAGAAGTATTTTTAAATTATTTTTATTTGTTTAGAAATTAACACTTTTTAAAGGGTAACAATTTTTTTAATTGTAGAAAATTGTTATTGTTAGAAAGTGTTAATTTTTTTTAAATTCCTGGTAGTTGTCGGTTATTCATACACACAGATTTGTATTTTTATTTATTTATATTTATCAAAATTATTACTCAAAAATTATTTAAAATAAATTCTTTGGGTAAAAAAATTATTTTTTTGAGGGGGTTCGGTCAGAAAAAAAATTTTTTTAGAAACCAACATTCCCTTTTAATATTTTCCCTATTAAAAATCAACTTAAATTTTGAACTTAAGTCATTCACAAAAAAATTTATTACAAATCTGTGGATAATCGACAAAAATATTAAATTATTCGTTTTATCACTCAATTCTCTTTTTTTAAATAATTATCCTATTTATTATTAAATATCCAAAACAAGCCAATTTATTGTTTCGAATAGCTCACATTCAAATATGTTCGGTTAATTTATTTAACTCTTATTATTGTTTTGAAATAAAAAATATATTTTTTTAAATTGTTTTATTTTATATGTAATTGTTGCATTTTCTAAAAAATATTTTTGAATTTTTTAAAAGTTTTTATAGCTCATTGGGTAATATTGAACCGGACAGGACCCTTTTTTCCTTCCCTAGTTTTCCCCTATATTTTTGCAAGATGGTCATACTTTTTCTTTTCTTCCATCCAAATTGCCTTTCTAATTTTTGCCTACAATCAAACAGAAAGGATTATTTTTCATATTATTTCCCATTTTGCAAAAATATAGGGGAAAGATTGGGTAGGAAAAAAGGGGGTCTGTCCGGTTCAATATGACTGCTTATGTTAGGTCTTTTTTTCGAAATCCTTAAAAATAAAATCTTTTGGGGGTTTCGGAAATATCCCAAAAAGTATGAGCCTTAAAAAGACTTTTAAATCATTTTTTAATTAAAAAATTTTCAATTTAGAAAACTTTGCATGGCGTCATTGCTTGACGCCAGTTTGCAACAATCATCTTCAAAAGACGTCCAACATCAATTTCAATTGGGGCAACGCCGGAAAGAAATTTACAAGTTTTTTTTAATTTATTATTTTTCAAAAATTATTTAAAGATATTCTGCACCTTTTGGTTTATACGCCTCTGCTTGGTCAACAAAACCTGATCATCATTTAAAATTTCGTTTAGCAGTTGGAAGTTTTATTGAGGAATATAACAATAAAGTATTAATTTTATAAATTTTAATTAAGAATGGGATTTTGATAGAAAATTTAAAAATATTTTTAGTTCCTGGGAAGTATAGGAGATGGGCGCCCGAGTGGAAAAAAAGTTGGGGGGTTAAGTCAAAAATTCCGTTGTTCTATCAAGTTTCGGGTAACAGATTTAACTGAAATAAAATAAATTGTAAACGAAATTTTTGGAGAAGGGTGAGAAAAAAATAAACTGACGAGAAAAGACGGAAATTTAATATAATTTTTTTCTGACCAGAAAAATTTTAATTCTGGTGAAACATTTAAAGTTAAAAGGGGTATTAAAAAAGAAATACCAAAATTTTATTTTTTTACAATCATTTTTAGGTTTCAATAGTTCAGCTACAAGAAGAACAAGGAGAATTTGCACATATTGGGACATTTGAACATCCGTAAATTTTTTTCCCCTTTTTTTATTAAATAAAATGTTGATAGATTTTTAAGTAATCTTTTTAATTAAATTTTATGTATACCCCCCTTCCCCATATTATTTACTAAATTAATTTTTTTTCTTCTAGTTATCCAGCAACCAAAGTTTTGTGGATTCCAGACCCAAAAGGAAATTACCCAGATTTATTAGCTACAACAGGCGATTATTTGAGGCTTTGGCGTGCCAGTGGAGGAATTCAAAATAATGGAATTTCTTTGGAAGTTAGGCTTGATAATGTAGGGGGAATTTTAAATTATTTTTTAAAAATTAATTTTTTGTAGAATCGTTCATCTGAATATTGTGCACCCTTAGTTAGTTTATTTTAATTTTTATTAAAAAATAAAAATTAAATTTCGTTCTCCAATTAAATTATTGATGAATTAGGGAGGTGGAAATATTAATCTCTAGTGTTTTTTGGAAGATTACTTTAATGCCAGTAATCATTCCTTTGATTTGGCATTTTTTTTATTTTATAACCCGACAAGAAAAATTTTCCATGCAATCCGCAAAAGAATTTTTTCAGAGGAATTTAATTTAAAATAATATTTAAATTAAAAATTGAATATAAATTTAAAAATTATCAGCAAAAAATTTTTTTTGTTTTATCCTAAAAATGTTTGATAAATATTTTTTATAATTTTATAAAATAAATTTTTATTTTTTTAAAGACATCAGCAGATTGGAATGAAATAGACGTCTCTTTGGTAAATAAATTTAAATTCAAAAAATATTTTTTTCTAATTTTTAAAGATTGCAACATCAAGTATTGACACAACTTGTACAATTTGGCAAATTGAGGTATTTCAGATAAATCTAAAAAAATTTAAAAAAATTTTTTTCTAAAGACAGGCCAAGCAATAACAACAACAGAACGTGCAATAGAAGGAAATGTTAAAGTAAAAATTGAAATTAAAAAAAATTTAATTTCTAATTAAAAAAAAAAAGACACAATTAATTGCGCATGACAAAGAAGTTTTTGATGTTGAATTTTCTAAACTTTCTTCTGGTCGGGATATTTTTGCTTCTGCTGGTAAATTGATTTTCAAAATTTATTGAATAATTTTTTTGAACCATTACTTTTTTTTAAATAAATTATAATAAATTTTATATTTTTTAAGGAGCTGATGGAAGTATTCGAATGTTTGGTAAATTATTTTTTGCAGAAGATTATGTATTATTTTTAATTTTTTTAAAGATCTTCGCCATATGGAATATTCTACAATTGTTTTTGAAGAACCTTCAAGAAAGCCATTATTAAGATTAGGTAAATTTAAATTTTTTTTGGATAAGATTTTTTTGTTTTTAAAGCCTGGAATAAACAAGATCACAATTTTCTTGCAACTTTTGCACAAAATTCTAATGAGGTTTTTCTTAAATTATATTTGGCGTTTACCTTGGCGTTCTGGACGCAAATTTTTTTTGAACCATATTTTTATTTTTTTCAGCACCGCAGGCGAAAATTTTTTGAATTTTGGAGCTCAAAAACCAGATTTCTTCCATTTTTAGCGCCGCAGGCGAAAATTTTTAAAATTATGAAGGCTGTAGGCCAAAAAAATTCACTTTTTTGCTAGTTCTTCTCCTAATTTTTCTCCCCTTTCTCCCATTTCGGGGGGGGGGGCTTTAGCCCCAGAAGCCCCCCCCCCTTGGCTACGCCCTTGGGGAATAGGTAAAACAAGGGGGGATATAAATTCAAATTTCTGGAAATATTTTTAAAAAATTTTAAAAGACCCTTAAATGTTCTTAATTTTTTTTAAATTTTTCAAAATTTTTTTTCTTTTTTTTTTTTTTAGATTTTTATTCTCGATATAAGAATTCCTTCAATGCCCGTTTCTGTCCTTAAAAATCATACTGGCTCTGTTAATGGAATTGCTTGGGCACCCCATTCAGCGTGTCATTTAGTTACTGCTGGTTATATTTTTTTATTAATTATTATTTTTGGAATTTTAAAATTTTTAGCAGAAGATTGTCAAGCACTTATTTGGGATGTACACCAAATTAGGGGTTTGTTAAAAATCAAAAAAATTTTGTATAAATAATTTTTAGCAGTGGAAGACCCAATTTTGGCATATTTAGCTGGAGGGGAGATTAATCAAGTTTGTTGGTCAAGTACTTTAACCGATTGGATATCTATTTGTTATGATAAGAATTTGGAACTTTTACGAGTTTAGAAGACGAAAATGGAAGAGAAAAACAAATTTTAATTGTATATAAATGAAATGTAAATATATGTATGTAAATATTAATAACTAGGGAGGGGAAAAATATGAACGCAAAATTTCCCAAAATAGCCACGAAATATGCATCGAAAAATAGTGAAAAGGTGCTTTAAAAATTGAAATTTTAATTAAAAAACATTAATTTAGCCTCTAATTTTGCATTTTAAAAGCTTTTTAAAGGATTTTATCCATTTAAAATTTTTTAGAAAATTTTTTTGAAAGAATTCTTTGACCAAAAAATTCCGAAATTTTGAAATTTTTCGCCAATTTTTACCAAAATTTGCCAAAAAATGCCGAAATATTGACCAAAATATGCAAAATTTCTCAAAATATGCTTGAGAAGGCCGAAATATGCATTAAGAACCGGACCTAAAATGCTTGGGCCAATGTAAAAACACCAGTTTTGGACTTTTCACTTCAAGGCATATCCTCATACAAAACATGCATTTGCATGTTTTTCCCATCACTGGTCATCAGAATTAGCAATGATCATTTTTAAATTAGTAACAATTTAATTTAGAAATGAGTACAAATGAAAAAGGGATTTAGATGGATTAAATAAAGGGAATTAAAGGTGATATGGGGGGGGGGGGTAAATATACTTTAATTTTTACAATTTGAATTTCGTTTTTAATTTTCTTCTTTCTCATTTTCTTCGTTTTCATTTTCTTCTTCAATCTCATTCAATTCTTGTTTCCATTTGGGGTTTTCCTTCTTCTCTTCAGTCTTTTCTTCAATTAACCAATCTTCCAATTTAATATCCTTCTCATTTTTAGAAATATTTTTGTTTATTTTAATTTCAAATTTCCCAAATTTAAATTCTAATCCAGCTGAATTTAAGACATCTCTTGCCTTTGGCAATACATAATAAACACAAAATGGATTTAATATCTTTGCTATATTTTCTCCAAATGAATGTTTTAGTGTCCCACAAAATTGAAGAATTCGTAAAAATTTAATGACAGATTCAGTATCTTCTTCATTCTCCTGAAGAAAAAATCTTTTTAGCGAACATTTTTTATTAAGTATGAAAAATAATAATCCTGGACATTGTAAAGGAAGGAAATAGGAGGGAAAAAGCTTTTTTCAAATGGATAAAGTCTTTGTTTGTTGTTATCTTAGGGGTAAAATGGCCTATGAAGAGTTGGTTGTTGTGCTTTTATTTAGCACAGAAGCAAGAAATTTTTGGTATTTTTTAGCGGGTTCAGCTTCCTCGAGTGTTCTCGATTATGCAGAACAGAGGATAAATTCTCAATTTTAGCACAAAAGTTTAAAATTTTTGGAGGGCCATGAAACCATGAAATTTTTATATTGAAGTGGTCAGAAAGCCAGAATTTTTTAATTAATGGAAAAATTTTCATAATAGTCGGGGTTGTGACTAGGGTTGTCGGCTTCACCAAATTTCTCGGTTAACCGAACCCGAACCGATAAACCAAACCGAAAATCTTCTGTTCTTCAGTTCGGTTCGAAACCGAAAACCCTAGTTGTGACAAAAATACATGTACTAATGTTCGGACCCATCCCATCCATAAATATTTTCTAAAAAATAAATTTTAAATTAAAAACCAATTTGTTAAGAATTTCCTTGAATTTCTTGCTTGCTTCTTGAATATTATCGTTTTCATAGTATGAATTAAATAAATTTATCATTTCTTTTTCATTATCCTCTCTCAATTTATTTTCCCTCTCCAATTTATCTCCCAATTTATTATCCTCTCCCATTATCTTCCCCCAATCCCCCAATTTATCTTCTCCCTTATTTTCCTTCACCTTTTTGTTTATATTTTTTAATTTATTTGTCAAATTATTTTTTTCGATTTCATCTTCTAATAAATTATAAACTAAACCGATAAATTTGTACGATTCTATTTCGGAAGTGCACAAAATACTGAAGGAAGTAACGTAATATTTTGAAATATTTTCATTTTCTTTTTTAATTGTTTGAAATATTTTTTCTATTTTCTTTTTTGAATACGCTAAAATTATTTTAAGAATTTTTATTGTTAAATTTGATTCAACTAAATAGTATTATTTAAAACAGGGAGAAAAGCAAAAGCCGTCGCTACAGTAAGGGGCTATCTTAGGACTGGTTACAGGTTCGATTTCTACAGGTTCGATTTCTGCCTGTTTGCTTAACTTTATTAAGAATGCTTTATAGTCTGAGTATCTTTTCACAAAAGAGACTCAATACTTCTTTATTTTTGAAATACTATCATTATCCCCCCTCACCCCTCCTCCACTCCATAAATGCTTGTCCGCAATGTTCTTGGCTAGGAAGCAATGTTATAATGTTTAGCTTCACTTTCCTTCATTCCCATAAAGATTATATTAAATTTAATGAATTCATTAAGACATAAAATTTCATTCAAACTTATTTTTTTTTTTTTTAATTATATAAATTTTATTCATACCAAAGGGTATATACTATACCGCTGAAATGGATGAGTACAAAAAAAAATAAAAATATTGTGAAAAATAAGTATATTTAAGTTAGAATTAGAAGGAATGATAGTCATTTCGAGAAATTAACAAACAAAAATATTTAAGCTGTTTAAAGATATTTTGAGTTTTGCTTAAAAGAAAAAAAATATATATTGGGAATGAGAAAATATGTAAATTATGTTGGAAATGAAAAAAATAAATAAATTTAGAAATGAGAAAATAACTGAATTTAAATCTATGTATAAGTATGTCAATTTTGGGGGGTGTGGAGATTGTCATAAAGAAAAATAAATAAGGTTTATATTGCCGGTCAAAACGTTAATCTGCTTGTGAATATAGTAGTTTTTTTAATTTAAAATTAAAAGACGTAATTTTTTAAAATAATTATTGTGATTATTCAGGGATTCTTTAATATTTAGGGTTGAGATTTGTATTGGATTTAGGTTAGTATTTTATTTTTTTAAGTTATTATTTTTTGTTTTTGAAGAATTTGGGGCAGTATGGGTCTTAAATTGGTCTTGAAACTATTTAATGTGTGGTCTGTAAAAATATTTTTTGGAATTATGTTCCAAATATATATTTATATGTTTAGAAATTTAACAAACCACATGTTTGTTTATTTTTGCGAAAATTTATTTTTTGTTCTAGATCAGCTCTCCTTCGTTCACCTTTTTTCTTAATTGCCTCCAATTCTTCCGGAGTTATAATAATTTGAGCTTTTTTTAAAGGTGATCGTTCTTGGCTAGGGGGCAATTTATGGCTAGGAGGCAAATTAACTCCTTCTGAAATTGGAGATATTTTTGATTTATTTTTCTCAGAGTCGATTGTTTTCTTTCGTATTTTAGTAGAACTTCCATCTTTATTTTGTCTTTCATTTTTATTTAATTTAATAGTGCTTGAAAGTTTAATTGAAGGAATAGTTCCTTCTGTATGTTTACATGATGTTTTTTTGAAATTAGCATAAGCTTTCTTTACACTATGATTAATAGCCACATTAAGAGTGGGTATAAAGGAATAAATTAATAAAAATATAAAAATATTCATTAAAAAATATTTTCGATTAAACCTAAAATTTTTATAATTAATAGTATAAAATGTAAAATATACAGGAAAAGTAAATATTGGAATTTTTTAAACAATGCTGTCGGCCGCTTATACCATCGGTTGGATAATTCCGTAAATTTTCCGCCTTCACGTTGGGATTTGACAACAGACTCGTAATTCTCTATGCCCTCGGCCCTCTCAACTGCGCTCCACAAAAAATCGGAGCGCAGTAGTTTCATCGGACATCGATGCAATTCACTTGCAAGTCACTGTGCCTTAAGTGCAGTTGATAGAAGATTAACGAGGGATTTGAAGGAACATATCCATTAAATCAAATCAATTCCTTATCAAAATATACTAATTTTTTAACTTTTCCCTCGAACAAAATTTTTTGTCTTTATAAAAATTTAGCAAAAGCATCTCTGGTAACTAAGGTTGGTGGATAGTTGGAAATTTTCGGATATCCGGATCGATATCCGAACCGAAAATTTTGGATATACGGATCCGAATTTTTTATTTTAAAAATTCCAGCCTGCGGCGCGGAAAAGTTGAGTCCCTTGGAAGGATACAGATGGATTAGGAGCAATTATGAATGGATTCAGGGATTAACAAAGTTATTGAGGGGATCTAGAATTAACAGAAATCTAGGTGTAATCAATGTGTGGAAACTTTATTAGTTCATCTGGTCCGGATATCCGGATCCGACAACCTTACTGGTAACTGGTCAAAAGCCATTAAAAGTCACATTCTAATAGGACGGGCCCAGGTGCTCTATCTACCGGGGCGCTGCTTTCATCTCAACTTTTAATACTTTGCTATAAGCCCTGGCAAACGTCTCAAATTTTAAGAAGCTGGATCTCATTTCCTCATTACAATAATATCTAATGAAAAATATTTTTTTGAGAATATTTTTATATAAAATTAATTAAAAATATTTACTCTATAAATTTCTATTAATTTAAAAATAAAAATTAAAAATTAATTTAATTATTTTAAATGCTGAGGAAAGGAAGAGGAAATAAAATTTAAAAAATTTAATTAACAATCAGAGGTATGTGTAGTCGATTTTTACATTGACATTTATTTTAGACAATGGCAAGCGAATAAGCGGAAGTAATAATTTTTAAATAATTGATTTTTAAATTTAATAAATGATGGGGAAATAATTATTTAATAAACATTGTTTTGAAAAGTTTAGATGTTTCTCTTAGTTTGTAAGTCACATTCAAAAAAGTAAGTCTATTCATTGTCGGCTTCAAGAGTCGAACGGTAACAAAAAAATTTTTCACTCTGCTGTTACGGAGAGATGGCATTGCGGAGATTGGCGTTCTCCCGTAAATATAAAATAATTTATAAAAATATTTTAAAGGCAAAATATGTTTCTATTTTTATAATAAAGTTCATTTTGAACTAATTCATCCAGTAAAATCAAAAGTTTATGCCTGACAATTTTGATGCAAAAAATTGATAGAAAAAAGGACATTAAATCTTATAGTATTTTATTTAAGACAAGTTTATATCTAAAAAATTCCCCCAATACCCACATTGTTTAAAAACAAGTTGTAGATTTATTTATAGATTTATTTATATTTTTACCCCAAAGTTAACAACAATTTTTGTAATTTTTTAATCAGGCTTTTAGAATCCTCAAGCTTAATCGAATTTTAATTTTGGATGATTTGATTTTTAATGGAAAATCCAATTTCTTTATAACAATTCTAGTTGACTTCTCTTCCAAAAAATATTTTTTAAAGTCGGCGATACCTTCCCAAAGCTTTATTGCAAGAAGGACCTAAAATCAAAAATGTTAAAATTCTAATTTTTAATTACATGAGTGTTCAACATCCAAACAACAATTTAGGACAAAAGGCACCCAACAGAACAACCAAGGGATGAGGAACAGTAAAAAGCCAATGATAAAACAAACTACCATAATGCTTAAAATAAACAATTTAAAAATCTGCCTTTGTTATACCGTATTTTCTCGATTAATTCCCCTGGGGAATTAATCGAGAGGGGGAATTATTCGAGATAGATGGGGAGTCGAAGTATATCCTTTTAAAATAGTCAGTAACAAACAACTTATAATCAGGGAGAACCTGATTTTATTCCTCTGTTCGATGAGAGAAATAGAATAGATTTGAGCTTCGAACTCCCAAATAAATACTAAAGAGACCTTTGAAATCTTAATTAAAATATTAAATTCTAACATCCAAGGCAGTATTCCAACTTTTTTACTCGTTTCAGTGACAATACGTTGACGGCATTGTGGACTAAATTTAGTAATTAAAATACTCCTTCGAGTTAATACAAATAAAGTACCAATCCATTTCAACAGGGTAAGGCCCAAATTGAGGAGTAAAAATTGGCCGAGTAGGTGGGCGTGGGGAAGGTGCTGCTGATATATTAGAATGTCGTTGTGGGGGTTGAGGTGGTGATATATTTGGTGGACGTGGGGACGTAGGCGGACGTGGAGAAGGTGGTGCTGATGTATTGGAAGGTTGTTGTTGTCCATTATTATTAGTAAATATAGAAGGCTAAATTTTTTTGGAATTTTATTTTTAAAAGATAAACTCTAACCCCAATATTCGGCTGATACGGCGGTGGTGCTGTTGGATATGGTGGACGTGTATAAGGAGGCAATCCTTAATTTGTAGAATTACTCGGGTCTCAATTTTGTTTGTACTCGTATTATATACTACCCCTATTTTGGCCTCATATTTTGTAGATCGAGATTTTTGAAAAGCCTGGACACGTTCCTGGATTCTTGAGTTTGATTTATTGACCTGGGCCAGATCCTGGGCCTGTAGTCTAGGAAAAACCAAGCAAAGACAAAAAAATGCCTGGACTCTGAGTACATGAAAAATCCAGGCCGTTGTCCAGGTCCAGCTCGATCTCCAGTTTGCACCACAACTATCCCTTTTGTGGTCACGATACGAGTACGAATGCTAGTACGACCTGTGCAAACGTTATTATTCATCCTTGCTGCTATGTAATTATTTGATTAGAATATATTTAATAATTATAGGGGTAAAATTTTTTAAATAGAAAATAAACAGAAAATGGAAATAAACAATAAAATAATCAAGTCGTTGGAATTAAGAAAAGAAAAAAAATTTTTGTTTTAAAGGTGAAAATCAAAATGATTAAATAAAGATGCGCGAAACAAAGATAACCAACAAAAAAATATTTTTTAAATAAAATTCCAATTTAATAATTGTGATTAAATAAAAACTGAAGGGAAATTTACTTTCTTAAACACCTAAAAAATTATATCAAAAAAAGATCAATCTTCTTTTGAAACAAATCTGTAAAAAAGAAATGGAGATTTTTTAATGTAAAATATTTTTTATTTAGTAAATAAAATTATTTATTTAATTCAATCAAGGAAGAAACGGAAGCGTTTTCTTTAATAATCAAAGGGGGAATGTTAATATTCCAAGTAATAATTTTGATAAAAAACTTGAAGAAGATTAACTATTTTTTAGATGTTTTTATTTTAAGTCTGGAATAAACATTTTATTTTCTTTTAAATTTTGCTCAGAATTCAAAGGAGATTCTTTAATTATGTAAGGCATAAAGATATTTAATTCCAAAGACTATGCAGGAGGTGGCGTGGTGTAATGAATAAATAACACATCAATCCGGTAATTGAAATGCCGGTTTGTTCTTAGCCAGAGGATAATTTTTGCACTAGCTGATGGGAAGAAATAGCCATGGTCTAGTTCAGTTTTGTTATTATTAAGTACTATAAAGGAAAAATATTTTTAATTTAAATACGACAATTAAATTTTACAAATTTTCAACTTTTACATTTATTAGGACAAACATTAAAAATTAAATTATTTCAAAAGCTGGTTGTGTTCAAAATTTTTATAATTTATAAATCATAAACAATTAACAATTCTCCCAAAAAAATTCTTTTAAATTCGAGAACACCTTCCCAAAGGTTTTTTGCAAGAAGGGCCTGAAAATAAACCAAAAATTATAGCTTAACCCCCTTAATTTACATAAATGTTCAACATCCAAGCAACAATCAAGACAAAATGGCACCCAGCAAAACAACATATGTAGAGATGAATGTGAAAAATCCAAGAACAAAACAAATACACATAATACTGAGAAAATAATTTTAAAATTAAACTATTCTTTTGTACATTGAGAGCCAAGTTCGAAACAAATAAGATAGTTAAGTAACAGAATACAGGTTGGTAATTATAAAATAAAGTACTACCGCATTTCCATTTCTCAACCCTCATCTTAAGGGTATTAATTGAGGGGGGCTGTACTAATTGAGGAAATACGGTAACAGGTAAAAATCATTTTCTCTCATTTAATTGAGTCCAAATTTGGATAATCTTCCTGCTTGGTCCTTATGTGGATTTTTTTGATTTTGTGAACTTCTAAGTCTAAACTTGTATATTTGAAACTCGGCTCTCTTATATTAAAGCGATCCCCTAAAATTTTAATATAAAATTCTAACATCCAGGGCATTTTTCTAGGTATATTACGGGTTTGGATTACAATATGTTGCCGACAATTTGGACTAAATTTGACAATTAAAATATTCTCTCAAGTTAAGCAAAGAATTTACCAATCAATTTCAAGAGGGTAAGGCCCAAATTGGGGTGTAAGAACTGGCCGAGTTATGACGGGTGGGGGTTGAGGTGGGGATATATTGGGGGATGTGGGGACGTGGGTGGACGTGGGGAAGGTGCTGGTGATATATTAGAATGTTGTTGTTGTCCATTATTATTAGTAAATATAGAAGGCTAAATTTTTTTGAATTTAATTTTCAAAAAATAAACAAAATCCAACCCCAATATTCGGCTGGTACGGCGGTGGTGCTGATGGATATGGTGCACAAGTAAATGAGTTAGGAGGCAGTCCTTAATTTGTGGAATTATACGGGTCTTGATTTTCTTCGTACTCGTACCATTCCTAATTTTAACTTGTACTTTTTCTTACCTAAGACATATAAAAACAAAACAAAATTTTTATTATTTTACTTTCAAGGAAATCAAAATTTAAATTTTATTTAAATAATGTGCCAACTAAAAGCTAATTATGTTAATACCCATTTTTATGGCCTTAACTCGTATTAAGGTACAAAATACAAATTTTTGTACAACCTGTGCATCCGTTATCCATTTTTGTTGCTATGTAAATTATTTAATTAAAATATATAATTTCTTTATAATAATTACGAGTCTATAGAAAATAAGCAGAAAAAGGAGGAGTAAACGATAAAATATTGGGATTGAATTAATTTTTTTTTTTTTTTGAATGAAATAAAATTTCAAATGGAATATAAATATAAATTAACAAAAAATCACAATTTTTTGTAACTTTAGGTTAAAATTTTGAAGGTGTTTGGGAAACTGGTTTTGATCTTCTAAATGATTATATAGGAAAAAAATTAAACTCCAAATTTGTAAAAAAATATTTTTAAAGGCGTATTCTTTGCATTAATTAAATTATGTAGAATCTTTATTTGGTAAATAAAATATTTTATTTAAAAAACAAAAGTGTTTTTTAATTAGCTAAAAACTGCCGCTAAAAGGAAAGGTATTCTTAATGGCAAAATTTTATTCCCCAAAGCAGTTTAAAGTAGAATCTGAAATTAAATTTTTCCAAGTTTTCAGCAAATTTAGCGGCAATTTTTAGGGCAATGAAATTCTTTCAAAATTTAAAATTTTTTTAAAAATTTATTTTTATCAAGTATCAATTCTCCCAAAAAAAAATAATTTTATTTTGAAATGCGAGAGAACCTCCCCAAAGGTTTTTTGCAAGCTGGACCTTAAAAATAAAAATTTTGTTTTAATTTTTTATGATTTTAATTACATCGATGTTCGACGTCCAGACAAGAATCCACACAGAAAGGGATCCAACAAAGCAATATACAGCCAAGAAAAAAGCAAAGTCCTGTAATACTAAAAATAAATGATTTTAAATTTCAATAAAATTTTAAGATTTTCAAACATCCAAGTCAGCATTCCAGACGTTTTAATAGTCTGCGTGACAATGTGCGATCGACAATATGGACTAAAAAACAAATGTTAGGATTAAAAGTCGGTAAAAAGTAATTTTGGGAGCATTAACAGGATTTTTTAAAAATACCCAACTTCCCTACTACACGAACTGGATTAGAAGCACAACGTTAGCTTCATGCTAACATTGTCAATAAATGCAAAAAATAACAGTTAAAGCGTAAAAGTGCCGGACCACTCCGAATAAAGATACGAGTCATTATAGCCATAATATCGTAATTTCGAATTTTTACCCCGAATTCGACTTGGTCGAATTCGGGTCCGAGATTCGAAATAAACAAATTCTAAGCTCAGATTCGGACTCCGCATGGTCAATTACCGAACTAAAATTATTTTCAGGAAAAAAATAATAATTTTTAAGGTGTTTTTAAGGTGTCTCCCCAATTCTTCACGATTACCATGAAATATAGCCTAAACTTAAAGGTTAAAAACCTAGAGGCTTTTAGTGAAAATAACGACAGAACAAAAGAGTTCCGCCGATATCCATAGTTAATTTAGGAAGTTTGTTGTCTTCACAAATTTATTAAAATATTTTTAGGGTAAATAAAAATAAGAGAATACCATTTCATTTTAAGAGGATAAAGTCCAAATTTGGATGTAAAAACATCAATTGGACGTAAAGTTGGTGTATTGGAAGGTTGTTGTTGCCCATTATTAGGTCTAAACGACTAATTTTTTTTGAATTAAAAATAGACAAACAAAGATCCAGCTCCTAATGCTGGTGGTGGTGGTGGTCGAGGTGGTAGTGTAAATAAGGGAATTCCTTCTTCTGTGGGATTGCCCGGGTCGTTGAAAGTTTCTGAACAATGTGGTGGAGGTGGATCCATTTTTTGTTGTTAATTAAATAAAATTAAATAATTAACAGAAAATATTTTTAGAAAAAACTTTTAAGTTAGTTCTGTAAATAAAATCAGTTTTTAAATTCTGTACATATGTATTTATTAAAAGGAGGTAGAATAAAATTTAAAAAATGCAAAAAATAAATTAATACAAGTGGATAAATTTTAAAAAGTGATAATGGAAATAGTGAAAATAAAGGATTCGAAAAATAATAGCAAAAAAAATGACAGCTGTTTAAAAAACTGCTGCATCCCTCTTAATCAAATAAACAAACTAGAAATAAATACTGTCAGATCAGACAAATATATAGGTATTTAGTACTTATCCCTCCCTTCCCCCCCCCCCCCTCAGTCCGCGATTTAGTTGAAGTACTAAATGGACAGTCATTTTTCCTTACATAATTTTTAAAAAATTTCCCTGTAGTTATGCACTCACTCTTCCTTCAATTCAGGCATTTTTTTTTGAGATTTGCTTTTGCCATTGATTTGCTTTTGAATTACACCTAATTTTTTATTGTTTTTTTTTTCAATTTTTTTTGCCATTCTCTAAATATTTCCAAAAATATTTTTAGTGTATAATTTATTATTTATATTTGTATATTTAACAAAGGCGATAAAAAGTACATAGAAACAATTGTATGCATAAAAATAGAAAAGGGCAAAAATTGAAGAAAAAACAATAAAAAAAATTTAGGTGTAATTCAAAATAAAGGAAAAGCAAAAAAATCCAATGAAAAATAAAAAAACATCTTTTTCCACTCTTTTAGTTGTAAAAATATTTTTTTATTAAACAGCTGTCATTTTTATCTGTATTTTACTAATGGTTTATTTTTGCTTTTTATATAAAATTAAGTGTTTGTCTTTTTTTTTTTGATTGTTTTTTAAATGTCCTCGGTTAAATGTCCACCCAGATAGAAAAATCAAAGTTCGAAAAAATTTTTATTTTTGGAAAAAATAAATTTCAAACTAAAAATAAAATTTAAAAAAATTTTAAGATAACCCTTATGTAATTTAATTATAAAATTATTTTAAAATTTATTGTTAATTTAAATTTAATTTTTTTTTTAATTTGGAATAAAAATAAGAACACAATTTCTTTGCGGCTTTTGGACAAAATTGAAAAAAAATTTTTAATTTGTATTAGAGTAATTGTGATTGAAGAATCTTTTAATTTTTCAAAAAAAAAAATTATTTTTTTGTAAAAATAATTTTAGCAGTGGAAGGCCAAATTTTGGCATATTTAGTTGGTGGAGAAGTTTTTTAAAAATAAATTTTAATTTTTTTACTTATTTTGAAAAACGAGTTTAAAAGAAAAATAAAATAAAAAAATCATTTTTAATTATTTATTTAATTGGAAAAAATCAAAAATATTTTAAAAATAATTAAAGACAAGCTATTCCATTTTTAATAAATTTAATTAAATTAATTCATTGTTTTTTTACAAATTAAAAATGGAATATATAACCCAAAATACAAATTTTCAAAAAAAAATAAAAAAAGGATAGAGTCCAAAACCATCACTAAAGAAAGGAAAAATGTTTTTAATAAAAAAAAATTTTTTAGAGCAGCCTAATAGGAATCTGAAATTAAATTTTTAAATTTTTTTTTCAGCTCTTTAGTGACAATTATTAGGGGCAATTATTTCAAAATTGAAATTCTTTTTCAAAAGTTAATTAAGTAATTTAAAAAATTGTTTTATGACTTTTTAAAAAAATATTTTTTTTATTAAGTAGCGATTCTTCCAAAAAAATTTTTTTTAAATTCGAGAAAACCTTCCCAAAGGTTTTTTGCAGGAAGGACCTTAAAAATAAAAAATTGTTTTATTTTTTTAGAATTTTTAATTACATAAGTGTTCAACATCCAAGCAGGAATCAATGCAAAAAGGCATACAACAAATACACCAAGGGAGCAACAAGAAAAATCCAATAACAAAACAAACTCCCATAATGCTAAAAATAACTGATTTTAAATTTTAATAAAATCAAAAGATTTCAAACATCCAAGGAAGCACTCCAGGTGTTTTAATTGTTTGCGTAACAATGTGCGAACGACAATGCGGACTAAAAAAACAAATATTAGAATTAAAAGCAGGATTGTGGGATCAATAATTGTGGGATGATTAACAGGATCTTTTAAAAATACCCAATAACTTCCTTCCTAACCGAACTGGATTAGAAGCACAACATTAGCTTCATGCTAACATTGTCAATGATCAATAACTGCAAAAAATAAAACAGTTATAGCGTAAAAGTGCCAAACCACTGAGACTAAAATATAGCCCAAACTTAAGGTTAAAAATATTTTTAGTAAAAATAATAACAGGACAAGAGTCCCGCCGATACCCATAGTTAATTTAGGAAGTTTGTTGTCTTGACAAATTTGATAAAATATAAGTAGGGTAAATAAATAAAAAAAAAATTACCAATCCATTTCAAGAGGGTAAGGCCCGAATTTAGGTGTAAAAACATGAATCGGACGAGTCATAACAGGTGGCGGTGGAGGTGGTGATATATTGGAAGGTTGTTGTTGTCCATTATTCGGTCTAAATAAGAAATTATTTGGAATTTATAAGGAAAACAAACAAAGATCCAACTCCAATAATGTATGATTGTGATGGTGGTGGTGGTGGATATGGTGGTGGTGTAAATACAGGAATTCCTTCTTTTGTGGGATTACCCGGGTCGTTAAAAGTTCCTGAATAATAGGGTGGTGGAGGCGGGTTATTATCCATTTTTTGTTGTTAATTAAAATATTTAAATAATCAGTAAAAAATTTTAAAAAGTAACTTTTAAGTAGCTCTGAAAATTATTTTTTTAAATCAGTTTTTGAACGAAATCATTAAACTACGCGATTATAGGAAATAAACAGAGGGTGAAATGAAATAAAATTTAAATTGCGATCAGAGCCAAAAATAAGAATATTTCGAGAAAATTAATTCAATTAGGTACATGTATAATTCTGACAATGAGTTTGAAAATGACTCATATTATTGGATTGTCAAAAAGACGAGGATTCAAAAATTCTTTCTATATATTAAATAGTGAAACTTTTAATAAAGGGAATATTTAATGTGGAATTTATATTAAAAATTAAAAAAAGGTCGCAATATCAATAATATAAATTAATAATTAAATTTTTGGTGTAATAAAATTTAAAGTGAAAAGGCACGAAATTTAAAAAAATGATTAAATATACTAGTAATTAGTAAACAAATAGTTAAATTTTAAGTGTAATAAAATTTAAAATGAAAAAAAAAATTGAAAAAAGTTAAAAAAATTAAATATATTAATAATTAGTATGGTTAATTTAAAGGAAAATAGAAAATATGAAGCATAAATTATTTGTAATCAAATAAATTCTAAAAAAAATTCCGATGTAAAAGTAATTCAACGGAAATTCTCTTTTTTTGCTAAACTTCTAATCGATTATAGAAGATCAAACACTAACAATTTTTATTAAAAAAGGAAAGAGCGCTACTATAGATTTTTTTATTTAATCCGATTAAAATCAGAAAAAAATGGTTTTTAAACAAAATAAAAATATTTATTTTGTTTATATGTAGATTTTTTTTAATTTAAGAGAAGGAAAAAGGAAGTGTTTCCTTAATAAATAATAACCAAATAAAGTTAATATTAGAATAGATAAATTATACATTAAAATTATTATTTTAATAATTTTATTGTTAGTGAACTCGTAAAATAATCTCAAGCTTTCTGAGATTTTTATTTCATCAAGTAAAGATTAATTTTTGATTTATTTCGAAAATTAGGAGTATGCGCAAAGCCATCACTTGCTTAAAGTTTTACAAATCTTATCAAATTGAATATTAAACAATTCCTCTTAAAGAGATTGATAGCAAAATTGATAAGGGTCAGAAATTTTCGAGCTAGTTAAAGCTCTGCGCCTACTTGGGCATGTCCCGAAAATTTTCTTTTACGAAAATGAGAGTTGACTAAACAAACAGAAAGACGATTAAATTTATTAAAGATTATGACATTAAAAACAATTATAATTTAAACAACCTGAGATACATTTGTTATTTAATATTACTCCTAACACAAATATCGGCACTTCACCTTGCTATAGACGAGAATACTTCCCTAGATAGATATTACATGACGGACCTTAAAAATATTTTTTAAATTAGTCAGAAAAATTTTTAATTAAAAATCCAATTACTTACAAGTATGAACAATATCCTTACAGTCCTCAATGAAAAAAGGAACCCAACAGAAAAAAAAGCAGATGAGACCACACCCTCCCAAAAAGAAACACAACATGCAAATGCTTAAAATAGTTTAGTTATTTTGATCAAACTATAAAATCTAACATCCAAACGAGAGCACCAATCGAAGTAGCAGTGTTGGTAAGAATACGAGATTTACAACTCGGACTGAATTTATGATTAGATAGAATAAAATAAAAATATACCAGTCCATTTCAACAGGATATGGCCCATATATAGGTGGAAGCATGGGAGTAAATGTCCGAGAACTAGCCGACCCAACAGACGCATTTGACGATACTTTCCCAACACCGCTTGGACTGCTACAAACTTTAGAATAAGGTGGTGGAGAATCCATTTTAGATGCCAATATATCGGAGCCTAAAAATAAAGTTGAACGATTATTACTGACTTTCGATTTGCAAAAAATATGGCTAAAAAGCAAACAGTAATAAAAAATATGATCAATAAATTTGTTGTTAAATACAACATTTTAAAAATAACAAAAAATTCTCTTTTTCATTTAAATTTTTATTTAAATAAAACCAAATTTATATGTGCGTTTTTGTGTGGTGTGTAATAGAAAAAACGATAATTTCAAAAATGACAGATGAATATATTTATGTGGAAGAGTGTGGATTGTTTATTTTTTGTTTTGGAAAGGGAGGAGGATGAAGAATATATATATAATTATTCTTCAGAATTAAGGGTTATAAGGAATATAGATAGAAAAAAATAAAACGATAACATAGTCATCAGAGGGGGTAATAACATTTCCTTTTTATCAACTAAAAATCAAAATTTTTTTTCTGTCAACAATTTTCTTCATTTTTTATCCCATTTTGATATCTTCCTCTTTCTCGTCTTACATATAAGGACGATAGGTGCTGTTGTTCACGAACTTGTTAACATATGATTGATGACCACCTGCTCCACCACCAGCTGGACCACCGGAATGTTGTTGTTCATTAACAGAATCAGCACCATAGTTTTGAACATCACCATGACGCGGTCCTCCACCATTGCCTTCTGGAGGAGAAGTTTGCGCTGTAGGACGCTGAGGAAGACAATTAGCGTTTGGCAGCATAAATTGATGTTGGTAAGACATTTGCGGATGATATGTTGGCATCTGAAAAAAGCAAAAATAAGAAAATGAAAGTCGAAAAACAATAACCTGAAACAAGGACTGTAAATTCGCAGGTTGTGGCATATACGACGCCTGAGCCGGTGGTGTAGGCATCCCAAAACCTGGTGGAGGTGCAACATGTCCCCCTCCAAACATAGCAGCAGCTGCTGCAACATCCGCTTGAACAGGTGGTCCTGCGCGTTGCTGTTGAGCTGCAGTTACAGGATTATGTGAAAGTTGACCTTGCTGATTTACTAAATAGAAAAAAAAAATTAAAAATGATTTTATGAAACTAAAGCTTGCCTGTTTGCTGTTGTTGTCCAAATTTATTATCCATAAAAGAATCCAATTGATTACGATGAGATGGAGCTAATGTTGTAGGCGGTCCAAGCGTCTTAAAATGGTCGTTTATATCTAGAATTGGAAAAAACATTATTACCATAGCACCAAGCTGCATATCCAATCCTCTATAAGGTCCATATTGTTGTAACAAAAATCTGTCAATCTCTGCTGGAGCTCCCGGTATAGTTTGTGCAGTGGCAACAGGAGAGTACATATACCTTTTAAAGAGAAAAATAATGAAAAAGACAGAAAAACTTTAAAAACTTACGGCATATTATAACTCGGGAACTGTGCAACAGCACTAGCAGGCGGAGGTGCAGTTGAAGTTTGGTGATGATGATAAATTGCCTGTGGAGGCGGTTGATGCTGTTGCAAATGATGAGTGAGCGGTGGTGGAATATGATGAGAAGCTGCAGAAAGTTGCTGTTGTATAGAGACAGGTGCTGCTGCTGCCGCCGCTGCTGCTGCAGCCATCATTGAAGGATGCATCTGTTGTTGTTGCTGCTGAATGAAAAATATTTATAAATTAAATTTTTTAAATACAAACCGATTGATTAGCCGCTGTATAATATGATGTTGTAGTTTTGTTAAGTTGCTGATGCTGTGACTGTTGCTGCATTGCTTGAGAAGAACCAGATGTAGTAGAAGGAACTAACGATGCTTGTGGAGGATGGCTGACCGAGGAGACAACGTTAGGCATTCCACTGTTAGAATTATTTGCGGGAGGATAATTGACAGAAGCAGTATCAGTAAACCTTAAATTATTTTGAAAGAGACTATAAATTATATAAAAACTAACGAAAGAGCTGCAGATCCCGCCTGAGAAGCACTACGATGTTGCTGCTGTTGTTGCTGCGATCGGTAATCGTGTGATAGATGTTGAGTTGCTGGATGAATAGAAGTAGAAAAATGAGCAGTAACGCTTGAGCTTGTTGTTGGTATACTTGTCATAGTGCTAAGTACATTTGCAGCCGTGGAATTTTTTAACATTGAGCGATCCATCTGAAATTAAGGCAAAATTAAAAAGAAAAAGTTTAAAAAATACTTCAACTGAGGAAATATGTTTAGTTGACCAGGCATCATTTAAAGAAGCAGCTGATGGAATACCAATCTTTTCATCGAAACCAAATTGATAATTACTAGTCATATTTGCCGCAGCAGGAGGTGGCAAATCACCGGTAGCAAATTCCACTTTTTTATCAACTAAATAATTAAAAAAAATATTTTTACAAAAAAATTAATTCATACAATCAGAAGCATCAGCCGCAAGTGTATCGTGCATTTGAGACATTTGTTGTTGGAAAAATTCAACAGATGAAGCTGTGCTCAGTCGTTTTGATTGCGCGATATTAGAATTCTGCGATGTTAAATGTTGTTGCTGACTGGTCATCGTGGATTGTTGCTGTTGATGATTAGTTTGATGCTGTGGTTGTTGCATAAGTCCAATAGCGCTTTTTAACTGATTTGTGTATTCTTGATTGACAGTTATAGAATGAGCAGCAGATGAACCAAACGAATCAACAGGTGCCATTGCAGCAGCAGATGATTCGGAATGAGGTGGCTGGTTTGCATTAGAAACAACAGGTTGGCCACTATTTAATCTCGGACTAACAGGCACTGCCCAGTCGACCGTCGTGCTCCACCTTAAAAGAAAGAATGATAGAACAAAGAAAGATAGTCAAAAGAGAGGTGTTGGGATTAAGTTAAAATTAGATAAAATGCTTAAACTAAAAATATCATACTCTTGTTCAACTGACGTATTTTCCGATGGACAATTTCCGCTGGTGGCCTTTACATCCAAAAGCACAGAATCATTTTCGGTAGGTTGACGATGTGGAAGCTGACAATTTTGCTGTTGCTTGACCTAATAAAAGCTTGAACCAATCAAATAGTTATTATTTTTTACCTGTGATGATTCATAAACGGCATTGGAAGATGGCTTGATATCATTAAACTGCTGCATAACCATCAATGGTGGTGGCAACGGAGGCGGAGGTTGCGTTTTCTTGGAAGCGGCCACAGAAGCAAAAGTCTTCGGTTTAGGCGGTTGTTGAATATCCAAAGAAGTATTTGCCGATGTTCCATGATTTAAATTGTTGCTGTTATGCTCCAACGATGGCCAGCTTGAAGTGTTGGTAGCTGGAACTTGAGCCACCGAAGAAGTGATAATTGAGTTGTTAGCGGTATTGGCAGATTGCAAAGTCGATGGCATGAAAACACGCGGTCCGCTCTTCTAAAATGACAAGATATTTTGTTTCAACAAAAATTTTAAAAAACCCAATCATCATTTTTGCTGTTCGCGGCATTTCGCCCTCTTGTTGTATTCTGAGCATCTTCACCAGGAGAAAATGTTCCAATTGGGAAGCTCGCATCATTTGCTTTTTCCTCTGCCTTGTTATTATTCCATTCACCGCAATTGTTGTCGTTTGCATTCCAGGTTCCAGCACTTGTAGCATTATTGTCGTTAGGCGTCTTCGAAAATGAATCACCTTTGCCTAGAAAATATTGAACTCAAAACATAAAGAAAAACAAACCAGCAGAATTGAAATTGTTTCGACGACGAAAACCGCTTGTTGCACCACCAGAAGCATTGACACGATCGCCTCGAGGCTTGTAAGGCCTGTCTCCAAATCGCTCATGTGACTTGGCACGGTCAGCACTAAAAATAATTTCAATGACATTTAATATCAAAAACAAACGTACTGTCCATTTTCCTGTTGTTCTCCATTTCGATTCGAAGGCGTTCGCTTCTGCCGATTTAATCCAGTTTGACCTTGTTTTCCTTCAAAAGAATTCTGTCCATCACGACGGAAGCGATTCTCTAAAAACATATTTTGTAAAATGACTAAAGATGGAAATTACCTCCTCGCTGGGAGTCTCCACGACGTCCACTGCCACCATAAGATGTCATAAGTGATTTAGAGAATTGCTGTTGTCCAGTTGGTCCCGTTCCAGAATTCGAAGCCCCTGTCGCCCCCTTGACTGGTCGATTGCGCGCCTTCGCACCCTGTTGACTCCAAAGTACAAGCTCATCTGGTTTATCAAGCAGCAATGCAACAGCCGCTTCAACACTACCATCAGTGTCAATAAGTGCAACTTCAGCTGCAGATGGTGTGCAGTTTGTAAGCTCGATAACCTGGAATTTAGGCTATTTATCGACTACTTTTTGTATAATTTAGCCCAGATATAAAGTTAAAACACACAAAATAAAGATACGCACAACCGATAAATTCCGAGAATAGTTCAGTTAAAATTACAAAGATAAACCTTTTTAAGTCGTTTTTGTGAAGCAGCATCGTCAGTCGTATTTAACGTTTGACGTCCTGGTTGTATGAGAAGCTCTGCAAGTCTTAATTGCTCTTTTGTCGCTAATTTCGGTTGCTTTTGAATATCTGTCATCACACCACTCTGATGATCAAAAATCAATTTATTTAAAGTCAAAAATCTGAAACTAAATAAGCAATTTAAAAATTGAAACAAAAAATCAAAAAGTATCATGTGACAAAAACAGGAATACAAAATATTTAAACGCGCTCAATAAAGAAATTTACGATTTTACAAAAATGTAATCGAAACTGAAAAAACGAATGACTCATAAATTTAAAAAGGTAACAACACCTAGTGCAGATACGCATATATGCAAATAAGAAAAATTTTTCCCTCCCTCCTAAAAATAGGTAATTTCGAAGATAAACACCAAAGATCGAAAATATTAATGAAATATAGGAATTAAAATAGATTAGAATTACAATAAGTACCAAGTCAAAAATGGGATCTCAAAAAAAAACAGGGGATATAAAAAAATAAAAAAGACAAATTTATTTTAGAGTGAACATGCACTATATCCTATTTACAAAATTCAATAATCCACTGCCTAAAAATAAAAAGGCCAAATTAGTCACGTTCACTCTAGGTAAGAAAAACGTGATACACGCGACCTTAAAGGAAGAAAACATGAAAGAAATAGTCTAATTGTAAGAAAGGAATCTAAAACAAGATCTACAAGAAAGACTTTTAAAATCATTGAAAAGTTTAAAAAAACAAGAACCTTAAAACCATAAAATCCGATCTGTTTAAAACTGATTTCATAATTTCCTTTTATACTTGCCAAATACGGCGGTGACGATTATGCAAAAGGACAATTGATCATCGGGATAGTTGGATACTAGAGTCAGAATGATTTATGTATTTAATCAACTTTTTTCATTTGTTCTGATTTGGATTTTTTCCCTCGTGGAAGAGAAAATATAAAGTGCTCACCGGATTCGAAACCCAACTTAAAATATTATATTGCTAGTATGTACAATGTACTTAAACACAATTCCTCGCTAAGATAATCTTTCTTAAAATTTTTAAAATCCATGAGATAAACGACAAAAAATGAGAGATTTATAGAAAAAAATTAAAAAGGATACGATATTTTTTTCGACGCGAATGGAAAAAAGCAGTCTAAATGGTAAAACGACAATTGGGCAGCGAGACAATAAAACAGTAGAATTAGACTGAGGACAATTGGCCAGTTAATTGAAAATTACATTTAGGCATTTTATGGTGGGAATTGGCAATTTTGTATTTTTTAATTCTGGAGCCGAAATTATTAAAGTCAAAATGTAATCAAAAATATGTGAAATTAGGCTAATAATTGCATTCAAAATTGGCGACACCACATACATATTTTATCAATATTGATATTGGCTGTAGTGTAGTTCACCGGAGGTAAAAGTTCGGGACGTGACATATGTCATTCGATTCGTCTCGGCGAGCTGAGTCGAACGGTACCACTCCCAATTTCAGGAAATGATTCTGGACCGAGTTATAGGTCCCGAAAAATCGAAAAACCAAAGGGGGGACCAAGCACTTTTTTGGGGTGAAAAATTCGAATATGCAAATTATTCATTCGAAAGAGCTCGTCGAGCTGAGTCGAATGACACCAAAATCAACGAAATCCGACTTGATTGGACAAAGTTATGATCTTTTATTTTATCTCCTTACCTATGGGATCTGTGGAGATTTTGCTGCTACAGAGGCCACAAATACGTCCAGAGCAAGGGAGATATGAATAGGTTTATGTTACGAGCCCAGACCCAGCGCCCGTAGACTCCCCGCGAGGCGCGTGCCGCAAAACCCCGCGCGAAGCGCGGGGTTTTGCACAAGCGCCTCGCCGACGCTCCATAGGTTTAGGTTACTTGTTTTTTGTGTCGTAACTTTGTATAATCTTGTTCAATCACTGTGATTTTGGTGTCATTTGACTCAGCTCGCCGAGCTCTTTCGAATGAGGTATTATTTGTATAAAAAAATTTTTATTCCAAAAATCGCCCCTTTGGATCTTCGATTTTTAGGGGTCTATATCTCGGTCCAATCAAGTCAGATTTTGTTGATTTTGGTGTCATTCGACTCAGCTCGACGAGCTCTTTCGAATGAGGTATAATTTGCATATTCGAATTTTTCACCCCAAAAAAGTGCTTGGTCCCCCCTTTGGTTTTTCGATTTTTCGGGACCTATAACTCGGTCCAGAATCATTTCCTGAAATTGGGAGTGGTACCGTTCGACTCAGCTCGCCGAGACGAATCGAATGACATATGTCTCGTCCCGAACTTTTACCTCCGGTGAACTACACTATATCCTTGATATTAAATATTTTTGAGTCAAAATTTTGATCAAATGTCTTACTGACCAACGTTTTGGAAAATTTTTGGAAAAATTTTTTCTGGCCAGTAAATTGGTGGGAAGGAATTTTTTTGAAGGGAACTAAAATAAAAATTGTAACTGATGGTGATTTTATTATGGTAACTCCTTTACTGATTAAAAAAATTAATAATTATAATCAACAATAATAAAAAATTTCAATTTTTACCAATAAATATTAGGGAATTAAAAACAATTATAATACAATTTAATAAACAACAATTATAATTTTATACATTTATTTATTCTAATATGTATCTATTCCTACAAATATCGGCACTTCACCTTGCTAAATACGACAATGCTTTCCTAGACGAGTATTACAGGACGGGCCTAAAAAATTTTTGAAATTGATTAGAAAAATTAAAATTACAAATTATCTTTCGCTAACACGAAACACTCTTTACGGACAACTCTTGCAAAAAAGATGGCCTTTCCTAAATAATTTCTACGAGACATTTTTAAATTTGTCGGTAAAATTTGCCCGCAAAAATGCGAGAGAAAGACTATCCCTTTTTGTTCCTCTTTTTTAAACTTTAAATCGCATCGAAACTGATGATAAAAATGAAAGTCTTCACAAATATGGGTAGAAACTAACTTTATATTAACTCGAAAGAATAAAAACTTACAAGAATGAACAACATCCATACAATCCTCAATGCAAAAAGGTATCCAACAAAGAAAACAGCAGAGGCCAAGACAACATCCAGCAAGAAAACATGATAAGCAAACACTTAAAATATGTGATTATTTTGATCAAACTATAAAATCTAACATCCAAGTAAGAGCACCATCCGTAGTAGTAGTGTTGGTTATAATACGCGATTCACAATTTGGACTGAATTTATAAAGATTAAAATAATAAAAAAAAATACCAGTCCATTTCAACCGGATTTGGTCCAAATCTGGGTGGAAGAATTGGAGTAAATGACGGTGAGCTACCAGATCCTCCAGAGAAGTTTGGAGACCCAACAGACGCACTTGACGATACTTTCCCAACACCGCTTGGACTGCTACGAACTCCAGAATAAGGTGGTGGAGAAGGATAATTAGCCATTTGTTATGCTATTATTGAAGTGTAATACTATATAGGGAATTAGCTAAAAATAAATAAAAGATATTATAATAAAAAATCATCTAAAACAAAAACAACTAGAATCAAATAATAATGAGGATTGTGTTCGAGCTTAAATAATAAACTTTTTTAAATCTGTTAAAAATGTTCTTAACAGGTTACGGTATTTTTGTTTTGAAGCGAAAAGGAAAATGCGACATTTGAGTCTTAATTATTTGGTAAGTAGAGTATCACTTCAGTCATCTTTGTTGAATTTATTTTAGTATTTATCACAACTTTGATAATGTCTTTAGATGAAACTATTTATTCAGAATTTAACACAAGCAGTGAATTTCATGGTATGATTTTAAAATAAAATTTTTTGTTCAAATTTTACATTTTCTTTAGAAGTTTACACAAAAACAACTAGCAGAATACGTCGTATTCTCTTTCCAGAAATAGTGACTGGCGATGAAGAAACTGAAGCTGAATACTCTAAAACTTCAATTGTTTCGCGGTTTGCAGTCCCAACACAACAACTTAAAGAAGCAGTTCTTGATCTTTTAAATGTTCGGGCTCAGCCACAATTAGCGCCGGAAGTTGTTGTAACAAATAATATTCCACAATTTGTTCAAAAACTTTCGTCTACACATGACCAGGTTTTTATTTGATTTTTTGTTGTCATTTTCCTTATCTATTTTTTAATTTTTCAAATTTTCAATAGTGACCTAAAATTTCCTTCTAAATTTAGCATGAAGTCCTACAAGCCGCTAAAATGGTTCATCAACTGTCTAAAGAAGAGAAAATTGTTGTTAGTCTTGCCTCGAGTGAACCACTTGTTGATGCTTTAATTAGGGCCTTAAAGTAATTTCTTTTATTTTTCTGATTATTTTAATTTTTTAGCACTGCTTCAGACGAAGAAACAAGGCGGCATGTTGCTGCAGCACTTTCCCATCTTTCTGCTAACCAACTTGGCGCTGCTTATATTTTCCGTAGCGGCGGGATAGCCGAACTTGTTCGCCTTTTACGATGTCCAATTGCTTCTGTAATTAATTATGCAACAACAACTCTTCATCATTTATTAGTTTATGTTGAGCAATCAAAGCAAGAGGCTATTGCTTGTGGGGCTTTAGAAGCTTTTGTTCCACTGTTGGCGCCTCAAACGGTTATTCCTCAATCTGGGCCTAATCCGAAGCTTCAAGCTATGGTGAATTTATAATTTTTTCGTTAATATTTTAATCGAATTTAATTAACAAAATAAAAGTTACAGAAATTAGCTAAATCAAAAATGAACACAAATTTCCGAAAATGATATAAATCTTAGAGCGGTCGAATTTTATTTTAGAGCATTGATTCTCAATTTTAATCTTTTCACATGAGTCATCAATTCTTGCTAGATTATTTATTTTTTTTTTTAAATTTCAGGTTGCCGATTCTTTATATTTTCTTCTTTTGGACCAACCTCAATGCAAAAATACTTTCCTGTCCTTACAAGGCCCTCGCTACTTGGTTGAAATTTTGCGTACAGAATCTAATTATATCAAATTATTATATGCTGTTGTAAGATGTATTCGTTCAATAAGCACACACGATGAAAATAAAGCAATGTTGATTGCAATTGGTTTGACTATAATTTTTAATAAATTTATTGACATGTAAAATTTAGGCGGTATTGAGCTTTTACATCGTGCTCTTAAATTAATGGATGATGATAAAAGGAAGTTGGCGACATTAAATGCTCTCAGGTTATTTTTAATAATTAGGAAATTCTTAATTTCAAAATAAATCTTCTGCAATCACAAAAATGTATGGTTTGAGCCTTCAGATTAAAAAAAATTTTTTAACTGTTCAATTGCTTATTTTTTAAATTTTCCATACAGGAACCTCTCAGATGCAGCCACAAACCTCGAAACTCTTAATAATTTGGTTAATGATCTTATTATTTTGGTTGCTCAACAAGATGATGATGAATTAGTTGGGTGTGCTTGTGGAATTCTCTCTAATCTTACTTGCAACAATATTTTAAATAAAAAAGCTGTTTGTTTAAAATTTTTATTTTCATAAAAATCACTTTAAAAGGTCTGCACAGCAGGTGGAATTTCTTGCCTGGCCAGAGCTCTTGCCAAATTTTGCAACATTGAAGACGTCACAGAACCAGCCTTATGCACCCTTCGTCACTGTACAGTTCGCCATCCACTTGCTCATCAAGCACAAAATGAATTGAGATTTGCTCATCCAATAATGCTTGCACTTTTGGCCACTGGAAGGCCTCCAATTGTTAAAGCTTCTTTGGGATTGTTGCGAAATTGTTCTTTATCTAACGAAAATTTGCGGCTTATCTTAAACGTTGGTTTTTTAAAAAATTCTCGTCTTAAGATTTTTCAAATATTTTACAGGAAAAAACTCCAGACGGTGCTAACGTTTTGACTTTATCGATAGAATTTCTTGAAGAAACAGGAAGAGAACTTGCCAAAGATTGGCTTGGTTTAAGAGATGGTGTTTCATTACTCGAAATGGTTGAAGGAGCAATTTCGGCTCTTCATCAATTTGCAAGAGATCCGACTTCTGCCGCCCTTATTTTGCATCGGCCTGTAGTTATGAATTTGCTTGTTGATGTAAATATTTTTATTTTTCTTAATTTTATAAAAAGTATTTTTGAAGTTAATTTCAAATCCGGATGTTAATTCAACAAATGATGAATTATTGATGCGTGAAATTATGGGACTTATTTATCAGTTAACAAAATCTCGTGATGGAGCAAAAACTGTAATTGCATACGAAGCACAACCACATATTGTTGCTGCTCTTCAATCGCCTCACAAGTCCATTGGTTTTTTAAAATTAATTTTTATAGAATATTTTGTTAAAATTTCAGCTGCATATGCGTCAATTATTCTTAAAAATATGGGAATTGATCAACAATCATTCTTTATGTCTCGAAGTGGGAATTACAATGGAACTACAAATAGCAATGGATTTTCTGTAAGAAGTACTAATAATTTACACCAGCAGCAAAATTCGGCTACTAATTCTCTTGAAAGAAATAGAAGTAGACAACAAATGGGATGGCTAAATGATGGAATGGTAAGGGGGGTTTGCAATAAAATTAAAAATATTTTTTAATTTTTTAAAGGAGCCTGAACTATACAACGAACTTTACAATTATCCACCAAGTCTTGGCGAACTTCGGCAAGACCATATTGAAGGAAATCAACATAATGGTTCCTGGTTTGACACTGATCTTTGAAATTACCCAAAAACGAAGATTTTTTTGATGATTTATTTATTGTGGATACAATAAGGTTTTTCCATCTGTCACTTTTTTAACTTCAAAATTAATTTAAGCTAATATTTATTTTTATATGCCATTTGCAATTGCACTTAAATATACGCATTAATTAATCTATGCCACATAACCAAAATAATCTCATATCTGATATGTAATAATTTTAATTTTGATATTTATATACTAACAAGAGATATCTTTGCAGTACGTCTAGTTTAATTTTTAAGGATGTCGGTGCTTTTCAAAAAGGTCGTTGGAATTTTTGTCAAAATTTTTTAATAATTTTCAAGTGCCGACATCTAATCAATATTTATTTGCTAATTTATATTTAAAAAATATTTTTATGTTCTTATATATAATCAACCATTCCTAAAAATTTTTTTGCTTAATCTTCCATACATCTTATATTAAAATTATTTTACCTAATCTAAATTATAACAAGTTAATTTAAAAAAAGGTTTTTTACAAGGAAAGGTTGCGAGGCGTCCGACCTAAAAACGGACGAGACCAGGGCACAAAATCCTTGCTAGAAAAGGCACATTCTCTATCGAAGGAGCCCGGTCTCGACCGTTTTTAGGTTGGACACCTCGCAACCTTTCCTTGTTAGTTTGAAATCTCTAGTTTAAAAATTATCATTTTTTACTTTTGTTTTTATTTAAAAATAAAAGTTGGCAGCTTTTATCCTTTTTTAACCTCTTTTAATATTTCTTGTGGAAAGGTTAATTTGGTGCTCCCTTAATTATTTCTTATTTTTTAATGATAATTCTTTTTTAAAAAAGTGTATAAATTTATTATAATTTTTAAACTTCTTTTGTTCTTTTTTCTTTTTCTAAAAGTAATTTAATATTTAAAAGTTCTTTATTTTTAATTAATTTCGATAAAAATCTTTTTTAGAATTTTTTAGAAAATTTTATTAAATTTCTAAAATGACGAGAAAACGAAGATTTTCAAAAATAAAGGAGGAAGTTGTTGATCAAAAACCTGCACTAACAAAGGATCCTGAAAATACTGTGGAGGATGAATTGCCAGCATTAGAATCCTGTGCAACAGAAAAAGAAGTAAATGGTGAAGAGAAAGTTGATGATTTGATAGCTGAACGTTGCAATTTCCATTTATATCAACCACTTGAAGTTCAGGCAATGGCACATTCTAAATTTACAAAGAGGGTAATTTTTTAAATTTAATTTTTTAAATTTAGTTTTTGTATTTAGTTATGTGTCCTTAGACGTATGGAAAAGAAAAGGTTAGTTTTAATGAATTAAATAAGTTGGAATTTTTCGGTTTTGAGCTAGTATGGGGTTTTCTGACTAGAGACTTTGACGAGATATCGATCGAGGATCTCAGGTATCGAGAATTTTTAGAGATCTCGATTCTCATACAAAAATTTTTCGAGATTCCATCGAGATTTAACGAGACTTACGATATACTCTTGATTATCGAGAATCGATATTTTTTGAGATCTCGATTCTTGTACGACATTCCTGTCCGGTCTCTATTTCCAACCGTTAAAATTCTTAAAATAACCTATTTTATAGATGTAGAATTTCTAAGTGACTTACATATCTCGTTTTCATTGTCTTTATATTTAATTATCTTCAATTTTAGTTCTGCTTCAACAGAAGATGAGAAAAAATTAAGTATTTTGTCATTTGTTGAATTCTACAATGCTTCAAATCCGCCACTTCTTTTTCTTGAAAAAAGTATACCTTTATTAGACTCCCTTGGTTCACTTGTGTGGATTGATACTTGGGTTGTTGTTGGTGGATTATATGGCCAATTATATTTCTTTTCTCCTTTTACTACACGATTTAGGGTTTGATTTTTATTTTTTTTACAAAATGATTGTTAATAAAATGTTTCATCTGCTTAACTGGAATTTTTGACTCATTGTAAGGGGCAACCATCTCGAACTGTAACAGAAAATTTCATAATTATGTTTATACCATCGTGTAGGGCAAGGTCGATTTCCTATTGCCAGTTTTTTCTTTTTTGCCCCTATCACCCAAATCGGAAAGTTATAGGGCTTCAAAGTTTTCGACTTTTGGAGCGGTTGAGTTTCCCTCATTGTTCCCATAAAGCGTTCACTAAAATAGTTACCAAACTTTTTTTCTACTTTACTTTAATTTTACAAAAATATTATTTTACAGAGAATTCAACTTTGCCCAACAGAAATTGTTTCAATGGCACGTTTCGATCATGCTAACTTTTGTGTTATTAGTAAAACTGGTCAATTAATTTTACTTGGAAGAAATGATGCAGAAACTGATATTTCTCTTGATTTGGATGAAAAACCAGTAACTAGCAGTAGTTCAAATACTTCTTTTACTTCTGAAAGAATTAATCGGATTCCAACATTTACAACTAAAAAATTATTAAATTTTGATTCTGATCGTTATCCAACTTCTTTGGCTTGTACCAAGTGCAGGTTTTTAATTTTAATTTAAAAAATATAGTTGATTGTGAGATAAGACTTTTTTTTGTCTTTTAAGCTTCTCTTGTCTTTTTCAAAAATTTGTTTATGTTGCCTATTTTGTGTTTAGTTGTAATTTAACTTTAGGTAAACTAACATTTTTTGTAATGTTATTCGGTTCCTAGTCTCGTCTATGTAATTTATTATTGTCCTGTTATTTTTTTTTTGTTTTGTTTTTTTTGTCTATGCTGTCCTTAGTTTTTTCTTCGTGTAGCACACAACTTTTTTAAAATTTTTATCAATTTCTATAATTTCCCTGTATCAATGATTTCTACAAAAATCTCCTCTTCTCTAGATGTGTTCTCCGCTGTCTCGATAACACGCCAAAAAACCCAGGACTCTCAAGGTCTAAAATTCCTATTAAAATAATTTAGTTTGAACCTTGTCCTTGTTTAGTTTATTTTTCTAAAATTTGTCTTTATTGAATCTTTAAATTAAATTTTCAATCAAATTTCCCAATTTTTAAGGTATAAAGCAACTCCAAAACAACATCACAAACCTCACAGTATTGCAATTGGAATGGTTAATTGGTTAACTATTTTGACTTTAAATAATGAAAAAAATGTGGATCAAATGAAAATTATTTCTCGTCGGGATATTCAATTACCTCATAATAAACAAGCTAATATAATTATTTGGTCACTTCTTTTCTTGTAAGATTTTTATTCAATTCTAAATTTAAAATTCTTTTTTTAGCAATGATTTTTTATTTGTTGGTGATTCTATAGGGCAAGTAACCATTTATAATCCATCAAATGGTGTTGTTTATAAGGTTTTTAATTTTTTTAAAGATTATTTTTTCTTTAATTTTCAAGATTTTTAAATCTCATCAAGCACATATTTTGACAATAGCTACAGATTATTTAAATGTATTTGCTTCTGGTGCTGATTTTAGGATACAAATATTCGCGATGACAGGCAAAAAGAAAAATGTAATTTTTTTATATTTTTGAATAGAGTAGCAACCCGACCCCCGTGCATTGGCAGAAAAGGCAACTCCGACATGCCTTTCTCGGCAAACCCCGACCCCGCCATACTCTACCCCGAGGGGTCGGGTTGCTACCATATTTTTGAACTTTATATTATTTTTCCTATGCTGATGACTAAAATTTTAAAAATAAATTTCTTTATTTGTCTAAAGGATCCTATGAGCTGGCTTATGGTTGGTCAACGTCAATTTCATACCAATGGTTTTGTTGCAAATTAAAAATAAATATTTTTAATTTTTTATAGATGTTCGGTCGTTGTGTGCATTAAATAGGCAATGGCTGGTTTCTGGTGGTTTTGAGGGCTTTTTTGTGTCTAATAGAGTTTTGTGTTGCAAACCTCAGAAAAGAGTATAAATAATTTTTTGAAAATTAAATTTAATTATTTTTTAGCCAGAATGTGATTTTTCCCCTGATCGTGGTCTAATAATCACAAGACAGCTTAATTACATTGATGTGTGGTACAAACCAGATCAGTCTTCAGTCATGGATTTTTCTGACATTAAACAAAGCAGGTTAATAATTTTTTTTAAGATTCTTGATCGATTTTTCAATTTTAAGATATTTAAAGTGCGTTTTAAACCCGAGGAGGTTAATTAGAATTCAAAGCGGAGACATGGGATTTGTTAAACAGGTTTGTAATTATTCTACACATTTGTCTAAATTGTATTCCCATGAGTTTCTGAATTATTTTAAAGTACTATTGGAATTAGTGTCTAAAAATAGGGAAACTCGAATTTCGTTAGCCGAAGCTGACTGATCAGTTTTAAACATGGTTTAAGTGATTTAATTGCAAGGGTGTAGCCAGAAGGAAAATTTTGGGAATTGTGTGGGTTGTAGGCGTAAAAAACTTTTTTGTTAAAAAACTTCTAAAATTTTTTCATTTTCCCCATTTTAGAGGAGGGAGGGCTATAGCCCCAGAAGCCCCCTGGCTACGCCCTTGTTGAACTGGTTTTTAATTTTTGTTAATAAGACTATTTTTTAAATTTAAGTCATGCATTTCTCCTAATGGGAAATATATTTGCTTTGCTGGCACAATAAAGGGGGCAATCTCTGTCATAGAATTACATGAAAATGTTATTGAAGAATTATTGAAAAGAGCAATAGAAAATAAAAAGAACGAAATTAATATTGAAAAAGAGGAAGATAATTCAGATATAAATCTATTAATTAAACAATATTGGAGTAATCAATTAATTTCTAAAGAAGATTTTGAATTTAAAGGAGGGAAAACAGTTTTTGCAGTGCAATGTACAAACAATTATTTATATTATGCTACCGGTGAATATCAATTAATGAGACTTGAATTGACCACAAAAACTTTGATTACGATTACACATAAATGTGGGGATTACAACTAAACTCTCTTTAATTTTATTAAAAAATTTTTTTAGCTGATTTTGGTCACATAACAAAAATTTGTGTTAATCCTTCTGAAACGTCATTATTTGCACTAACAACAGAAGGAAGCTCGTTATTAATCAATCTTAATAATGATACTCCAATAGAGCTTGAAATGACAGGTATTTTTTTATTATTATTATTGACGTCTTTCTCTATTTTCTCATAATTTAAAAAATTAACCTTTGTTTTTAGATCAGTCAAAAGAATCAAAGTTAATTATAATTGAAGACGAAAACAATGAACCACAAAATAAGACTATAGTAAAACAACCATCGTCTCTTTTTGCAGTACAACAACTCCAAGTTTTACCTTCAACAGCTCCAAAAATCATCTCCTTTTTTGACTGTCTATTTATTGATGATACAACAATTGTCCTTTTGTCTTCAGATTTGGAACAACATTTTATTTTATATAACGTTACTAATGGTCAAAAATTAGTAAAATCAGCCTCTAATCTTGGATGTAAAGATTTGGAATGGATTTCGAATTTAAATTGTCAATCTGATGAAAATTGTCAACAAGCTAATATTCATCAATTAATTGGAACCACAAACAAAGGACGTGTTTATCTTATCCAGATTAATGGCTTAAATGAGGTTTTTTCTTTTTGAATGAAAATTTAAAAAAAAATTTTTAAATTATAGGAACTAAATATTTATGCAATGCCATTCCCTGATAACACTGAAAATAATAATTTTCTGTCTAAAATCCCGGACCGCTGTATTGAACCATTCTGGAACCGTAAATGTGCAAACGGTCAAAAACATATCGTACTCGTGGGCCACGAGGAAATGAAGCCAACGGTAATCCACAAAAATCCAATGAATTTACGTTCTTTCAAGAAATAGAGAAATTGATATTTATTTTATATTTTTTTTCAAAATTTTAATTTGTTATTGTTGTTGAATTATAGTTTAAATATTTTAAATTTTTATTTTAAATAATATTTTCCTTTTGCATTTGTTTTCGAACACAATTTATTAAAATTATCTTTAATTTAATAATTACCACTATTTTTTCTTTTCAATTAAGATTGATTTTTTTGATTGGAACTGCAAATAAAGGACGTAAGCTGAACGTCGAATTAAACTGAAATACTCTTTAAATGGTTCTTAGTCCTGAACGTCGAATTGAACTGAATCCATTTGATGTGGATGCTTGGAATTTACTCTTACGCGAATCACAGGTTATTTAAAATGATTTTCTTATAATGTGTTTCAGGCCCGTCCAATTGATCAAGTTCGCGGTTTCTATGAACGGCTTGTTAGCCAATTTAACAATGCTGGTCGTTATTGGAAAGCTTATATTGAACATGAATTGAGAGCAAAAAATTTTGAAAATGTCGAGAAGATTTTTGAAAGATGTTTGGTTCGAGTTCTCAATGTCGACCTTTGGAAGTGCTACGTTTTTTATGTTCGTGAAACGAAGGGACACTTGGCTTCTTTTCGTGAGCAAATGGCCAAAACTTATGATTTTGCAATTGATAAAGTTGGAATGGATTTTCAGAGGTTTTTAATCTTTAAAAAAATTTTTCTATATTCATTTCAGTTATTCTATCTACAATGATTGTGTCACATTTCTCAAACAACAGTAAGATTTTTAAAAAATATTTAATAAACTAGGTAATTTTTTAAAGAGAAGTTAAAGGACAATATGCAGAGAATCAAAAAATTACTGCAATTCGAAAAATTTTCAAAAAGGGATTGGTTACCCCGATGGCAAATATTGAACAATTATGGAATGATTATTGTTCTTTTGAAAAGGTTTTTTGATTAATTTTTAAAACATTTTGTTAACTTTAAATTTTTATAGAGCGTAAATCCAGCTTTAGCTGAGAAAATGATTTCTGACATTAAAAAGGATTATTTGGTTAGTTTATTTTTTATTCACAAGGAAGCATCGGATGCTGTGTACAAAAATTTGGTAATTTTTTCTTTAATAACCGATAGAAGACCATCGACTTTCAATTGACTTTTGGAAATTGTTTACTTACCCCATAACTCCAGATTCTATGTTATGTCTGAGGGTTGTACGAAAGTCGACGTGCAATGTTTAACAGTTTATCCAAAAAGAAATAACAATGTGTAGGCGAAGGAATAAGGTTGGAACAGAAAAGGAGATCAGGGACTAGCCGGGTTAGTATGATCCAATTAGACTGACGCTTATTTGTTAGTGTGGCTTTTATAGTAGTGTCACCACTACACAACACTAGCGATCTAACTTTGAACGGCCATAACTCGGCCCAAACTAATTTTGCAAGAAAACCCGCACCAAAAATAGTAAATCGAAGGTCCTCTACCAAAAAAATTACCAAATTTTTGTACACAGTATCCGATGTTTCCTTGTCAGTTTTATTAATTCTCTATTCGCTTTCTCATTAATTTAGCCTGCTTTATAAAATTTTTTTTAATTTTATTTTAACAGAATGCCTGTAAAGTAACAAAACAATATGAACAAATAGTACGTGGAATTAATCGTCAAGGTTTTTAATCTTCTAGATCTTCCTCTATATATTTTCTAGCCATTTCAATTCCACCAAGAGGAACTACAACAGAAATAAAACAGGCTGAACTTTGGAGGAAATATATACAATGGGAGAAAAGCAATCCTTTAAATACTGAAGAATATGGGCAATATGCGAGACGAGGTTTTTCTTTTATTTTTTGAATATTAAAAAACATGTTTTAGTAATTTATTCATATGAACAAGCACTTCTCTGTCTTGGTTACATGCCTGATATTTGGTATGAGGCAGCTTTCTTTCAACAACAAGCAGCACAAAGATTGGCTGAAAAGGGGGATGTTAAACTTTCAACGGCTATGTACAATGATATAATCCGTAAATATTTTTTGTTTTAAATAAACATTTAAATTCTTATTCGTCTATGGCTTTTTTTAACATTTACTATATAATACTTGTTAGATTATCAGCTGAAATTTTAACCTTTCTAAAAATATAAAAATCTCAAAAATATTTTTTAAATCATGGAAATTAACATACTATTCTTGTTATAGTTCCTTTTCTCCCAAATTTACAAGCTAATGAGAGATAGGGTCTGGGACATGAAATACAAGGGTGTAACCAGGGGTCAATTTTTTAAAGGTCATGAACGAAAAAAGTTCATTTTTCCTATCATCTTTATTACAATATTTTTCCCTTTTCCTCGTTTCAGGAGGAGGCTATAGCCCCAGAAGCCCCCTGGCTACGCCCTTGCTGAAATGGTTTCTTTTCTAAATTAAGTAGCTCTACTACTCATAATCTAAAAAATTTTCTTTAAGATTTATATGAAAAAGCAGTTTCTGGTCTAATGAAATCAAATCAGATGTTACATTTTGCTTATGCTGATTTTGAAGAAGAGAGAAGAAAATATGACAACGCCAAGAAAATATATGATCGATTACTTTCTCAACAAAGTGTTGAACCAAGCTTGGTAAATAGAATTTTGAATTTTCCAAAAGAAATTTCTCTTTTTTCAGACATATATTCAATTGATGAAATTTATTAGACGAACAGAAGGATTAAAACAAGCTAGGCTAGTATTTAAACGTGCACGAGAGGATAAACGTAATAATTTTCATGTTTATGTTGCTGCTGCTTATATGGAATATTATTGCAGCAAGGCAAGAATTTTATTTTAAATAAATAAAATTATTCTAAAAATTTTGTATAGGAAGGGTTTTTATTGTTTAAAAATGTTTTCCCTAACTTTCGGATAGGAAGGTTAATTACTATAACTTGCATTTGACTTTTACTTCTTTTCTAGGATTGTCGGGTTTAAAACTGAAGATTTTTTGTTCAGTTTGTCGGTTCGGTTTCGGTTAAACGAAGAATCTGGTGAGACCAACAACCCTATTCTTTTCAAAATCAATCTGTAAACTTTTTCGGAAAATCAAAATATTTTTCTTGATAATTTTTTATAGCTTTCCTACTATTTGAAATGTTTTCACTTTTTGTGTTTCCTCTTTATTTAAAAATTGATGAAATATTAGTAATTTATTTTAAAACCTTTATATTTAGGAACCAGAAATAGCAAAAAGAATATTTGATTTGGGTTTAAGAAAGTTTTCTAAAGATCCAGAATATGCACTAGCTTATGTTGATTTTCTTTCTAATTTGAATGGTTTTGTTTATTTTGATTTAAATAATTATTTAAATTTATTTTTTTAGAAGAAACAAATACTCGAGTAGTTTTTGAACGTCTTTTAAATTCTGAAAATGCTTTGGCACCTGAAAATTCTGGGTAAATATTTAAAAATATTTTTCTAGTTTATTTTATTATTTGCTTCTTTGATTTTATTTATTTTCTTTATTTTAGTAAGAAAAATTTTTCTCGAAATTTTTTTAGTTTTGACTAGTTTATTTTTTCCATTTCCTAGTGAAAAATTTTTTGTTTCTCTTACTATTATATAATAGAAAATTTTTCTCCATAAATTTTTATTAAAATAATCTTCCAGAATATTCGGGGGATTTTTTAGGTGGGTTAGTTTATTATCTTAATTTTCTGATTTTTCGACATTTAAATTTTATTATTTTTGCTTATTCTAATAGAAAATTCGCTCTCTACAAACTTTATTAAAATAAATTTCCAGAATATATTTTAATATTCATTATGAGCCATTAGTTCGATTAGCTTAGATACTTTTATTATTTCTATTTTCTAAATAATTGGCTTTTTGATTTTATTATTTTTGCCTATTTTAATAGAAAATTGTTCCCAAAAAATCTTTCTTAAAATAATTTTAATTATTTTTTGTAGAGAGGAATTTTCTATTAAAATAGGCAACAATAATAAAATCAAGACGCCAAGAAATCAGAAAATTAACATAATAAACTAACCCACCTAAAAAATCCCCATGTTATTCGTAAAGATTATTTTAATAAAGGAATATTATATTAAAGTAAGCAATAATAATAGAATAAAAATGCCAAACTCTAAATAAAAAGGTATTAATAATTTTTTATATTTGCGAAAATTATTAAAATAAAAAAAAAATTAAATCAAAAAATGAAAATAATAAAATAATTATTTTAAAAATATTATTTTTTTTTTTTAAATTTTAGGGAAATATGGGACAAATATTTAGACTTTGAATCTCAAGTTGGTGATTTAACAAGTATTTTAAATGTTGATCAAAGAAGGCGTGCAACCAATCCTCATAGTGAAGAACACAATTCCCTTTGGTTAATTGATCGTTATAAATTTTTAAATTTGACTCCATGCACTTTGGATGAATTAAAATTGATGGGTTATTCTTTGGTTGGTTTTTTTATAAAATAAAATTTATTTAAATTCACCTAATAATTTCTAAGATTTTTAATTAAAAAAAATTTTTTTTCTAAAAATAAATTAACCGAATATTTTTTAAAACCCTTTAGAATATATATAGCTAGTGGGGTTTATAATAGGATTTTATCTAATATAGTCTACAAAATTATTTTTGTAAAAATTTTAGGAAAAGTTTTGTATAAACCAAAAAAAATTTCTTATAAAAATAATTTAATCGAATAAATTTTAAAAGTTTTCTATAAATGAATAGCTAGCATACCCGGGGTTTCATGACCAAGGTTTTAGTTTTATTCCACAAATTATTTTTATAAAAATTTTGGACAAAATTTTGGAGGAGCCAAAAAATTTTTGGGAAATAATTTGCCCCAATAAATTTTAAAATCCTCTTACGGATAAATTCATAAAATCCGGATTTTACCAAATTTTTTAGGAAGGGGTTTTAATTTTTATTCCACAGGGTTATTTAAATAAAATTTTAGATTAAATTTCATAGGGGCCAAAAAAATTTTTCGAAATATAAATTATCCCAATAAATTTTAAACCTAGTTTATAAATGAATAGCTAACATACCCGGCGTTCCATGACCGGGGTTTTAGTTTTATTCCACAAATTATTTCCATAAAAATTTCGGGAAAATTTTATTACATAATTTTTTATAAAAACAATTTTGTCGAATATTTAATAAAATTCCCTCATGAAAAAATTGTTATTTCAAAAAATTTATTTAAGCCATAAAATAGCTATTCTATCATTTCTAAAAGAATTTTTCAAATATATTCCCTCGAAAGTCTTAACCAAAAATTTTTATAAAAATAATTTTGTAGAATATATAATAAAACCACCTTTATGAAAAACACCATAAAATAGTTATCTTATTAAAATTCCATCACTTAAAGATTTTAAAATACAGTCATCGACATAAAGATAGGGACAAGAGTAATTTAAATGAAAATTAACTATTTTTCGATCAAAAAATACGTTCTATATACCAATCGAAAGCTCTATTCGTATCTCAGTTGACATGTTTCTGCATTTTTCATGAAAATGAAAATTGGCAGAGATAATCCGGATCTACCGGATATCCCAAATCCCACAGCCTCGGAAAAAATTTTCGGAAAAAATCTAACAAACCCATTTGATAAAGCATATTTTTGTGAGTATATACCACAAAACCACTTATAAATATCTTTTTCCGGTCCAGAGATATGATTTTTTGAAAATGGCATTTTTCGTCTATTTTTGCAAAAAATTCAATTTTTAAGGGAAAAATGCCATTTTCAAAAAATCATATCTCTGCTCCGGAAAAAGATATTTCTAAGCGGTTTTGTGGTATATACTCACAAAAATATGCTTTATCAAATGGGTTTGTCAAATTTTTTCCGAAAATTTTTTCCGCGGATATAGGATTTGGGATATCCGGCTTAATCCGGATATCTCGGCCAATTTTCATTTTCATGAAAAATGCAGAAACATGTCAACTGAGATACGAATAGAGCTTTCGATTGGTATATAGAACGTATTTTTTGATTGAAAAATAGTTAATTTTCATTTAAATTACTCTTGTCCCTATCTTTATGTCGACTACTGTATATTCGATTAATTTATTTTTATAAGAAATTAATGCCTCATCAAAAAGCTTACCCAAAAATTTTCTAAAAATAAGTTACCCAAATAAATTTTAAACCCAGTTTATTAATGAATAGCTAGCAATCCCTGGGTACCATGACAGGGGTTTATACTGTATTCCACAAATTATTTTCATAAAATTTTGGGGAACTGTTTGGAGGGGCCAAAAAATTTTCGAAAAATAAGTTACCCAAATAAATTTAAAACCCAGTTTATTAATGAATAGCTAGCAATCCCTGGGTACCATGACAGGGGTTTATACTGTATTCCACAAATTATTTTCATAAAATTTTGGGGAACTGTTTGGAGGGGCCAAAAAATTTTCGAAAAATAAGTTACCCAAATAAATTTAAAACCCAGTTTATTAATGAATAGCTAGCAATCCCTGGGTACCATGACAGGGGTTTATACTGTATTCCACAAATTATTTTCATAAAATTTTGGGGAACTGTTTGGAGGGGCCAAAAAATTTTCGAAAAATAAGTTACCCAAATAAATTTAAAACCCAGTTTATTAATGAATAGCTAGCAATCCCTGGGTACCATGACAGAGGTTTATACTGTATTCCACAAATTATTTTCATAAAATTTTGGGGAACTGTTTGGAGGGGCCAAAAAATTTTCGAAAAATAAGTTACCCAAATAAATTTAAAACCCAGTTTATTAATGAATAGCCAGCAATCCCTGGGTACCATGACAGGGGTTTATACTGTATTCCACAAATTATTTTCATAAAATTTTGGGGAACTGTTTGGAGGGGCCAAAAAATTTTCGAAAAATAAGTTACCCAAATAAATTTAAAACCCAGTTTATTAATGAATAGCTAGCAATCCCTGGGTACCATGACAGAGGTTTATACTGTATTCCACAAATTATTTTCATAAAATTTTGGGGAACTGTTTGGAGGGGCCAAAAAATTTTCGAAAAATAAGTTACCCAAATAAATTTAAAACCCAGTTTATTAATGAATAGCTAGCAATCCCTGGGTACCATGACAGGGGTTTATACTGTATTCCACAAATTATTTTCATAAAATTTTGGAGGGGCCAAAAATTTTGAAAAATAATTTGCCCCAATATATCTTAAAATCCTCTTACGGATAAATTCATAAAATCTGGATTTTACAGAATTTTTTAGAAAAGGGATTTAATTTTTATTCCACGTGGTTATTTTTATAAAATTTTGGGGTAATGTTTGGAGGGGCCAAAAAAAAATTTCGAGAAATAAATTGACCGAATAAATTTAAAACCTAGTTTCTAAATGAATAGCTAGCATACCCGGGGTTCCATGACATCGGTTTTAGTTTTATTCCACAAATTATTTTCATAAAATTTTAGGCAAAATTTTAGTAAAAATTTTTTATAAAAACAATTTTGTAGAATATTTAATAAAATTCCTTTATGAAAAAATTGTTATTTCAAAAAATTTATTTAAGCCATAAAATAGCTATTCTATCATCCCTAAAAGAATTTTTAAAATATATTCCCTCGAAAGTCTTACTCAAAAATTTTCTAAAAATAATTTTGTAGAATATATAATAAAACCGCCATTATGAAAAACACCATAAAATAGGTATCTTATTAAAGTTCCATCACTTAAAGATTTTAAAATATATTCGATTAATTTATTTTTATAAGAAATTCTTGCCTCATCAAAGATCCTATTCAAAAATTTTCTAAAAATAATTTTGGCTAATAAAAATGAATTTTAATAGAATTTTTTTATTCATTAAATTTTAGCTATCCAAATTTATTTATTTTAATAATTTTCTTTTTTATTTTATCAAATTATCTTTATAAAAATATTATTATTTTTTTAATTAAAAATTTTATTTTTTAAGAAATGTTCCAAGCATATTTCTCTAGCTGGACATTCACATAATATTCCCTCTTCAGCAACACAAAATGGACATTTAAAACCTACCCAAATTCAAAATATTAGTAGCTCCACAAATATTGGTACAAATCTGCTAGAATTGGGAGCTGCTTATGCTAGACCAGATACTAGCCAAATGTTGCCGTTTAAACCAAAACTTCCCCCAGCAGCATATCATCCAGTGCCTGGAGGTTTTTTTTAAATTGTTTGTTTTTCAGTTAAAATTAATTTTTTAGGGGTATTTCCCCCACCTCTAATTATTTCTCAATTGCTACAATTATTGCCTCCTCCAAGGTCATTTACTGGTCCGTATGTGGATATTGAAGAATTGGTGAAGAGTTTGGGAAGTTTTAATCGGGAACGTGAGTTTTTTTGAATTTAAGAGACTTAGTTTAAAATTTTTGTTTAGCCCCAAGAGTTAATCTAAAAGAAGGCCCTTCACTTGATCCTAATGCAACGTTTGATGATTATAGAGCAGCAGATGTAAAAAAAGAATTATATCAATTATTAAATACAACAACAGATCCTATTGTGGTTAGTTTATTTAATTAAAATAATTTTTAGATTAACTTTGAAAAATGCGATAGGCTTTTTATAGATCCGAGTATTTTTCAGACATTTGAAAAAATTGAGAATATGTAGATGGCTTATTGTTAGTGTTAATCTGGGAAGTATATTAAAAGAAAGTTTCTTTTGGGATTGCTTTGTTGTGGTAAATGTCCAGCTCGCATTTCACATGTCCGCAAAAGGCATTCTCAAGATGCATTTTTCTGTCCCTTCCTTTGGTTTCAAACGGTCATCCTTTGGTTTCCAACGGTTCTGCCGCCATATGACTTTACTTAACTATTTACTTATTCTTAAATTCTCCGACCTATGCTAATTAATTCTAAACTAAACAATTTTTCTTAAATGTAATTATAGCCTTAATTTTTTAACAATCGAAATTTTAACTCTTGTTAGCCAAAAAACAATAAATAATTTAGTTAATGGCATCTTCTGAATATCAACAACAGCAACAATCAATAATTGGTTCAAGAAAAAGAACATTTAATAATACAGGGGATTCAGATTCTGAAGATGAATTACAACGACAAGCACTTGGAGGGGATTTATACAAAAGTAGAATGCAAATTAAAACAGTCAAATAAATATTTTTTGTTCTCATTTTTTTGTTTTTATTTTTTAAATATAAATTTAATATTTAGAGTAAATTATTTAATTTACATTTAAATAAATTTAGCATTTTTTCAATACCTTATTAATTATTTTTAGAATTTTTCGTTTTTTGAAGTCTTTCAGTGTAAACTTTTTTTGAATGTCGAAGCGAATACGTCAAGAAAATTGTAGGTTTTTTTAAATTGGGAAGAAACGAATTGAGTTTAAAATTTAGTTGTGAATGGTGATAAAGGAAATGTTAAATCAACAAATAATCAATGGAGCAAGCCGAAAACTCGTCTGCCTGCACGTTGGCTTTATTGTCCGCCTATGGGAAAGGTTTAAATATATTTAATGTTTTAAATTATGTTAAAATATAAGGAAGGGGTTAGCGTGTACCAAAACGATTAAGCTATAAGAGTAAGGCCATGGCTTTGTTGCGGTGCTAGCAATATAAGAAATCTGTTCGAATTTAATTCTGTTCGTTGTCCTAACTTATTTTTTCGAGTCATTTTTTTTCGAGCCGGCCCGAGAGAGTCTTTTTTGGGCCAAAATTCGATGCACGACTCGATCTTTCGGAGCGACGGGACCACCTTCCCTAATCTTCGTAATTTTCTAATTAATTTCTGATATTTTGGTTTTTGAATGTTAATTATTTTTTTTCAATTTTTAGGTTGTAGCAAGAAAATTTCTTCCAATGAAAACTCCTTTGGATACTTCCTACGACCATTTAATTGAATCCCCAAAATATTATTTTCATCCAGACATGGTTTTTCGCACTCCTTTGCGTGATGTTAATTCTGGTGCTCAAATTTTGTTATGGATTGATTTAACAAATTCTACTAGTTTCTATCAACCTAGCGAGGTTCCTTTTAATTTATTTTTTCTAAGATGCTTTTTTTTTTGTCCGAACCGTGAATTTATTTTTTCTGTTGGCATTCCATGATCTAAATCTTTAATTTTATATTTTCAAATTTATTTTATTAGATTCCACCTCCTTGTAAATACGAGAAAATTAAAATGGTTGGGCATGGAGAAGCACCTTCTGTTGAACAAACTGATAGGTTTATTGGAATTGTTGACAAATTTTTTGAGGTTTTTTAAAGAAATTTTTTAAATTATACCAATTCAAGATTTTTTAAATAATTATATCATATTTCAGGAACATCCAAATGATATTGTTGTTGTTCACTGCACACATGGATTTGTAAGTTTTATAGTAAAAACAAATAAAAATTGCTGGAAGTGTTTATTTAATTTCTTTTAAAACCCCCTAATCTTTATTTAGTTTTCCTCATTTTTCTGACAGTCTTAGATCCAAAATTAATCATTTGATTTAATTTTAATTTCCATTTTGTTAATACATTCTATAATACATAAAATTCTAGAAAATAGTTACGAGCTCTAATAGTCAGGAGCTCTAGCTCTCCTCCAAAAATCTCTTAGGTAAGGAGAGCTCTCCTACCACAATAACAAAAAACGAGTTTTTTTTATTTCCTTTATTTTTTAACTTTAAAAATTTTATTAAAAAATTTTTATTTTTTTTCGTTTTTAATCAGAATCGTACTGGTTTTTTAATTGCTTCTTATTTATTTAAACGAGATGGATTAAGTATTGAAATGGCAGTTCAAGAATTTGCTTCTTGTCGACCTATGGGAATTTACAAACAATTATATTTGGATGAATTACATCAAAGATTTGGGGATGAAGATGATGAAAAAATTGAGGTTTTTTTAAAATAATTTTTTAAAAATTCTTTTAAAGTCTCATGGCCGTCCTCTATGGGAAAATGGACCTTTATCAAATGAGGAATTTACAATGGATGGAATTTTTACAATTGGGGAAGAAAAAGAATTAAATAGTAGTAATGGACATCAACAACAAAATGATTTATCAATTTCTCCAAGCACTTCCAATTTAAATATTGACAATTTAGTATTTAATTCAAATTCATCTTCTCCAGGTATTTTTTTGAAGAAAAATCTAAAAAATTTAAGAAAAAAAATTGTTTAAAGGTAAAAAAGCAAAAACAGCCCCTTTATTTATGGATGGAAGAGTACCCAATGTAAATTTTGTTGATGATCCTGATTTACGTAAAAGTGTTCAAAATCAGGTAAATTTAAGAGGAAAATAATTTAAATAAAAATTTTTTAAAAGGCTATCAATTATTGTGGATATAAGGGGAAAGGATTTCCTGGAAGTCAAGTAATTTTTATTTTAAAAAACAATTATCAAATTTATTATTTTTTAGCCAGTTTCATTGGAAGGTCCATATGGTACTAATAATATTCAATTTCTTGCTATGGAACCTTATATGGTTTCATGGAAGGCTGATGGTGTTAGGTAAATTTTAAAAATTTATTGAACCTCAATTTTAGATAGACCCAATATTTAATACTCCCCCCCTCCCCCATTTAAAATACTTTTTTAGGCCTTGTTTGACCACGAGGTAGGGGAGCTGTTTAAGAGATACTCTTAATCTAAGGCACTTCTTATTAGTGGGACTAGGGTTGCCGTTTGCGAGTCGGGCCGACGTTCGAGGAATTTTTTCGGGCTTGTTTTTATCGAGTCGGGCCTATATGAGTCACTTTTGGTCAAATATCTCAGGCCTGACTCGATCTTTCTGTCCAAGTCGGTCCGTTTAGGCAACCCTAGTAGAGAATCTTCCAGCCCCAAAAGGAGTCTGAAAGAGTGGTTCGACTGAAAAAATTTTTTCTAATAGAATAAATAAACTAAAAATTTAAACAGATATTTGGTACTTATTGACGGACCTAATCGTGTATTTGCTTTTGATCGTGATAATAATCCTTTTCAAATAAATAATGTTACTTTTCTCAATGCAAAAGCAAAATGTCTTTCACATTTAAAATGCCCAATTTCTGATGAAGATTATTTAAAAGAAACTCTTGTTGATGCTGAAATGGTTATTGATACATTTGAAGGGAAAGAAATACCTCGTTTACTTATTTATGATTTAATTTATTTTAATGTAAGGAATTTTTTAGAAATTTCAGGGTAAAAATTAGAATATTTGGTAGTAGAAATCGGACAAAATCATCTGTTCGATATTTGTCCCTCTTATGCTTATATGGTTGAGTAACACACTCTCGTTCTGCGTCTATGCAAATATCGAAAAGAATCCAGTGGTAGCCTTTTAGTAGCCCCCCCCCTTATACATAATTAGGTGTACCTTAAATATGGACCGAAGGATTAACCAACTTTAGAAAATATATCCTAGATTGAGTGTATGTATCTAACATTTGATTTATCTTATAATTAGGTAGTCCGACTATTTATCTTTAAATTTGATTTTTTTAATTTTAATTATTTTTCAGAATTTTAATATGAAGAAAGAAAAATTCAGTGTCCGATTTGAAGCAATTGAAAAAGAATTAATTAGCCCGCGAATAGAAGCTTTTAAGGCTGGTATAATTAATAGAAATTCTGAGCCTATAGGTGTTCGCAGAAAAAGTTTTTGGCCTATCGAATCGACTTATAAATTATTTCAACCTGGATTTTTGGGAGCAGTGACCAGTTGCCATGAAATTGATGGAATTGTATTTCAGCCAGTTAATCGAGTAATTTTTTAAAATTATTTTGAATTAAATTTTGGAAGAGTAAAAGTTCTTCGGCGCAGAAGAATTCCCTCCCCGAAAAAAATCCTGGCTACGAGCCTGCTGAGACCTTTTAAAGGTTAGGGAGCAGACCAGTTGGGAGTCCTCCTTCCCAATGCAACAATGCAAGGCCATACCTAAACGTGAAAATGATTAGCAAGTCCATTTTTGTATCAGAAGATTCGGCCTAATTTTGATAATCTAATCCAGCTAAACCTGTCTATATTTGACTATCATAATTCTAGTTTTAAGCCCTGAGGTAGACTAAGCTACGATAGGTCTGGTGTAAAAAATAATATGTATTCTAAACTAAAAACTTATTTAATTTTTATTTTATTAGCATTATGAATCTGGTCGTTTTAATTATTTATTGAAATGGAAACCACCAGAATTATCAACAATTGATTTTCGTTTAGAAATTAAAAAGATTCAGCGTCCTGGAGAATTAACTCAATGGGTTGGGGATTTACACGTTTTACATTTGGATAGACCTTTTGGACGTTTACTTAAAGTAACTAATCAAATGAGGCAATATGACAAGAAAATTATTGAATGCAAATTTGTGGTGAAGTTTAAATTTTCTTGTGGGAATAAACAGTCATCTTTAAATACTCCCTTGGGATCTGAAAAACAAAAATCATATTTTATAATGAGGGATACATTAAATTTGGGAGTATCTCGTAGGCAACTCCCCCTCCCAACGGCTAACCAAATTTAAAAAAATATTTTAAATTGAGGTGTATTGAGTAGGGTTAGCGGAGCATGGGAAATCCCCTGATGTCCGATATCCTATCCGAATAATTTCGGATATTCGGTTTTTAGATCCGGACAAACGGATCCCCCAACCTTAGTAGTTAGGCATATCTAAAAATGAGATCCGAAATTAAAAATCTTTTTTAACGGCTAACCAAATTTAAAAAATATTTTAAATTGAGGTGTGTTGAGTACGGTTGGCGGATCTTGGGAAACCCCTAGATATCCTTTTCTAGTATTTTCGGATATCCCAACTTTTTTAGATCTGGACATCCGAATCCTCCAACCTTAGTATTTAGGGGTATTTAAAAATGAGATCCGAAATTTAAAAAATTGAAATTTTTTTAGAGAGATAAAGGTGTTTGTGGTTGGGAATTTATGCGTGAACGTACAGATAAAAGCCATCCAAATGCTCTTTCAACAGCAGAATCTGTTTTAAATACAATAAAATACCCAATTAATAGAGATAATATTTTAAATTTTATTCATTCTTTTATTACAAAAAAGAGACAGGAACAACAACAAAAACATGAAAATGTTCATTAAAAATGTTGAAATATTTTTTATATTACCTATATTTTTGTGAAAAAAGGGCAACAAACTTTAAAATTCTTCTTTTAAAGAGAATTAATAATTATTATTAGTTGGTTAGACTTTTCTATTTTTGTTGCAGTTTAAACGAGATTTGGCAACTTTGTTTTACATTCCTTTTTTTGAGAAATCCCTGTCTTCTTCTAGAGATCAAGCTGGACCTGGATCAAGGCCTGGGGTTTTCCTGTACACAGAGTCCAGGTCCGGGCATTTTTTGACTTTCCTGGGGGTTTCCTGGGCCTGGGTTCTTCCTGGACTACAGGCCCAGGACCCGGCCCAGGTCAATATCAAACCCCAGAGTCCAGGAACAGGTCCGAGCTTTTCAAAAATCTCGATCTCTATTCTGTTCTAAATTTGCTTTTGGCTAATTTATTTTTTGACATCAAATAATTTAATAGATATACCTACCTCATTTTCTTGTAATTTAAAATTACAAAATAAAAGTATTAATTAACTACATATGTTAATGGGTTTATTAAATTCAAATTTTATAGAAAAGTCGAACTTTATTTCTCTTTAATTATTTATTTTGTCTTCCCCCCAAAATTTATAGTATATTGTAGTGATGTTCGGGTATCCCGATCCCGACTCCCGACTCGGGAAAATTTCCCGAGTTTTTGACCTCCCGATCCCGATCCCGACTCCCGGTGTCATTTCCCGACTAAGTCGGGAAATTTTTACACCCCTAAGAACGGATTTTTTTGATTAAATTTATTTTTGAAAAGAAAAAATAAAGGGAAAAAATAAAAAAAGGAAAGGGGAAAATAAAAAAATACAATACATATTTAATTTTTATTCCAAAATAATGATGTGTAACGGTGGTTGATTGGTTAGTGTGTGTGAATCTACTCATTTTGTTGGGGCTGGGTTCGAATCCAGTGTTGGGAAATGTGAGTTAAATAATTTTCCCTTCCAAAAAAATTGTTTTTCAACTTTGATTTTGATTTTAAAATTGCAAATTTATTTTTTTATATTATTAAGCGTAAAGAACTGTAGAAAAATTAATTTAGTCTTGAATTTTCAAAAATTTTAGGCTGCGGTGCAGAAAATAGAAGAAATCTAGCCTCTTAGCATCCAAATTTTTCTAAATTTTTGCCTGCGGCGCAGAATAAGAATGAAATCTAACTCATTGGCTTTACAAATTCTAAAATTTTCACCTCCGGCGGTAAATAAAAGAAGAAGTCTGGTTCCAAACTTAAAAAAATTTTCTGAGATTAAAAGGAACAAAGAATTGAGATTAAAAGGAACATCAAAAGATTAAAGGGTGAAAAGTTCAATTAAATATGTGAAAAGTTCCCTGAAATAGTTAGGTTCTCGAATAAGAGGTGAAAAGTGGAATAGTCAACCCCCCACCCCCCTGCCACGAAATTGGCGTAATAGGGAGAGGGAGGAATACTCGAAAAAGTGAATTTTTTTGCTTACGACCTCCAAGTTCTCAAAATTTTTGCCTGCGGCGCTGAAAATCGAAGATACCTGCTTCTTTACCTTCCAAAATTTACAAAATTTTTGCCTGCGGTACAAAAAATTGGAATTTTCGGCGCCGAAGGCGCCGATAATTTTTAAATGTAAATTCCCGACTCCCGATCCCGACTCCCGAGGTCATTTCCCGACCCGACTCCCGTTTCCCGATTCCCGAGTTTTTTCTTCTCCCGAACATCACTAGTATATTGTACTTATTTTTCTGTTAAATAAAAATACTCAATGTTTATTTACATTGAAATTATCGGTATTATCCTTTTTTGAATACCTCATTTATATTTTTATTTCTTTAAATTTTTATTAAAAATTCAAAATTTACTAAAAGAAATGTCAAATTCTATGGATAATTGGCCATTGGAGGCAGTCAATAGATTATTATTAAAATTAGTTAATCACAAACCTGTTGGGATTAATAGACATTTTAATATGGTAATGTTTAAATTATTTTGAGGATTTTAAAAAATTTATATTTTTGTATAGGTTCTCCTTACAATATTTTTAAATAATATTTTTGATTTTGAAGAAGACATTAATTTTGAGGTGATTTTTAATTTTGAAAGATGTTTTGATTTTTTACATGCCTAGAATGGTACTGGCCTTTTTAGGGCGTGAGGGGATGTCAAGGCACAAGATTCATAAAATTCTGAATTTTTCTATAAATATCCTCCCATGAAGACACCCATTACTCACTAAAAATAAATATTGTGATATCATACTCACTCTTCTATCCTATACTATGAGTAGATCATCAAAATTCTAACCTTGTCACCTGCAAGTTATTTCCTTTCAATGACCAACCAAAATTTTAAAAAGTATCTTAAATTGTGGGTTACTTAAATTTTGGGAGTCCCTCGGATATATGTATCCGTCACCCTTACATTCTATGGATAATTGGCCAGAGACTTGTAAATATCTAAAAGCCAAACCTCATTTTTGGATACTCCTTAAAGTATGAAAAAGCATATTATAATGAAGAGGTAACTTAAATTAGAGTAACGCTTTAGCTAACCAAATTATTAAAGACTATCACATGTTGGGGTACCTAAATTTTGGGGGTGTCTAAAAATGTGTTTCAACTCTACTTTCTAATTTAAAAAATTTCCTTTTTAAGGATTATTTATGTGAAAATGATTTTGAAATATTAAAGAAACGTCGACAAGAAGGCAAAATAGACCCAAAGAAGCCAATGGCTTTTTCCCCAAGTTATTCAATTAGGCCAACAATTGAACAAGTTGAAGCTAAATTAAATGAATTTTATGATTTGGAATTAATACAGGAAAATGAATTAATTCCTGAAGAATTGGAAAGAAAAACTTTATTTGATTTAAGTAAATTCTTTACTCTTCCCTATAATTTTCAAACACCTTTGTAATTTAATTGGGTTTTTTAAATAAAAATGTTTTGGAAAAATTTAAGAGGTTGTCTATTTATTTAAGAATAAATTAGGCTAAATATTTACAAAAATTTCTTTCCGTGAATTAAAGTTCTCCGTGGAATTATTATTTTTCAAATCGTCTTTTGGATGAAGAATCGAGTAAATAAGGTGTTAAGACCGAACAATCTAAATCCCCCACCTCGACTTTTTCCTATCCTTATTTCTGAAGTTTCGGCTATTAACATTCAACTTTAGCGCCTAACAATTTCTCATACGGTAAGCCTTTCCATTATGGCATTTCTTACCCCCAAAATAACCGACACAGGAAATATGAAGTTTTTTGGTTCGTTACAAAATTTGTAAATTAAAGTAAAATTTCACACCAATCAAATGGATTAGTTGTCGGATTTCAAAATTTAAGATTTAATGAGTTGGCTATTTCAAAAGCAAGGAATAAAGGTTGAATCGAGCATATTTTTCAACTGATATAAAGGGGGAAGTTGTACTTTATCACCTAGCAATTTCTCATATAGTAAACCTTTCCTAACTTTAAATTTTTATTAACCTAGGCCTATTTCTGAAAAAAACTCATTGTTAATTCAATCCAAAACTCAATTACAATATCCAACATTTATTTACAACATTTATAATATATACAATACATCAACAGCAACAATAATATATATGTTGAGAACACACACAAATATAGGTACAACATACAAGAGCATCGATATATAGCATTATAGGAAATATATAGTTGTGCCACATATATAGGGAATAGAAGAAAAGTGGATCACAACAATAATTATTAGAGAGATGCTCATTATTAGAAGGGGGAAATGCCTATAGAGAGGGGAGGGAGAAAGAAATATTTATTTATTTATTTGGACATATTCTTCAATCATCACAACGTCCAATCATTCTTCTCTTCTCACTTCTTCGTCGTCCCGCCACCAGCAGTCTTCCCACCAGCAGTCTTTCCACCAACAGTCGTCCCAGCCTTGGTTGCCGCAGCGGCCGTCTTTGCAGTTCCCCCAGCAGTTGTCCCAGCTTTGGTCCCAACCGTTGTCAGCCCTCCAGTCTTTGCCTGAGTTGCCCCAACCGTTGTTCCAGCTTTGGTCTTTGTCGTTCCACCAGCCTTCGATGTGCCGAAATAGTCTTCCTCAACTGCATCGGGCTCACTCTTCTTGATGACGAAGAAGAAGACGAGAACACCGCCAACAGCAGCACTGAAAATAAATTTAGGGAATTTAGTTGAGTAAATGATTATTTTGAAAAAAGCTAAAAACTCACACAATCACGACGATGATGACTATGACGATGACGATTCCCAGACTTCCTCCACCTTCGGCCGGCTGTACTGGCGGTGGAGTACTCGGTGCTGTCGGTGGTGGTGGTTCAAGAGTTTCACCAGTTTGAGGTGGAGCACTACCGCCGGGCACCAACAGCTTGAATGAACTGCCTGGCTGAAAGTTAAAGAGAAATTTAGACTTGAAAACAGGTAATCAAAAAAAAATAAAGAAATCTTACAAATTTGACGTAGATCTCGTCACATTCCGGTCCACGAAGGCCATCACCCTCGATCCTGTCTCTGGTGTGGACCCTGGTTGCTTTTTGAGGAAGCAAAGCGAAGGTGAACAGACGTGTGAATTCACCTTTTGGAGGTTCAGTCTCCCAGGTAATTTTTTCACCCAGCTCTTGTGCCATGCTATTCTTGTTGACGCATCGAGTGTCTCTTGGAAACCCTCCTTCTTCCCAAGCGCAGCCCTCCGATTGGAACCAATGCATATTTCCATTGTCGACTGTTATCTTGTAGCTGACGTCATTCTCCCCAACTGAATTTGCCAAGCCACAGTACGAACCACCGGGATCACCGACTAAAAGGGATTTTAAGCAAAGAAATTAAAAAAACAAAATAAACTTACTTCCAGCAACGGTTCTCAGAAGTTTGCCATCATTTTTGGCAAATCCCGCAGCAAGACCAGTCCATTTCCTACAGACCGTATTACCACCGCAAGACCCAGGGCAGCCATCACCAGTAGCCGGTTGAAAGTAACGCATCGACTGGAACTCAGCGACAGTACGACTGTAGATGAATGGCAACCTAAGAAAATTTAAAAAGATTAAAAGAACATAAAACATTGCAAAAACGAACGTGTTTGCGTAGCTGCTTTCCCGATACTCCGTTGATCTACCGCAACCAAGAACCTGGTACCACTTGCATGGGCTGTTCGGATATGTCGTCGTCGGTTTCAAGCAATGCTCCAAGCCGTTGCCGTTCTTGATTCCAATGATGAAGTCGACTGATGTTGTGTACTTCGTAAGCAGATCCACCATGCATCCCTGATCTCTGGTTCTCCCATCCTTCCTGTACTTGACAATGCTGAAATAAAAATAATTTTATTGATATAATTTTAATGTGTAAAAAGAAAAAAAGCTCTCACATGTCCCCGGTTTCCTTATCGTATTCGATGTCATCACACGGGTTCAGGGCGCCAGCTTCCTTGTACGCCTTCAGATCTTCAGGGCTAGTTGCTGGATTCCATTCGCCGTTTGCCAACTTGACCTTCTCGCCAGATTTTGTGTGACGTCCAAAGCCAACAGTGTTCGCAGCAGAAGCAGGAGCAGGGGGAGGTTCAACAGGAGGTTGAGGAGGATCATCGCCAGCAACTTGATGGATGAGCGCCATAGCAGAGAGAAGCCAACAAACCAGCAGAAGCCGTTCCCGCAGCATCCCGAACGCGGCAGCCCGATTCCGTCCGTGTTTGAAGAGAAGCATTTGTTGTTGTTAGGTCCTGTTGAGAGCACTCGCAAGGCCAATAGATTGAAGATTTGTTGATGATTGATGGTTGATTTTGAAGAGTTTTGATTAAGAAAACAACAGAGTGCTTTTATAGTATCACAAATCGTATGTTGTACCGAAATATTTCAAATTTTATCATATATGTATGATAGAGCTGTCCAAGACTTTTGGTCTTAAGTCTTGACTCCAACAGTGGTTGGAATTTTTAAATGTGCTCATACTCGTAATTTCGTAAATGCCTTTTTTACTTCGTGCTGAAGTAAAAAAGGCATTTTTTGCTCGTACTCCACCGATATCCCTCATGATCGCTTAAAATCTGTTTACATCCCTCCAAATCCATCGATATCCTTATTTATCTCTCGATGTAATGTACAAGTCCCTTGATGCCCACTTTAATCCCTCCAAATCCTTATTTCTAAAGTTGACTGTTTAACCTCGATGCTGATGACAATCCATTGTGTTCGGGTACAGCCCAAGTAGGCGCGGGCCAAGTAGGCGCGACCGAGTAGGCGCGACCGAGTAGGCGCAGGCCGAGTAGGCGCAAGGCCAAGTAGGCGCAAGGGTAAATTTCCTAATTTTTGCTCAAATTTTTTTTGTTAATCTTCAACTAATTTTGTTAATTAATTGGCTGAATAATCAAGCAACTTTATGTGGACACTGGACCTTTTCCAAAACTGCCCTTCTTAGGGAAAAAATTTATTAAGTGAAGCTCGTTGATGTTTTTAATTTTTGATAAAATTAAAAAAATTTCTTTTAATATTTTTCTCATAAAAGCTCCATACTTAGCTGTTGATAAATTTTGGATTACTGGCTAGGTTTGTTAATTAGTGAAAGCCTTGCTGCTTTGATAATTCCTGTGGCTTACCAATGTTATGAATACTAACTAGTTAGCCTTTAGGAACTAACTAGTTTAAGGGAACATGAAGTTTATACAAAGGTATAATTAACAATCAAGATACGACGAAAAACTTCTTCAAGGCGTTTCACAAAAAAGTCCAGCCACAGTTAGGAGTCGTTTGATGATTAAAAGCTTTTAATGGATTAAAAAATAAATATACACTATTGAACTGCCTAGTTAATGCATACAGTACGAACGTATACTAACAGGGTATCGATATTTAAGGTGTCTTTCCTCTAAAATAGGTACCTTTCTTCTAATTTTCATCAAGAATCTTTCTTCTAACTCATTAACATAAGAATATTTATGCTGAATTATTTTTTAATTTGAATATTTTGAGCTTAAAGATTTGCGCCTACTTGGGCCGTGCGCCTACTTGGCCTTGCGCCTACTTGGCCTGCGCCTACTCGGTCGCGCCTACTCGGTCGCGCCTACTTGGCCCGCGCCTACTCGGGCGTGTCCCATTGTGTTCATGCTTAGTCCTATTCCTTGTATATTTAATTGCATTTTCCATTCTAAAAATATAAAGGTGACGAGGAGATTCTTAAGATTTATCATCGACTTAAAGACTTCCCAAGTAATACTGTAAGAAAAAAATAGCGCCATAGTGGCCCTGCGCCATAGTGGGCTTGCGCTATAGTGGCCCGCGCCATAGTGGCCTGCGCCATGGTGGGCTTGGCTTGCGCCGTAGTGGCCTTGCGCCATAATGGCCCTGCGCTTAGTGGTCGCGCCATAGTGGCCCGCGCCATAGTTTCCGTTTTCCTTATTTTTAGAATATGTATTTTTTGGTTTCAGTCTTGTTCGTGTTATAGTTTATTCTTTATTGTTTTAGCTTATTTTAAATCATAATATGTATGTAAATGAAAAATTAAATATAGCCAAAGATTTGACTTTTTTTTTAAACGATTCAGCTAATCCTTTAAAAAATTATTTTTAGGATCACAAACATATTTAACACTTAAGAATGACAAAACAAACCCAAATTCTTATTCTCGAGCCTAGCACTGAATTGACATTTACAGGTTTATTTCTAAATTAATTACCTGACTATTTAATAGGTCCATTCACTGAATATGTCAACACAAACCTTACATTAGCGAATCCTTCGTCTAGAGATGTTTACTTTAAAGTCAAGACTACAGCACCGAAATTTTATTGTGTTCGTCCAAATTCTGGGATTATTAAGGTTTTTTGGAAAATTAATTTTAAATGAAATTTATTTAAAGGCAAAGGACAAAGCACAAATTAATGTAATGCTTCAACCAATCGATTCGCCTGAGATTTTGGAAAGCGAACGAAGCCGCCACAAATTTATGATACAGGTAAAAATGTGTTGTTGATTTTTTTGAAATTTGTTAAATAAATCGTTCGAAGCAGGAATGGGATGGGTTGTCCGGAACCCGAATCTGGTCCTATTGAAGCCCCTACTCCCGACTTTCTCGACTCGTCCTATCCATGAGGGATCGATTTTACGGAACCCGAATCAGGTCCTATTGAAACCCTAACCCCTTACTTTTTTCAACTCGTCCCATCCATGATTCCGAGTTTTTTGCTTATTAGTCATCAAAATGGGAGTTTTTTTGTTCATTAAAATCTGATTTTTAAGAGTGCATTTGCTCCTGATAATGCTGATTATTCGACTAGTTCTTCGCCAACACCACCAGAACAGTTTTGGAAGGAAGTGGATGCTTCTCAAGTTATGGATTCTAAATTAAGGGTTATCTTCCAGGTTTTTTTTGAAATTTATTTTAATTTGAATCCAAATATTTTAAGTGGCCATTTGGATATTCTCCGGATCAGGGGTTTGGAAGTGATGCTGCTAATTCATCTGCAAATCCATCAGCTGCTAAAAATTCGGAAATTAAACAAATGCTTCGACAACAGGCTGAAAAGCCGGTGAATATTCCTACAATGTCTTCAGAATCGGTTAGTTAATTAATTAAAAATTGTGGGCAGAGTTTATGTTTGCTTACATTTAATTCTAATTTCCCTCTGATATGGAATATTTCTTTGGCAGGCACGTAACCAAGGGAGGTAGGGGGAGGTGAATTCCCTGCCCCCCCCCCCGAACTGTGGAAAAGGAACAAATTTTGGAGGGGCCTCCAAATTCCCAAAACTTTCACCTGTGGCGCAAAAAACAAAATCTTTGGCACACTCGACGCCAAGAATGATGCTTTCTCTGCCCCCCCCCCATTCCCCCGAGAAAAATTCTGGTTATGAGCTTGTTCTTTGTATTAATAAGTTTGAGAATTTTTATTAATAAAGGGGATGAGATTTTTTAAAGTAACGATATAAAAAAGCATCTTGAGTAAATAACAAAAATTTTAAACATATTATTTTTCAAAGGAATTGTTTACTGCTGATCCTCAAGCGGCTCTTCAAAAAGAAATAGAATTACGAAAAATGTATCAAGATGAGAAAGCAAATTTGGAAAAAGAAAATTTCGCTTTAATGGTTTTTTAATTGTTTACTTAATCTTTTAAATATTCTTTTAGGAAAAAGTTGAACAACTTGCTCGTGCTTCACGTTCGGTTGGAGCACTTACTCAACAGGACAGTGTTTCTATTGTTCAAGTATTTTTTGACATTAATTTTTTAATGAACCGCCACGAAGTCTAAAAGAGTCTCTGGTTAACATAAGTACTGGGGCCTTCAAGTGCTTGGCTTGATTTTGTAGCCTAAGGGTGTGGTTCCGGATTCTGAACCGAACCCATAATAATTCCAATACCCAGTTGTGCCTGTTTATAAGATTAATTCAAAAATTTACGATTAGTATCGTTAAGGGACTCTAGCTATATTTCTTAAATTTTTTGATTTTCTAATAACCACAAAAAAAATTTTTAAGGCTGTATTGTTCGTCGTGTTGGCTCTTTTGCTTGGGTTGATCATTGGCAAATTGCTGTGAATATAAAAAATATTTAGTTTAAAAGAAGATAAGACGATTCTCTCTTAATAAAAAAATGAAAAGAGAATTTTTTGGATAATTCGGTTTTTTTCTAATTTTCTCTCTTCTTCCTACAAACCTTTACCCAGTTGGCCATTTATGTAATTTTGCTTAAAAAATGTAAAGGTTATTTTAGAAAATTTTGATTTTAGATAATTTTTGTTTTTTCAAAGTTCAATTTTGATTTAAAAAAATTTATTTTTCTCTCTAATATTTTGTTGAAAGTGCTGAAATTTTGTTAAAAATTATTTTTAAGCACTTTTCTTTTTTTCAATTATTTTCTTTTAAAATAATCCACAGATAATAGAACAGAAATTTTTTTCAATAGAACAGAAAAAAAAGTTTTTGTGTGTGTTTTCAAGGGCGTAGCTAGGGGGTCGATTTCAGGGGGCTAAAATTGGGTGTGCGCCAAAATTGTGTGGCGTTTAACGCAATTTTTTTGAACCATATTTTTATTTTTTTTAGCTCCGCGGTCATAGGCGAAAAAATTTCACTTATTGCTCAATCCCCTCCTCAAATTTTTCCCTTTTCCCCATTTCGAGGGGGGGGGGGGGCTTTAGTCCCAGAAGCCCCCCTGGCTACGCCCTTGCGTGTTTTGTTTAAAATTCTTTTTCAATTCTCAATCAGTAAATAAACAAAAAGACAAAACACATTTAAAAGTCGTTCAGCAACTTCTCTGTATTTTTAAAATTTCCCGTTTTTGAATAAATATGTAAACAAAAAAATTTTTTTTTAAATTTTTATATTGTTTTAAAAACAAAAATTTTATTTTTATTTTATTAAATTCTTTTTTAAAAGTAAGGAATTTTCTTTTACTTTACATATGTATCTGTTAAAATATATTCAGTTGACATTTTATTTTTCTATTGAAGGAAAAATAATGACTAGTTTTTTGTTTGTTAGAGAAATTTTTAAAAACATTCCAATAAGCTTTTGAAGAAATTGCTTTAATAATATTTTTAATAAGAATTCTCTTATTTTTTTAATTTTAGAAATTAAAAATCAAATTTTAAATTCAACTATTCAATGAAGTGATCACTTTTTGTTGTATATTTTTGATTAAAAACATGGTTGGAGGTCGTCGTATTCCTGGCAAAAATAATTTTTGTGGAAGGAATTGGTGTGTCTATGATGCTTGTGGTATGTTTTTGTTAAGAGATTGTAGGTATTTGGGTGAGATAATGCTCGTTTTGATAGAGCCAACCTCCATACAAGGGTTGTGGGACGTGCAAAAAATAATTTTTTTGTGGTAGGAATTGGTTTATCGTTTCTAGGAATGTATTCTTTTGAACTTCTTGCTTTAGGATTTGTCTTATTCTGAGGGCTTTTTAGTATTAATTAGAGACCGAGACGATATCTCGAACGAGATATTAATTGAAATCTCGGTTATCGAGATAGGAATTTTTCGAGATCTCGATTCTCGTACGACATTCCCACTCCGGTCTCTAGTTTTAACTTTATTTTTTAGCAATCCACTTCTTAACTCTATTTTCATATTTCTCATCTGCTTAAGAAAAAGTAATTACCTCACTCAAAATGTCATTGCGAATCTTAATTCATTAAAAAAATCGTTTAAATTTAGCATTCGAAAAATAGAATTTATTTTATCCAGGCATTGTTTGTGGTCTCTTCACATGGTTACTTCTTAGCTATGGACAGTTTTGTATTTTAGCCATAATGATGACTTCCTTTGAAGACAACAAAATTCACCAGTCAATTAATTTTTTAATTTTTGAAATTCTTTTTGTTCTTTCTGGCGCTGCGCATTTAAAAACAATGTTTTCTTTTTTTAAATTTATTTAAAAAATTTTTTTCAAAGGTTTACTGATCCCGGTGCTGTTCCAAAGGGTACTTTAACAGAAGAATATATTGCACAATTAGAGAAGGAACAACAATTTAATGGAACTGTTTTATATAAATGTACAAAATGTTCTTCAATAAAGCCGGAAAGAGCCCATCATTGTTCTGTTTGTAAAAGATGTATAAGAAGTTTGTTTGTTTAAATTATTGTTAAGTATTTAACTTCTTACTATTATATAATGCGGTACTCTCGTGTTATCCATCCCAATTCTCTTTTTTTCTAAATTTGACTTATCAAGTTATAACTTTTTAATGGACGATTATACTTGATTCATTCAATAGGAAAAGGTTAGAGCTTATCGGGAGCTTTCGAATGCTGATTAAATTCGGAAAAAAGGAAAATTAGGACGGATAACACAAGCTTACCTCTAATTCGAATTTAAATTTTGTTTTAAATGGACTAGGTCTTTTAGAACTGAAATTTTAAAAACCCGTGTTTATCAAAAATTGAGGATTCCGAACAACATGCTTCTGAAAATCCTTCCCTAAATCTGGTCCTAGTTTGAACTCCCATATCCCAGTGCTTGTTATCCCTGCTCACATCATGGCCGTAGCCAGGATTTTTTCAGGGCCCTGGCATTACATTATTTAAACACAAAATCTACAAATTCCCGAAGAGTTGGATTTTTATGAAATTTATTTTTAACTTTTTTGGATTTTTATCCTTTTGATAAAATTTACTTCATTTTTAATTTTAAAATTATTTTTTAGGAATGGATCATCACTGTCCTGTGAGTTTTTTTAATATTCAAGTCTAAAATATTTTACTTTTTTAGTGGGTAAACAATTGTGTTGGTGAAAATAATCAAGTTTGTATAATTTACTTAAAATTTAAGTTAAAAAATATTTTTTTTCAGAAATGTTTTGTTCTCTTTACGGTATTTTTATTTAAATTTATTTTAAAAATTCTTTCAAGTTCTACATATCTCTCCTTTCTTGCCATACACTTTATTGGGCTATTAGGGTAATTTTTTAAAGAAATTTTTTCTCTTAAATTTTCAAAATTTTTTTAGCAATTTGTTTGGTGTGTTGGAAGTGATTGGAAGCCCTGTTCTGTCTTTAGTCCACCTGCAACCACAATTCTTTTGATTTTTCTTTTATTTGAATCTGTCCTTTTTTCAATATTTACTGCTGTAATGTTTGGAACACAAATTTCGGCAATTTGTTCTGACCAAACTGGAATTGAGAATATTAAACAAGAAAGAAATGTATGGTTAAATTTTGCTTTGTTTTTTATTAAGTTTAGGTTTAAATCCCCTTTCTTTTCCCTTCTGCTCAAACATTCCCAAAGACTTCCCCTGATACTTTAAACGGCCATAATTCGGCCCAAAGTCATTTAGCAAGAAAATGGTTATCACTTTAACATAGGAACTTCAGGTCCCCTGTTTAATGGTACCGAAAAATATATCGAATTATCACAGACAGTGGACGATGTTCCCTTGCTAGCTTTTGATTTTGAATGATTATCAGTGAAAACTTTTCTTCAATAATAAAATTAGAGGAAAACATAAGTATAAGGGTGTATAATAAAATTTATTCATTGTTATGGTTACAAGTTTAATTGCTATAAATTGGTATATGTCTGTTAGGCTTTACGTTTTTAAACTAAAAAAATTAGAGGAAATTTACACAAAGAATAATAAAAAAATCGATTTTTGGGGGTTTTTTGGGGCATGATTAATTTTCTAAATTATATGAAAATTAAAAATAAATATTTTTTTAATATTTTAGTGGAATAATAATGTAAGGAGAAATTTAAAAACCAATGAAGATATTGAAAATTGTGACAATAATAATAATAAATCTTCTCCAGCTTGGAAGAATTTACAAGTCGTTTTTGGTGGGGGAGGTGGACAAAAATTTTCTTTTAAATGGCTGGTTTGTTTTTCTTTTTAAATAAAAATTATTTTTAAAAATTATTTTAAAGAATCCATTTGATGTTCCCTTCCATTCAGAAAAAGCTTTTGAATTTTCTGTTTAAATATTGAATTTTACTTTAAAAATTTAACACCTCAAAAACACTAAATATTTAGCAACATACATATTCTCTGATTTTTGACATTTCATTAATTAATCTAAATTATGTGTAGAATATGTCATTTTAATAATGAGTTAAAATTAAGGTACTTTATTAATATCCCGCCCCCCACCCCTATTTGAGTCTCAGATTAATTTTAACTTTTATTTTTTCTGCCTCGGAATGGTCAATTTTCCTTCTTATAAATGCTTTCTATGCGGTTGCCGTCTATTTTTCCTTCCTAGTCTTGCCTTTTGCCTGCAATGTTTGAAGGAAAAATGATTGACAGTAAAAGAAGGGAAATTAATCTGAGACTCAAATAGGGGTGGGGGGCGGGATATTAATAAAGTACCAAAATTAATTTCGTTTCCAAATAAAAAGTCTGTTCTCCGTAATTTTTCACTTTCATTTTCTCTTGCTGTTTTGTGAAAACATTTTTTGGTTGATGGCTTTTTTTGGGATTTTAAAAATTTACCGGAATTTTTTTCTCTATTCTGGTGGTCCTTTTAATTTAATTTTTATAAGACTAAAACGTTCTAGTTACTTTAAACCACTGGAGAATCAAAAAGTAACCACAAAACTCGAGAAAAAATTTAATACATACGGGGGACAAATTAAACTTTTTACTAATAAAAATTTAAAATGACATACTGTTCCTCTATTATTTTTATACAAAAAAGATTCTTTTTAATTTTTTCAGTTTTATTAGAAATTATTTTAATTATTTGTTTGACATTTTATATTTTGGTTGTTTGTATTTAGGGACGAGCATTTTAAGTTTTTTAGAAATTAATTTTTTTCGATTCTTTCAAGTTTCTCGTGCGTGTCCCTTCCCCCTTCCCCTTTTTCCTTTTGGACATTATTCTTACTGTCAAACTTTTTTATATTGCCAATATATTTAATTATCTAGTTTTTATTTTACTCATCTCCAAAATCTCAAATTTTTAATTTTATAAAATTACGCAAAAGTTTTGAATAAAATTAATTTAAATTAATAGATCATATATTATCTCAATTAATTATCCGCTCAAGAAAAAAGCACTTAATTAATTACCCAGGACCACCTCGATTTTTCACCTCCTTAGACAAGTAATTAGTGACCCAGGGTTATTTGTAATTTCCGACATGTTCTAAGAAACTTGCGTACATATTTCTATTGCATTTTTCTATTTTAATGTACTTTTTGTTGATCAAATTCTCTCATTTTTTATAAATTTAAAAATAAAAATATATTTACCTAGACAATTATTTAAAATATTTTGAAGAAAAATTTCTTTAAATTTTTTTTGTTCTACTCTTTAATATTATTTTTTTGTATTTAAATAATTTAGATTAAATATTTTTTACTTAAATTTGTTTTTAAATTGAAAAAATAACTTTCTTTATTTTTTAAAAAATATTTTTAATTTCAAAACTTTTCTCTTTAAATTTTTTTAAAATTTAAAAATGCTTCGCACACGTTCAATTCGTTCATCTCAACCACCAGCCTTTTTAATGAATTTAACTAAACATTCTGCATTGATAGGCTTTTTATTTTTTGTTTTGGCTGTTATTTATACTTTTTTGTTAATTTCTGGAGAAATTGGGGAATATACAAAAATACAAGAAAATGCTCTTTTGGTAGGGGAAAATAGAAAATTATTTTGAAAAAAAATTATTTTACAGGCAGGGCTAGTTGATGAACGTTGGCATGATATAGATAAATTATCTCAATTACTTGAGGATTTGGGTGAAATTAAAAATAATCAAATGTAAATTAAAAATTTATTTTTTTTTAAATTTTTTCTTGGAAAAAGTCTAAAAAATTATTTTTTATTTGAACAAAAATAGATTTTAAAATCATCTTAAGAATTAAAAAAACTTCTCGAGTTATTTAACTTATGATTTAAGGCTGATTGACAGACCTTGATCTTTTTCTTGGTTCAAATCCACTATATTTTTTCGGAGTACTTTGATTTTTTCATTGTCTTAGAGCCAAGAATCACGTTAAAATTAGGCAATTAAAATCGAGGTTAGAAATAGAGAATTAATCTTAAAAATTAAAAAAATTTCGGTATTTAGTAATTTTTATGAAATAATTCCACAAAAATAATTTTATTTTTTAAATTATTGTATTTAATTTCTATCCCTATAATTTCCTTTCTAAATTTATTTTTATCATTCTAGTGAAATACGAAATTTTATTTTCGATGAATTTGTCAGAATGCGAGTTGAAGTTTATCGGCAAAAATTTAAATTATTGCCTTCTTCTAAAGTAAATTTAATTTTTAAAAAAATTAAAAATAAAATTATTTTTGAAGTCAAATAATACTTCAAATGGAGAAAATATTTACGGAATTATTAGGGCATTCCGGGCTTCGCCTGTTGAGGCTATTTTATTGGCGGTACCTACAACTAGTATTGAGTCAATTGCTGTGGCTTTGGCTTTTGCTGATTATGCTAAGGGTAAATAAAATTTTTAAATTTAATTTAAAAAATTGTAAAAATTGAAAAAACTAAAAAATAAAGGTCAAATTACCGTCTGACATTTGGTAGATTTTGATTTATTGTCAAAAAGCATCAAAAACAATCAAATTTAGAAACTGTTAAAAGCTTTTTAAAGAAACAAAGTATGAGTTTATATCCTCCAATAGTTTAGTTCTTGTAACTTAACCAAAGTGGTCGTTTGTTCCCAATTCACTATCCCGAATCTTCTATCTGGAATTTTTGCGCAACGCCTCTCGAAGTTGTTTATATAGCCATAACAGTTATAAGACAAAAAATTTTTGTTTACTATTTTTACCTACTTAAATGATTAGGAATGCCATTTGGAGGTTTTTGAAGTCAAGATTTTTATGGCTAACTCAGAACTAAATACTTTAAATTTTCAATAATCATTTTTTTCACTTTTTTAAAGACCAACTTTACTGGTCCCGTGATTTGGTTTTTCTTTTTGTTGATGGGGGAACAACTCAATCTGCCGATATCTGGCTTTCTGCTTATCATGGACAACAACAAAAGGAGGGAATTGAATTAATTGATGAGGAATTAGTGGCACATGGAGGGACTTTTATTGGGGCGTTTGGATTGGATATTAATGGAAATATTTTCGGAGATGTTGAAGTATTACATGGAATGGTGAGGAGGACGGATTTTTTAATTTTTGGGAGTCAAATAATGCAAAAAATTTTCCAAATTATTAAATACACTTGTTGGATATATCATAAAATTGACCGCACATAATCCTTATTGATGTTCCGGATTTAAAAAAAGGCGAGAGTCGAGATTGTGAATTAACCCCGAGACCAGGTCGAGAGTCTCGAACATCACTAGTAATCCTATTAATAATTTCGAACCAAATCTCCTACATAATGTTTCCATTTTTTGTAAACGAAATGAAATGTGAATTAATTTTAGTTACCTAAACCTTTTCACAACCAAATTTCCCCTCGATAATTAAACCTACCATCACCACTTAAATTAAATTTAAAAAAGATTAATGGAAAATTACCAAATATGGATCTCTTTGATTTGGCTGTTTTATTAACAGAAAAAGCTGGGGCAATTCCAACAGTTCATAAAATAACACGGGCAAGAAATCATTTTAATTTTAGAGGAGCTGCAAATACGTTTTTGAATGGAATTATTTCTCTTGTTTGTTTTTAAGTTAAATTATTAAAACCTTTATTTTAGTTACAAAAAATTATTTTTGTTATTCCTAAGTCAAGTACATAAATATTGTACTTCCAAAAAAGCCCCACCCTGAATTAGAACTCAGGGCCGAAATAGAGTCCTACTTTGGAGGTTAGTGAGATCTTTTATATATAGAGATGAGATCCATTCAAAATGAAAAATAAAGCCACATAAAGCTTTATTTTAGAAATAAGGTATACTAATATATGTATTAGACCACTGGACCACCATATTAGACCACCACTTACCATTAGACCCTACTAATATTCGGATCGAGATGAGATCCATTCAAAAATCTCGATTATCTCGATAGATTTTTAGTTTTTTAGAATTTTTCAGGATATCTGTTCTGATTATTCTCAAGTTCGGTTCCTAATTTTGACCCTAAAATTTTTTTCGAATCCCAAACAAAAATTCCTTTTTGTATTTAAAATAAAGGTGTATTTATTATTTAAAAAATAATTTTTTTAATTTTTCAAAAAAGAGTTTTAACGAATTAGAACCTTTTACTGCCATTTATGGACGTTATGGGATTAATGCAGTTACCTTACGTGCTCACAAAAAACATTCTGGGCCAATTTCAATTGATTTGTCTGATATTGTTAAAATTATTGAAGGGGGAATGGTTGGGGGAACAATTAATTTTGAATTAATTTTTAATTTTTAAGCGTTCTTTAAATAATTTATTAGAAAAATTCCATCATTCCTATTTACTTTATTTAATTATACATCCACATAGATTTGTCCCAGCAGCACTTTATATGCCTTTATTTGGGTTAATTGTTGCTCCTATGTTTTTACCGGTAATTTTTTTTGTAAATTTTATTAAATTATTAAAATTAAAGTCATGCCTGATTAAATTAAAATAGCACCCAGTTTTTGATTGTAGACAAGTCTGAGAAACTAAAAAAACAACAATCTTCCCTCTCCCCTTATTATTATATTATTAAAAAATATTTTTTTAAGTCGTGCCTTATTAAGCAAAGTCTGAGAAAACTGAAAAATTATCGAGATCGGGGATCTCATTAACCTAGATTTTTGACGGTTCCGTTTCAATCTGTCCTCGTACTCTAGTCAGGCTCCCAATATTAGTTTGATTTGGGGATTTTGGGATTTAATAAAAAAAAAGTAAATTTTAATCAAAAAAGGGTCTATCCACAACAGGGTGGTCCTTTTGCCTCTTTTTAAGGGTTTTCCTCTTTTTTGAGAGGCCATGCCCCTTTTTGGTAATTTGTAAAGGACCACCCTGATCCACAGCAAACTTCCCTTTCCCCTCGTTTTTAAATCTAATTTTTCAATCCCAAAAAGAGTATTTAATAATGTCCAAAATGTTCAATTAATTTACATAATTTTCAGACTTTACGTGAATGGTTTTTACTAAATCAATTAACAACAACATCAATACTTCCATCAATTAAATTTATTTGTTTTTCACATTTATTATCTTTCCTATTTTATATTTTACAAATTAATTTATTTAAAGAAAATATTTTTATTTTAATTAATTTATTATTTCCTTTAATTATTTTTTTGTTAATTTTTAGAATTAAATTGTAAGTGAAAAAATTAAAAAAAATAATTTTCTCTTAAATTTTAGAAATTCAAAAAACCTCCATTTTTCCCGTTTTGTTGTAAATTTGGAATTGTTATTATTTTTGGGTGCTCTTTCACTTGTTCATTTTCCTCTTACTTTAATTTTGTGTTTTGTTTTATTACCGATAGCTATTGTTGGGTTAAGTATGTAAGTATTTAAATTGAAAAGTTTTCTTGTAAAATTTAAACAAGAGTAGGTCGAGGTTGAAGCCTCGCCAAGGTCCAGTCCTCGCCGATTTTCCAAACCTTTGCCTCGGTTTTTTCAAAAAACCTCACCTACTCTAATTTAAATAAATCAAAAATTGGAGAAAATTTTATTGAATGGGTTATGGTAGAATTGTCAGCGGGGATGTCATTGACTATCCGAAGTCCGATACCTGACTCGGATTTTTTCTCAACTCTTGACATCCATTATTGTCGATTTGAAACTAGACCAAGGATATTTTTCAAGTTCGATTCTTCGTTTCAATTTTGGATATCCGAAGAGTTTACAAAAATCGTCAACCCTTAGTTGTGGGGTAGAAACAAATGTCGCTGTAAAAGAAAGACCCAATCCAGAACTCTAGCACGATGACTGATTAAAAAATTTTTTTCAAATTCATTTTAAGTAATTAGGGTTGTTGGCCCGATCCGGCCCGGTCCGAAAGATAAAGTCGGGCATTGAATTTTGGCCCGAAAAAGACTCGATGCCTGACTTGAAAACCCCAATCCTATAGATAAAGTAAAGCAGCTGGGCTATAGCTATTTCTCTCCTTTAGCTAGTGCAAAAGGTTATTCGGCGGCTGGGAGCGAACCAGCATCTTCAGTAGACCGGACTGATGTGTTAGCCATTACACCACGCCGTTCATAGCCTTAGGAAATTAATAGCTATATGCTTTACAATAATGTAAAGTTTCTTTAAAAATATCTTTAAAATTTAACAAAATATTTATATTATTTTCAGTTCAAGATCAACATCTTTCCTTTGTCGACTTTTCTTTTTTATATTTTTAAATCCAATTTCCTTATCTCTACCAATTATTTATTATCGTTTATGTACTTCAATTACAATAAATAAATGTTGGAATAATTTAATTTTAAATTTAATTGAAATTATTAAATCTCATTTATTTTATGGAAGTTGGCTATTTGCTTTGTTAATTGGGCCTGGTTAATTTAGAAATTAAATTAAAAATTTTTTTCAAGTTTTTGCTATTTGTTTATGTCAAATACAAATATTATTTTCAATTGTGGATGATTCTAAAATTAAAGAAAAGGAGGGAGATGAAATTGTAGAAAGTAAAGAATTGAAAAGTGATCAAGAAAAAAATAATGAATAATTTTAAAAAATTCTTTGTGAATTTGAATTTTGTATTAAGAATTCAAAGGGTGAACAATCGGTAAAATTGAAGTTCGTATACCCCTTCCTTCTTTCCTCAAAATATTAAAAATGAGAGGGTAAACAATCTAAATTAAGGAGATTTGTATTTTAGGAGCCCTATGTATTAGGGTCGGATTTTTCTAATCGGGCCGACGTTCGAGTCATTTTTTTGTGCCTCGTTTCTATCGAACCGGACATCAAGTCGTTTTCGGGACAGTCCATTAAAAATATTCACAAAAATCAACAAAAATTCATGTGAGCTAGTACTTGTCTATTTTTCTAAGAAACCAAGTAAAAGTCCTTTCAACTTACCAGATTTTGATCCTCCCCTAAGGGAGGAATGCGCCGTTCCCGGAGGTAAGTGCAAGACCGGGCCGACGCGCGGCAGAGAGGAAGCAAGCTTCCAACTCACGCCCTTTTCCAAAAATTGGTTAATCTCTTTGATCCCGGTAGGGATCGTTACGGAGATTAAGCCGTAAAGAACAGATACTACACTTTGATCTTAGCCAAAAGGCCGAGAAGCGATAGCTAATCGTCGAAAGTAACTATAAAAATGGGTTTTATTTTAAAAAGAAAAGCATAGTTTATAAAAGGTGTTAGAATTTGTTGAGAGAAAATGTGTGAGAGAGTAGACTTTTTAAATTAAAAAGAAAGCAGTGGAAAACAGAAAGAAAGCAAATGAGAGGTAAATAAATTAGAGAGAGAATGATGAATAAATGACAGACAGCAAAAGATTTTTAATTATGTGTAATGGGTAGTGAGTTAGAGAAGATTAAACGGGCTTTTTAGCGAACGGGCTGTTTGAGTCTCCCGTCTATTAATTGCTGTAACTCTCTTAAGTGTCACAACTAAATAATAAATCTAATGTCATCTGAAAGCTCGATAGATGGAATCTTTTATCTGAAAAGACTATTCATTGAAGTAACATCTACCCCGTTTGTCGTTGTCAGACGCAAACGTACATAGGCAGGATTTTTTCAGTTACGTCGTGTCACACGCAAGCGTAATAAAAAAAATATTTCAATCTTGCTTTGTCATTTATTGTGACGTTTTTCTCATTTTTATTTCAAAATATTAATTTCTCTAGCTTTAATAAATTTCAAAAAAAAATTAAAAAATGCAATTACAAGATCTGCCTCCAGAAATTTTGGTTTAATAATTTTTTTAAAAAATAAAAAAAAATATTTTTCAGAAATATATTTTTGATTTTCTAACTTTAAATGAAAAAATTAAAATTGAGCGTGTATGTAAAGACTGGAAAAATTTATGTTGGAAATTTGCTTGGGTGGATTTTAAAGATTTAATTTTTGATCACGAAGATTTACTTTTATATAAAAATTTTAAAAACACAAAAGAATTAATTAATAAAGGAATGGAGGGAATTGAGAGTTCTAAAAAAAGTAAATATAAATTAGTGGTTTTTACACCACCAAGACTTGATGAACATAAAAAATTCCTTTGTGATAATACACTTGACAAAAGGCGGCCTTCAAGAACTGTTGGTTTTTAATTAATTTTTTTTTGTTTGGTTAATTAGGCTGGGTTAATAATTAATTATTTTTAATTTAAAATTTTTTGGAGAGTTTTTTGGAGAGTTTGTAGAGGGTGACCAAAAAGAGATTGGACACATAGTTTATGACATAACTTTATTTGAATTAGAGATAATGAGATAAAATAAAGCTTAAATGATAGAGAACTAAATAGGGAATAAGAATAATCAAGAATTATCGAAGCGCCCATCCTCTGATTAAATACACAGTCAATGTCGCGAGTAAAAATTTTGTCCAAAAGTTTGATTTGAACAACTAATATAATAATAAAAATATTTCTCCCTATAATTAAATTAAATTAAAAATAATTTTTTTAAAAAATTTCTATAAAATATTTAAATAATTCTTCCATTCCTTTTAGTTAGGAGTATTCAGCGCTTTAATTCGTCGGTCTGCTCCATATTTAGAATTGCTCGGTATTGAAAGAGGAATTAAAGTTTCAACACGTTTAGGCCGTTATTTTCATTATTTGACGCCTTCTCTTCAACATTTTTCTATGGAGGAACCGATTGATGTTTGGCATTTAAATCAAATTGGGGAGTATTTAGCTCCTAATCTTTTATCGTTGGGTTTAGTTCTTAATAAAAAAGTAAATTATTTTTTATTTTAATTTTCTAACAGTTCTTTTGCTTGTTTAAAATATTAATTGGTGTAGAATTTAAGATACTTTTCCTTTATACGACCGCGAATACCAGTCAAATTTGAACAGCTATGACTTGCTTGGTCCAGTATGGTCTGGTCCAGTACATGGTCTAGTATGCTTGATCCAATACAAATAAATTTTATATCTTTCGAAAGCCCTCAATAAGCTCTATCTTCTTTCCGACTTGATGGATCAGGACTGATCACCAATTAAAAAGTTATAACCCGATAACTGTGAAAAACAGCAAATAACTTATCGAGTATAACTTACAAGGTTATAACTTTTTAATGAGTGATCAGACTTGACCTATTCTATTAGAAAAAAGATAGAGCTTATCGAGGGCTTTTGAATGATATAAAATTCATTTGTACTGGATCAAACACCGAAAAGTTATAGCTGTTCAAAGTTGGCTGACACTTAGTTTGTTGGCGTATAACGGAAAAGTACCTAATTTTCTAACAGTTCTTTTGCTTGTTTAAATTATTAATTGGTAGACTTTAAAAATTAAAGTCTCGTCAAGAAAATCAAATTACCTAAGCACCAAAAAATTTTTTTAAATCAAATTTTCTTTTAAAAAACAGAAAAGAACTCTCGATGCATTTTTGTCACTAATTTTAAAATGTCAAAAACTTGAATGTCTTCGAATTAATCGTTTTGAGGAAATTTTTGAGAGATCTTTAGAAATTAATCAAAAACAGTTTTTACCCTCAACATTACAACAATTATTTATTTTCGATTATTCAGTCAGAACTTTGAATGAAATTTCTAAAATTTGTCCAAAACTTTGGTTTTTATTATTTTATCGTCAATTTTACGGTTATATAGAGGAATTAACTGTCACAAAAATTCAGAGGTAAAAATTGTAAATTAAATTATCTTTAGATCTAAAAAGTAAAGATTTTTAATAAAAAAACAAATATTCTCTTAAAAGAAACAAAGCACGCCGATTGGAGCGTGCTGGCAAGGGAATCTCATTTGGGGTATTTGATATGACTTAAGTCCGGGATTCATTTTACCTTATCGGTCAAGCTTTGAGGGTTGATCAGGTCCTCAGGTTTGCCGAAGCATGATGTTACCGCTCAATTCTATAAGCGCATTCATTCATATAGGAAATATAATATTTTTATTTTTTAAATTTTACTTTTTCATGCTATGCATGTACATATCAGTGGTGTTCCGAAAGTGATTTTAATGAGCGAAAGGCGAAACTCGCACACCCTTGATATGTAATAGGTATTTTATTTTAATAGTAGGTATCGTAAATGCTCGAATAATTACCCTGGGTAATTATTGTTTCAACCTCTCGCTAGATGGGATAATTAATTGAGAGGGGGCCTAGTGTTCGGTCGGATTTAAGCCTGACCAAGTGGTATATCAACATCATTCACCCCGATCGCTTGCGTTACCTCTAGGCACGATCACCATCAACATCTTCCCTCTTAATTAGTGAGGCTGGCCCCTTCTAATTAACTATACTTTATTTTAATATAATTTTATTTTTTAGTATATGTAAAGATATGTTTATTTATGTACCTTTCTTTTACACAATAAACAAAGAATTTTTAAATTTTCACCCAAATTTATATTCTCTGCGTGCATTAGCAGTATATGATTATTCTCCACTTAATAATGTATTTAAATTTAAATTAAATTAAAAAAAAATTTATTTTCAAGTCAGATTTATTAAAAATAGCCTCTTCTTGTCCAAATTTGGAACATTTAGATTTTTGTTGGAAAAATTTTGTTCGTAATTGCAAGGGCCCAGTAGATGCCCGAGAATTAGAAGCTCTTTATTCATTCAAAAAACTTTCTTCTCTTTCTATAGAAATTTTTATTGTTTGTAGAGGATGTATTAATGAACGAATGACTTTTCACAGCGTTTTGGAATTTTTTTTGAATTAAATAATTAATTTTTTAAAGTTATTATGTGATAATGGAAATGCTAGATTTGATGATTTTATTTTTGAATTTTGTATTAAATTAAATTCAATTACTCCTTTAAGGGTAAGAATTTAATGTTAATTCGTACCTTTATAATTAATTTATTTTTAATTAAACTGAGCAAATACTTACATGTGAAAAATAGTTTTTAGGGGGGTTACCCCTGAGAAGACTTACAGTTTTTGAAAGGGAATACTAAAAGCAGGGGTTTCCGCAATTGAAAAAAAATTTTACGCAGCTGCAACCCGCAACCCACAAGTTTAATCTTTAAATCCGCAAACGCAATCCGCAAGTCAAAAAAGCGCAATTCCACGCAATCCACAATTGTGGACATCCCTGACCAAAAGGGGAAGATCGATGGATTTGTTGTTTGTCTCTACTTACACAGAGTTGGGGCCTGTTCTTAGAAATCAACAGATATCCGAAAGAATATTTTTTGTCTATCACAGACTTTTTCGGTTCCAGATATCCAAATTCGCTAAATTAAAGTAAAAAACCATTAAAGTAAAAAACCATTGAGTAAAAATAAAAAACCACATTAATCATCCACAATTTTTCTTTTAATTTTTAGAACTTGGAATTTCGTAATCCACTATCTTTTTATTTACACAGTGAATATTCATTGAAACTTTTGAAGAATTTAAATGTAAAAATAATTTTATTTTTAAAATAAATTTATAATTTTTTAAGGCTTTAGAAACATTTACTTGTACTTTAAGTAATTATACTAACATAGATGAATCTGTTGAGGAAAATGAATTTTTTCAGAAAATTGATAAAATATTAAAAGAAAATGAAAATAAATTAAAAGCTTCTTTCCGATTTTTGGTTTTTTTTGGCTTAAAAATTAGTGACAGGTGAAAAACGCCTGTCCGGAATATGCAGCATTTTACACTCTCTCGCATTGTGTCTAACAAATATCCGAAAATCCGACGCCACAAACGGCCATTCCCATTAGTTATTAACCGCCCATTATCTAAACTTAACATCGCCACAAACTTATCCTTAGGAAAGCAATAAGGAAGTAAGCTGGTGCATATAAGCTCTAATGGAATAGGCAAAGGCAGATCACTTCATTCAACAGAGTTGCCGGCTGGCTTATCCATCGTGTAAAGGGAGAGACGTCTACCCCTATATTCCCCCACTGCGAGCTATTAACCTATTTTCTATACTCTGCGGAGTTCACACATGATTGCAACATGCGTGACTGCTAATAATATCGCAACACAACGAGGCACTGGGGAACGGGACCAACCGCTTTACTATACAATACGAGAGTGTGTAGAATGTTGCACATTTGCATAAGAAACAAAAAATCCTAACTGGCGTTTTTTTCACCGGTCACTATTAAAAAGTCTTAAAAAAATTTTTTAAAGTATGGATATTATGGAAGAGAACCTGATGCTATTTTTAAATGGAAAAAGGGGCATTTATTTGAAGTAATTAAAGTTCCTAAACCCAACCCTTATAGAGATTTTATTTTTGGAAATTCTATTGTTTTGAAAGAAATAATGAATGAAACATTTGGAAAGAGAAAAACGTTTGTGAAAATTTATAGAAATTATTTAAAGATTTTTTCTAAATTTTAGTCAAATTCTTTTAAGAAGTATGGGGAATGAAGTTAAAAAAAGATATAATTTTGAATTTATCTACTAAATAGTAGAGAGCGAGATTGATTCTTGACCTTGATTTTATGTGAGAACCTTGACCAGATCAAGGACGAGTCAAGAGAAAATCGAGGAACGCTGAAAAATGCCTTGATCTGGACTCTTGATCAAGGAAAATCAAGGTCTGGATCCAGATCCAGCTCGCTCTCTACTAAATTGTTTTTTTAATTATTAATATTTTTATTTATGTGTGATTTTTAATTTTCTAATTTATTTTTAATAAATACATTTTATAAACCGTAAAATGCTCGGCTTTATATCCAATACAAAATCACCCAAGGTAGAAGCTCCCTCTCAAAACGAGTTAGGGTTTAAACTGGGGAAATTTAATAGTGAAAAATAATTACGTAAAGGAGAAAATCCTGCCTATGTTTGCGTCTGACGATGACAAACGGGTGATCATACTTTAAAACTTAATTAACAATTTTTATTTACAAAAGTTACACTATATACACACAAGATATATACATTATATTATTTATTATCACAACAATCGAGAGATTTATCTACCTACATATTCCTCTTCTCTCTTTATTCTTCTCTTTATGATGCAGGCATCGACATCCAATCAGGAAGTTCCTTCGTTTGCAAATCTGGCGCTTTTCTTTTAAGTGCACCGAAGAAGCTTTTCAATATCATTCCATAGTCGGGATCTACAGTTCCAGGGGTTCGATTGAGTTTACTAAAAATAATCTTTAAAAGATTAATTCTAATTAATTCTTTACTGATATAGAAGACGAATTTCTCTAGGCAAACGAGTGAAGACAACATGGTGGGCAAAAGTATCACGCAATTGAGCAGAGACAGCAACCGTTTTTGCTGCACGCCAAGGAAGCCTTTAAAAATAAAATTTTTGTTTAAAAAATATTTTTTTTATTTTAAACTCACTTTCCACTAATCAATTCGGCAACAATATAGATTACAGAAATAAAATCATCTGCTGGACCCTGAAAAAGAATAAATTTAATCAGAAGCACCTTAATGAGGGGGTTTTGAGGGGAGACCCTTCTAAAACTATTCTCCCAGTCCCTCCCTTATCCCAACTTCTCCACAACTCTCCCAACTATCCCTTTACTCTCAATAGGTGTGATAATTAAAAGAGAAAAGTCTCTCCAATCAAGTACCTGAACATGCCGAGTAAGAGCTCTCTTTGAACTATATTTGCGCGTTCCAACCAAATCGTTTTGCTTATTCTGCCTAAAAAATTTAAAAATTAATTGAATTCTATTTCGTTATTCCCTCCCACCTTGAAGGCCATTTAACAGCCAAACTAAAATCCATGTGCATAACATCATCCCTTAAGCCTTTTATTGTGAATGGAGTCTTCAACAAAAAGTTCCAAGGAGTAACATAGCGATGGATGAATCCCAATTTGTGAAGAGAGTTCAAAGCTTGTACTAGACCAATTCCAACATTTAAAGCAAGCCAAGGCTCCACAATCCTTTAAAAAAGACAAAAATTAGACTAAAACTTTTTCTCTCTCTCCCTCTCTCACCCAAGAGGAGCATTTGCCAACAAAGAACTAACAAAAACTCCTGCCGGCATATTGTAGAGAATTGCTGGTCTATTAATCCAATCCGGATCGTGTTCGTATTGCTGGAATTCTTCAATGCCAAAGACGAGCCTTTTCAATTTCCCTTTCAATACACACTTTGGGATGTGAGGAAACTTAAGCCCGTTCTTTCCTTCTTTTGCATCATGAGCTTTCGAGACTTGCAGGAATGCATCAAATGACTCTTTTGCATCTCTTCGAGTTGCTTCTGGTCTAGCAATATATGCAACAACTGGCTAAAAATTAAAAAAATTTTTTAAGAAGAAAAACTAAGCAATTACAGGTGCCCAAGGCTGCTGCGAGTTGAAGATACTGTAGATAGCCAAATCCCTTTCCATTTGATCGTCAAAAGGCTCCACAATCAGATAAGTGTCCTCAAAAATTCCGCAAACATTGTGGGCTCGTCTCGGCACTTCAAGAAAACGTCCTTCTCCAAGCAAACCTTCCCCAACAATCCCATCCTCTTTATCGTCGTCCTTATCCTCTCCCTTCATATTGCTGGAGGCTGGAGTTTTGTCCATGGCAGATGAATCTGATCCCGCAGTTCCACGTTCGCCTCTTGTAGCTCTGGATGTTTTCGAAGCGACGGACTTTGACTGTCCTCCACCCATGATGACCTTCTTTGCCTTGTGATTTGTTGTTGGTGTTGTTGTCGACTGATGTTGGAATGTTTTAAATTGTTTTTGTTCAAGCCTTTTATAGTAACTAACGAATAAAACAACTACTTAAATGCTCTACTAGAACAACACTCCTTATTTGAAGCACACTCCCTAATATAAATACACCCTACGAGAGGACCGAAAAAAAGCTTTACTGTTCATAGTCTTACTGTCCTATTGCCTCTCTATTGAATTAAATCCAGACTGGTGCATGGATACGGATTTTATATATCCGTGGGGTCAATATCCGTATCCGTTTTTTTTTATATATCCGTGGGGTCAATATCCGTATCCGTTTGTATCCGTCCAACTTTTTAGGTATATCCATCCGCGGATATCCGCGGATATATCCGTTTTTTCTCAAAATGGTCAGCCTATCTAAAATGTTCAAAATGGTCAAATTTATTTTAAGTCGAGTAATGGTTAGATAATGCTGTAATAACTGCATGCGGCAAAACGAACCTTGCTTATGAACATCGGAGGTTCTAAAATCTGAGGGCAGAGATCGGAATTCCGATCCAACGCACCATACCGACAAAAAATAAAATTTTGAAAATTTTGAGAATTTTTGAAATGTTAAATTCCCGGTTTCGGACCGGAATGAAAATTTCCGTTAAATGACCAGTTGATTTTAGCGCCGTAGGCAAAAATTTTGAGAATTTTAGAAGGCCGTAGGCCAAAAAAATTCACTTTTTTTGCCCCAGCCCTTCCCCAAATTTTTCCCTTTTCCCCATTTCGGGGGGGGGGGGGAATTCCCCCCCCCCTACCCCCTGGCTACGGGCCTGTCCACTTCCCTCCATCCATGGTTATGAGCCTGGTATAGGTTTTTGGACCTCCAAAATTATGGAAATTTTCGTTGCTCAGCTAAAAGTGAATTTTTTGGCTTATTGCCTTCTAAAATTCTCAAAATTTTCGCCTGCGGCGCTGGAAAAGAATGAAATCTGGTTTATTGGTTTTTCAA